GCTCACTCCTCTATGGCACCTGATCCCACCTCTAAATTTTGAGGTCCGTATTTGCTCTGCTCCAAATGTGTATCGTTTCGTTGGACTTTTGAGATTGAATACTGTTCGTTATCTTCATATTTCATTGGACAAGAAAAAATCCAGTGAAAGGGAAAGATTCGAGCACTTTCTCATATCAGAATCATTACTCAATTTGGCCCCTTATGTAAAGTTTGAAAACAGTTATCGTTCATATTACTTTCTAGTTGTTATGGGTGTTAAAACAAATGAATTTCTTAAAGAGAGAGGGTTTGGAAATTAAATAATTCTTTACTTACTGATAAAGAATATGCAAATCTTATGAAAGAAAAGAAATGAAAATATTAAATTAAAGTATGCTTGCACTGTTTAAAATTTTGATAATATTAATTCTATTGAAAATGATACAATTTAATTTACTCTGAGTGATCAACTGTTCCTAGTAAAATGGATAGAAGAAGGAGAAAAAACTTCAAAATATTTTACCAGTCTTGAGTTAAGAAATTATCTGAGTAAGGTAGCTGCAGAACTGTAGCGTTATGGTTTTATATTTTAGTCTTTGACCATAAAGCTACAGAGCCCGTAATGCAAATATGGTGCAATTTACGGCGCAAGATTTTCTGCGAACTTTGGGAATGTATTTCGCCACTTCCCAGCATTAGTCAATCAACTACCTTTCATTCCCTAATTCTAGACATATTCTATAACCAATCTGTATATTTATCCACCTCCTAACCCTTTCTAGTCGTCTCTACAGACCAATAAACTCACTTGTTGTGAATTTGTTGTCGAATTGAATAAAATTCACAATAAACGAGTTTATTGGTCTGTAAAGACCAATAAAAATTTAAAAGGAGGATGGATCAATTATAACCAATTTTATATTTTGAATAAAGTTCAGCTTTTCTATGAAAAGTAAAAAATAAAAGTAGAGAGAATGTGGAATCAGGATGTATTCATGACAAATTGAAAATATATGATGTTCCTAAGTTAAATAAAACGGACTTTAAGGCCAACTGAACAATTCTGAAGTTCTTAAGTTTTTGAAAAATATGAAAAATGAGAAAAGTCCTGGACCAGGTGGTTTTACCTGCGATTTTTCAAATTCTTTTGGCAGGACATAGGTGCCTTCATTACAAGAGCAATAAACAACTCATATGAATTATCACATTTTACTGAATCAAATAAGTTAGGCATAATAACTTGCCTAACAAAAGCAGGAAAACAAAAACAATTCTTGAAAAAGAGGCGCCCAATCAGTCCATTGAATGCGATTTATAAAATAGCAGCAGGCTGTATTGCTGAACCATTGAAAATCATGTTGAATAGAATAATAGATAAGGATCAAACTGGTTTTTAAAGGGTAGATTCAAAGGTAAAAATACTATATAGACTGGTTTATGACTTGATGCACCTCACAGAATAAAAGCAGACTCTAGGCTTATTAATGTTAATTGACTTTGAAAAAAGCTTTGACATTATATCATGGAAGTTTATATATCAAACATTAGACTTTTCTTTAATTTTGGGAATCGAATTAATACTGGATTCAAACTTTTTATAATTGAATTAAATCATGTGTCATACAAAATGGAATTACTTCTGACTACCTACTCCCTCAAAGGGGATGCAGGCAGGGGGAATCCAATTTCATGTAACAAAATGTTACGGCACATTTTGAAAAAAACACCCCATTATACCTGCTGATAGATATCCGGAGTGATTTTATAAACTGGTTTTCATATTCTATGTTAATGATGATGACATATCACGCAGTTGCGAAAGCAAAGTAAGATTAATAATTTTGATGGAAGGTTTGTTTACTTTAAACATGCTATAAGAACGTGTAAAAAATGTATTTAAAATTCGATTTAGTTTTTACATATTCTTTTTCCATTCATAGAACAGCATTTAAAACTTTTTACTGTTATTTTGCATGACCGGAAATGAATATGGCTGGGATATATACAGGGACTATGGCTCTTGATCTCACTTTTCCTCATTTTTTAAGACAACAAATCTTGTCAGCAAATACACTTTATCATTGAGTCAAATGCTGACTCACGTTTTTCATACTAATTGTTAGACCATTATTTACACACTGAATTGTCGACGGATTTTCCCGCCATTTCCCGATTATGACAAGGAGCACACGGCGGGTGTGACCGGTTGGCATGGGATGCTCACTCCTCCATGGCACCTGATCCCACCTCTGATGTTTTGGAGGCCAGTATTTGCTCTGCTCCTATTATGTATTGTTTAATGGACTTTTGAGCTTGAATACTGTTCGTTATCTCCATATATTTCATTAAGAAGAAAGTTTACAAGATTTTCAAAGTTCATACACTGATAAAAATTGAGAACAACATGCTTATCTGATCTTGACCTTCTTCTAATGAAATGTGACGATAAAGAATATTCCAAAAGTCCAATCAAACAATACACATTGTGGGCAGAGCAAATTATGAACCTCTCAAAACATCAGAAGGTGGATCAGTGTCCATGGAGGAGTAAGCATCCTCTGCTGACCATCTGCCTCGTATCAATTGTTGTGATTGGTTAAACAGAGAAATCCGTAGACACTGCAGTATGAAAATAATGCACAATGTTGATTTTAAACGAGATTGTTAATACTCTTGTTTCATCAACTAATATAACATTAGCACGTAAACCCTTAATTGTAAAGAAGCTTTACAAGGTATTTCAGCAATCTTTATACATATGTACTGATCATACAAATGGGTGGAGTCATGTTTCAAACTGAATTTAGAATAAGTGAGAGTAGGGTGATGCCATTTAGAATATTTTCTTGAAAACCAAAAGCCACAAATAACATTCTTACTTAGAAACTTCCAAGTTCAGTGCAGATCTCGATTCAGATTTTTTCAAAACATGGCCCCAAGAGCTAGGGTGGGGCCCTGAGTTTTCTATAGCACTATACTACAAAAGCCTCCGATAAACTTTTAAGAAAATTATGCAATATTTATAGTCGGATCTTTTAACCGACACACATACATCTCTCCATATTTGATACAACTACAAGTTTACAAACTGTAAAATTCATTTGAAAGCATTCTCGTTTGTAATCGACTCAACTTTGTTCAAGTCATTGACACCAGAGTAAGGTCAAACATTCATCTGATGGTTCAGATCCACGACTCTCTTGTTTATCAGAACCAAAAACAAACAAACAAACAAACAAAAAACAAATAAACAACAACTATCAACAGACATCTAGAATGAAACAAAAATGAACTAGTCATCATTTTGAAAATTTTCATCAAACTATATACACTGATACAAACTGGTGAGAGCAATCTAACTAACTGAATCAATAAAGAAATATTGAATGTAAGAAGAAGGAATTGAAGTGTTCTTGTTTATGAAAAATGCCTTGTACAAGAAAGCAGAATGAAAACAAAAATGAAGTGAGTACACTACAAAGTGATGAAATGCTACCAAACTGGCAATTGAAAATAATTTAATACATGGGACCTACATATATTGCACAAATATATTTTCTAATTTGTAAGCCCTCACCCTTGCCTTGGGAACAAAGCATACTCAAAAATCTACTTTATTTTTTTTTTAATTTTGTAACCTATTATCTTTAATAATATTGCAAATATGTCTATTTGTACGTAGTATTGTTGCAATCGAATCTCTTTTCCCGAAGAAACAATGAATAAAAGAATGCCGCTTGATAAATAACATGCAAACATGGTAAATTTTAAAAATTTAATTAATTTATTTATTTAACGAGGAAGTAGAATTTGTTCGTAGTATGTGGCAATACATTTGCTTATGACATGTCCTCCAAGTATACATGTCTGTACATAACAAAATGTACTCAAGTCGCATTCAAGTTTGAGCACAAAGCCATGCAACAAAACGCACCGGTTCATTTTTCCTTGAAGTCGAGCAGATACATGCAGGGATTCATCCTTCCCTTCTCAAAGCGTCTATACTATGCAGACTATTAAAATCATGTTTATGTTTAATGCAAAAATACCTAAATCAAAATGGGAGGTTTCGCATATAGTATTGAAGAAATAACTGATGTGCAAATGCAATAGCAACAAATGAGCCACGTAAAAAATCTCAATTTTTTCATAGATCTATTTGAATAGTGTTCAATGCATACTGATTGGGATAAACCTGTTTAAATCAGAAGCTATTGCAGAATTGTTGATGACCGACACAGCACATCTTTAAACCACAGCAATGTTAATGAGTTGGTTCCAATCAGTGAATATTGCACTCCAGTTAATTTTTTTAAAGAGTGAATGGTGTGTAAAAAAGAAAAAAGTTTAGTACTTCAATATGTTTGTATTAAGGAAGCTCTAAACACTGCACACTAAAGAGTTCTACTTGTAGGGTAGTTTTATGCAGTTAGAGTGATCTGCCCTTAGAAGAAAGATAGAAAAAAAGGTTATTTACAGTTAATTACACAATTTATTATAAATTAAAATATTCTGGGCATTATATTTGACTAAGATTAAGTAATTGAATTCATTATTTTCAATATTTTTCCCAATGTAAGTGAAAAACAGTGATTTCTGTTCATAAATAGTCCACTGTCTTTGTACATTTTTCCTGCGGAAATAAGGCAGGTACCCTGTGTTGAAAATGAACTAAATAGTCTCAATATGCACACCTTTAACTGATATATTTTTCTCCAAATCCAAAAAGCACTTTTTGTTAGTGTTTAGAGCTTCCTTAATTAAGATGAAAAAATAAATAAAAAAATTTTCTTAAAAAATTTAATGAATCCTCTTTGAAGCTACTATCCACAGCTAAACACTGTCATTGCTTATAATCGACTCTCAGTATTTATTTCAGAAAGAAGCCATGTTGGAATTCCAATCTCTTGGAAAGTTACTAAAATCTTCAAGATACACTTTAGTTATGTCTTTGTAGATAATGATGTTAATATATCATCTTTGATGCATGTCAATCATAACTCATTAAAAAAAAGAGACTTGTTTTCATTTACATATTTATCTCAAACATTTAAATACATCTAAAACAATGTTATTGTTACATTGACTTGAGTTTTTTGTTCTTTAGCTTCTTCATAATAAAACTTGGCACAAGAGCTACTAGAGCAATCCCTGCCAACTTAATAAAAGTTCCTGTTGTAAAGATGTCCTCCATGCTGTTGATTTGAGACAACATGCTCCCCGTCTGTACGCAGATAAAATTATATGGCATCAAACCTGAAAGTATTATTCTTGATTTATAGAACATTTAAAGCAGTACATACTACATAGCCTTTGTTAACAGAAATATCTTACTTCAATTTTATTATTCTTTATTATACCTCTATTAAGAATACTCAAATTTGATTGGCTTGTTAGAAGGCTTTTAAACTCAATAATGACTCCAAAAAGTACCATTTACAGCAATAATGACCTAAGAATCAATGCACGAGGGGTATAATGACTGGTCAATAAAAATAATGACCGCTAAAAATGACCTGTTCATCCAAATTCCATTCAAATTTAAAAATTAATGCATACAGTAATGACTTCATTACAAAAAATGCCGTTAAAAAATATGTATAGTCTTTTTATGATACGAATACGATTGTCCTTTAGATGCGTCATAAAATTTATTGTTTTCATTGAAACTTTCGTTACAATGTCAAATTCAACGAATGCAGACTTGGCTCTTTTGTACAGTAAAAAATCTGCACCAGATTGTCATTGTACTCGGAAATGGTATTTGTGAATTTATAAAAATGCATGTTACTGACAATCACAGAATGTTTTAATAAATCGGCGGTGCAAAAACTTACAAGACTTGCAGGCAAAAAGTAAACAACTTCACTAGCGAATCCCGATCCCGATGAAACACTGATAATAACAGTTCGTAGATCTAATACACAGTTGATTATTTTAGTAATTAAGCCTACAAAAATTGTCTTGACTTATATCGGTATAATAAAACAAATGATTACCCCTTATGAGTTCAACATGGTGAAATAAGGACCCTCGACCTGGCCCACTCACTGACCTGACCTGACCGAGGCCGCTAAGCGGCCTCGGTCAGGTCAGGTCACCTCGTGGGCCAGGTCGAGGGTCCTTATTTCACCATGTTGACCTCATAAGGGGTAATTAATTGTATAGTATTTTATATGTGTTACCACTTACCTATAAATACTGAGAAAAAGAACATATGTTCAGGTATGTTGAGTATTGGAGATGCCAGGTTTAAAAACCAGTTTGGAGACATAGGAAAAAATCGTAGAAATAAAAGGAAGAAAAACAAGCTGTCATAATTCTCTTCTACCTGTAATTATTAAAAATTCTTTATATTCCTATTCTACAATCATGTATACATAATTTTTTTTTTTTTTGAAGGGGCGGGGGGAGGGGGAGGACATAGACATGTATGCTTTTCAAGTCAAGTACATGAATACAACATAATACATTGCATCTTCTTCCTTTATTGCTTATGGGACAATAGGTGAAAAATTACATTAAAAAAAAGCAATCTTATGAATGAAAATTCACAATTAAAAAGCAAGCTCCAGAAAAAAAATGTATGCCTCACCTTTTCCTGCATAAATTTTACTCTGTCTGGAAAATATTTCATGACATATTGTTTGCCAAAGTATTTAGACAGACTGTAACAACATGTGGCCCCTGTCGCTGTGAGGAGACAGACAAGAGGAAATGATTTCCACACCCCAAACAGAGCTCCTGCCAACAGGTTCTAAAATTAAATGAAAAGATTGCCTTTATCGATTTATATTTGAAAAGCAGACTTCTGAATATGCAAAATATTTAGATTTTTTCTGTCCTATTTCAGGTAGGGAGGGTTGTTTATAAAATATTGACCATGAAAACTGATCCAGGGATAGCAAATGTTTGTTTATAGATATATGCACTGCAGAATAAGACTAGAACATAGAGAAAGTGCTCCTCTTTGTACATCAGTAATAAGTTGGACACCGACTGTAAATCTTCCAGTGAGGTAGGGAACTTCAGTTCACTCCTGTAATTCAAAGATGTCTCAATTCAATCAATGTATTTCTATACATGATGAAACAAGTGTAGGCAATGTTCATGTTCTGATTTATATCTTATATTAGACATCAGATACATTTAAGCGTTGAAACTCAAAAAGTCACGATTTTAATAGAGAGCGTAGAGAGCGGCGCAAAGCACCGCTCGTCACTGCGAGTCTAACGACAATGCCTGGGGGAAGAGAAAATTCGGACTACTGTACATTCATTCAATAAAAATTTTTCTGCAGTAATTCTGGACCCACAGTGCATTGCTTGTTGTTCTCACTGCTAACTTTGTTCGCAAGGTAACAACAACTAAAAATTCACAAAAAATAAACTCACCTTAATTTAATGGATATTGCATCCAGATAGTAGATTAAACATTCTTTGTTAAAATTTTTGCACTTCTCAAACTTCGTTTATGGAAATGTAGCTAACATATACGACGTCATGTGACGTCACAGTCTAGACGTTCTAAATGTCTCTTGCGGTTTGAAGAGGTGGATCTTAAAATTAAGTAACAATGCGCTCGCCCCAATGGTCACACCGTCAACATATTATAATTAAAGAAAAACGAATTATGAAAAACTTCAAATATTCCACATGTTTTCCCATTAAAAATAAATAACAGCTGGTCATCATGGTCATTCTATGCTTAATTCAAATTATATCTATATATATATATATCTACTTTAATATTATTTCTTTAATATTATTTCAGCTATTCTTGTTTTAGAAATAAGATTATGTACAGCCAGAAGTAAGACACCAACTTTTGAGTGCTGCTTGTTCCTAACTCTGGAATGTTGACCGATAAAATGTACAACCACGAGGTCATCCCAGCCAAAATCGCTGGAATCCATAAAATCGGTTCCATCGTACTCAACTTCCCAATGGCATGTGAATTCTTCAATAATCAGACATCAATCTATGAGTTTTATGATCACCTAAAAATAATAAGGAAAAAATACGACACGTGCAATATTTCGGATGTAAAACTACATAATTACATGTACTTGACAAGCAACACGTCACCAATCCGTGATTCACCTTTACCCTGTTGAGTCATTTCGGGTTTAATTAGTACCCTAGGGCTGTTGCCACCTGATCTTCCATGATTTCATAAATTTACGTACTGCCAACAAATTATTACAATTGTTTTCCAATTGAATAAACTGATTAAAAAAATATAAAACTTATAAAACTTACCTTACATTTGACGCTCCAACAAGGAAACTTCTGTGTGATGTTTACATCGGCTGCGGATCTGAGTCACATGACCACATTATAATGATGTCGAGCCCGACAAAAAAGTACACATCCCTGTATCTAGATAAGTCATAAGAAAATGAATACACGTATTTTTTCTTTGAGAAAATGAATAGATTTGTTTAATTGTTTGCTTAATTGATAAAGGAACTCTTTTTAAAATGGTTTTATAGGAAATTCAAGAAAAATACATAATATAAGTATTTTACATATATGTAAAATTAAAAAAAAAAAACAAAATATCAAGATATAAAAGAAAGTTTATTATGAAAAAAAAAAAAAACAACAACAACTCTTTATTATTCCCACAGATCCAGCTCATTAGTTTCAATGCCTATTAACCACAAGTTTTTGCTGATGATATTATTCTTGTATTATATAGAGAAAAGACATTGTCTCTGATTAGTTTACAGAAATGTATATAGATATATTAAGTGAATATTGCCATGAATGGAAATTATGCGTGAACATGAAAATAAAAACAACAAACGTTATGATTTTTTTTTTCTCAAAGTACAAACAATGAAAATGAATATAGTTTTTACTACAATCATAGTTCTATAGAAATAACAAATCAGTATAAATATTTGGGACTTGTATTTAGATCTGATGGAAAAATGAAATTCTCAGCAGAACAGCTGTCAGAAAGAGCTAGAAAAGCCTACATGCTATAAAATCTCCCGCTAATATAAATTTTTTAATATTCAAACTATATTAAAACTTTATCAATCTATAACTACTCCAATCTTAACTTATGGTTCTGAAATTTGGATTGCTGACTACAAATGTGATTTATTATCCTCAGATCATTTTACATTTAAAAAAAAAATACAACTCCAGATATTTAAAGACGTTTTGGATGTTCATAGAAAATCATCTAATATTGCTGTTCTATATGAGTTGGGTCAATTCCCACTATTTGTGTTATGAAAATATGTTTAATTTCTATTTAAATTGAAAAAAATAGAGTCAGAGAATAACCATAATGACTAATTAGTGGTGTCTGCATTTAAGGAAGATAAAAACACTGGGGTCTAGAAAAAACTTTTTTACGTTACAACAGAATTTATCCTTAGCTTCCTTATAAAGACAGAGAGAATTTCAAAGAAAGATAAGAAAAAAATTTAAAGTGAAAAAAAATCTCGTGATCAGTTTTTGTTTTAGCTTGTGTATTTTAAAAGTAAAAAAAAATTGACTGTCTATCTAATTAGATATCTAATACAGAAAAAGAAAAAAGAAAAAAAGAAAAAAAAATGAAGTATACATGTTCTCGGTACATTGACAAATAAACAAGTGCACAATTTTTTTCTTAAGGAAACATCACAGGATGTCGAATGCTGGTCGGCTTTTTTCCATTTCCGTTTTTTCATTGTCGTTCATGTATGGGTGTTTTTGCATTAAAACTCCACAAAAAGAATTCCAGTCATGACACAACTAATCAAGCACAGAAAAATGGTTTCTCTCGTTACTGGTTCGATATCGTCAGCGTTCAGTATAGTCAATATCGTTGCCATGGGTGTCAGCAATGGAGTCACTTTGAAAGACATCGTTGTAGCGAGTGATGCAGGTAATATTTGAAAGTTAGATTAAAAAATCAAGATAGGGGTAATCTGTTCAAGCATTTATGTCATCAAAACTCTTCTTTCGGCAAGAGTTATTATTACAATTAGTACTATATTTTAGTTGAAAACATGTATATTATATTATTTATATATATGAATAATAATTAAAAGATAAGGGTAATCTGTTCAAGCATTTACGTCATCAAAATTCTTCTTTCGGCAAGATTGATGTATTCTTATATTGCAATTAATATTATATTTCAGTTGAAAAAATGCATATTATATCATTTATGAATAATAATTAAAAGAATCATGCTATTATGCTGTGTGTAACTCAGCAATGATACTGTTTTATCATAGCCTGTGTGGTGAAGTCCTCATATGGAATGTACACGGTGGGGACGATTGTCGAACTTGCGGTGACTGTATTTGTTGCGCTCACTATATTCATCCAAATCCTTAAGAAGGATTTCTACTACGTTAATCTTCTCAGTCACGCCATTGCCTGTAAGTTTTCAAAGTCACTACGAGGATTTTTTTCAGAAATAATAAAAATACGATGATGATTTTTTTTCCTGAATTCTATATGAAGGTTTACATGTACGTATTAATTTTTGGTTTATTTACTTGATCAAAATTTGAAAAAAGAGGACCAGAAGTTAATACTTTTCTTATCAAGGCCGTCACTAGGCTCAATTTTTTAGTGAGGCCATGGATCTGGGGGTAGTCCCAGGCTAGTGTCCATGATAGGGATTCTCGGGGAAGGGAGAGGTCCCAAATCCTGAGTTTTAGCGAATTAAAGACTTAATCTTTGAAAGTTTTCACGTTTTGAATTATTTTTATATGCTTTCTAAACTATTATGAAGCACCTGGTGAGATGATCGATTCACGGAAATTGAAACTGAAGTTGAAAGTATTAATTTAGTACAAAGACACACATAATTAATTTAAGATCAAAGTAAAACTTTTTCACTTTTCAGAAAACTCTGAATTTTTAGTGAGGCATTTGCCTCACTTGCCTCAATGGTAGTTACGGCCTTGCTAATACTTTTTCAAAACTTGACTTGAATTTGTGAAATACTTTCTCAATACTCTTTTTTCCCCCTTAGTCCTAGCTCTTGGTTCCGCCTCCATTGTATTTGGCGTAAAACTAAACACTCGGATCACGTGGAATTTCTGGCTGGGACTGCTTGGCGGGGTTTTGGCCTTCGGAAACTTTCTGTACTGGTTCAGTACACAAATGTTTCGCCGATACCTAAAAAGACATCACCCAGACGACCCAATATTTAATGTCGGAGGTGACGCACTCGAAAACGACACTGCGAGTTACGGGGGACAGGACGACGATATGGATTATGACAACTGAATCCCCATTTACTTAATGTGCTCTTATTTATTTTGTATGCAGTGTCAAAAAAATACATAAATTAATGTATCGTATGAAGATTTGTACATTAGTTAAACCTTTAAATTATACATGCACTGTACTCTTTTAAGTTTTGATTATAAAACAGAATCTAATAAATTATTATATACGATAAGTTATTTGTCATTTTTAAAATTAGGAAATTATAGCTAGTTGCGATTTTCCTACAAACATAGTAGCATGTTTACAGATAAGTCCCGGGAACTAAACACTAAATGCAGGAACATGGCATAAAACAAATACTTGTTTTCTTGTTCATGCCAAGTTTGTAGAATACATATTGGAAATATTTGAGTTGTAGGCTTTGGGGGGTTCAGATGAAAAGAAAAATTGAATGGGTAGAATTTCTGTTAAAGAGGGTGTTGCAGTTCTTTTGTTATTTTCCCTAAAGTTGTAGCAGTTTAAAAGAAAAAATTTAAGTAACAGAAAACGGTCTTAAATTTTTTCAGATACAACGATATATACAGCACAATGTAGAACAATATTCAGAAACTGCATATCGACTTCCAGTTTGCCATTAAATGAAGTGTAAATTAGTCACATAGCAAAATAAGTCAAGTTTTCTGTTTTTCAAATAGGGAATCCCCACTGTTCTGAAAAATTGCCTCCTTGAAACAGAATGAATTTGATATACGCATAAAGAGACAGAATTTTTCTTCAAAACTGCCATTTCCGATTTTTGTTTCAAAGAGGCATATTTTTGAAAATCACAAAAATCGAATAAAAATTATTATCCATCCGAAATGCAAAATGTGCACATAAAATAGCACATGATAGTTCACTGTCGGAGCTGGTCTAGTGGTAAAGTGTGTGGACTTTATGCAAATATTCTTTTACCTTAGAATGGGTTCAAATCCTGGAATGGCTGGTTTATATATAAACATATTTTTTTTTCTTATATAATGGAAGTACAGTGTCACATCTCTCTTGAGAGAGAAAGAGAGAGGGAGAGAATGTCAGAAAATTCATGGGTAATATTTTAAATGTATGCAGAATTAAATTGTTTTCCTCGATATTGTGATCTAAAACTAATAAGACATATATTTAATGTTATTATTTAGTGGCGATGTCTTAAAAAATAAAGTACTATCATTTTAAATAATTTCATTTTTTCATACGCATTTCGTTTCATTATTGTTCTGTTAATTAGTGGCTCAGATTTGACTTGAAACAACTAAAATTGAAATGACTCAATGGAATTTCTTGGATATTGCATCAACGGCGTGACTATTGGACACATTTTTATATATTGAAAAATATTAACGCACGCTGGCTACAGTACACATCTTTCAAAATGATGTGCGAGCTAGGTGCACTTGCCATTAATTGTGATTTTTATCGTTCTAACTTTTCTCGTGCAACATGGCGACAGTGAACATAGATGTGAAAAAAAGTTTAATTACAGGTCGCTAGTCTATGTTAGGAAAAAACTATTCATGAAATAAACGTAAAATGTGAAATGTTTTGTTATAACAAGCTGGAAATACCCGTCGTATAAATAAAGTCATCTACGTAGCATTATCTATATTTAGAGATAACTCTTCATGCGCCTTGGGTATTTAAATGTCCTTCTCGATATAGGGAATAATCACGGGTTTCTGCATCATCCTCTTTGATTTCTGTTTTGTTCCAAATTGAGATGTAACTATTGAACATATAGAATATCTTGTTGTGTGACCGGTCGGCAGGGGATGCTCACTCCTCCAGGGCACCTGGTCCTACCTCTGAAGTTTTAGAGGTCCGTGTTTGCTCTGCTCTTATTTTGTAATGTTTAATGGACTTTTGAGCTCGAATACTGTTCGTTATCTCCACATATTTCATTGTTACATTAACTGATATTGATAGAATTCATTGATAAGTTTTAGTCTGAGATAATGGAATCTATTGTTATTTTGACATCACATTTTTATTTATTTTTCTTTGATTTACTATATGTTCCAATTTATTTCGTAATGTACATAAATATGGCTCTGATTTTTCTCTACATCAACAAATATATACGCAGGTCACACACTTGCAGCTTGTGCAGGTCCATTATAGTAAGTCTACCACAATGTATGCAACAAACTTCATTGTTATAAAAAATAAGGGAAAAAAAATAAAATTAAATAAAATGTGTTTTAACAAATTGTCTACAATATCACTGACAAAAACGTCACAATCCAATGTGTATCCACGTTCAAATCATTAATTTTTACACAGCGACAGCACAGGATATACCGACAATATTTCCGCTATTTTGCCTTGTAATGTTTTTAACAGAGCACATATGTTCGGGTGGCCAACAAAAATAAAATGTCCACAAACAAGGAACCATGCTTTGGTTACAATTTCCTTCGAGCCCTTTGTCAGAGCTCGTGGGAGCTGGTCACTGCTTCCAGACAGAAGATAGGGCTGCTCCTGTCCATTATTACCCTGACACTGAGCGGAGGGACGGTGGTAGGGATGGCATTCGATAGGGACCTCAGACCCCTACAGAAATACAATAAAGAATGTGAGTACAATTCGATAGGGACCTCAGACCCCTACAGAACTACAACAAAGTTTGTGAGTACAATTCGATAGGGACCTCAGACCCCTACAGAACTACAACAAAGAATGTGAGTACAATTCGATAGGGACCTTAGACCCCTACAGAACTACAATAAAGAATGTGAGTACAATTCGATAGGGACCTCAGACCCCTACAGAACTACAATAAAGAATGTGAGTATAATTCGACAGGGACCTCAGACCCCTACAGAACTACAATAAAGAATGTGAGTACAATTTGATAGGGACCTTAGACCCCTACAGAACTACAACAAAGAATGTGAGTACAATTCGAAAGGGACCTTAGACCCCTACAGAACTACAATAAAGAATGTGAGTACAATTCGATAGGGACCTCAGACCCCTACAGAACTACAACAAAGAATGTGAGTACAATTCGATAGGGACCTTAGACCCCTACAGAACTACAACAAAGAATGTGAGTACAATTCGATAGGGACCTTAGACCCCTACAGAACTACAATAAAGAATGTGAGTACAATTCGAAAGGGACCTTAGACCCCTACAGAACTACAATAAAGAATGTGAGTACAATTCGATAGGGACCTTAGACCCCTACAGAACTACAACAAAGAATGTGAGTACAATTTGATAGGGACCTCAGACCCCTACAGAACTACAATAAAGAATGTGAGTACAATTTGATAGGGACCTTAGACCCCTACATTACTACAACAAAGAATGAGAGTACAATTCACATAGAACGTCATGTAGTTTGGGTTGATTTCAATGCAGTCTAATCTTTAAGGAGAGAATATTTTAGGGGTGACTCTACCAATATTTTGATCTTATTTTAACAATTATACTCTGATCTATCAGTAAAATTATAGAAGGATATTTTATTCTGTAAAGATATCAATAATAAAGCTGAAATGAATTTTTATTGCCCCAAAAGTGGTAAATAAAGCAAGTTTGGGTATTGATTTTAGGAGGAACAATGCATTTATTATTCATTTTACAATTAAAGAATACGGCTTGTTCTGTCATCAACCAATTATACATCCTACATCATTGTACAAAAAGTTATATTAAAATTACATATTTTTTTTACGATTGCATGCACTTTAATGTGTAATTAATATCAGTTATAAAGCATTAGACATAAAATATGAATCTGAATATCAAATTGTACATTTAGACTTTGACCAGTGTAAACAACTACTATTCTACTAAGAATATGAAGACCTTTCTTTCAGCTTGTGCTCTGCAGGCCTCCTTTGGGTTAATTAGTGTGGGCTCTGGGATTCAGTTTCTTCTGATTCTGTATCTGCTGTACGAGTTCTTCAGAACGAGGCTTAGCAAGACACGTGTAGATGACTACCACATCAACGTGTCTGCTAATTTTTTATCCTGTAAGTTTCTGATGCTACGTTTTGGAATTTGGTGCAATATTTTTCTGGCTACAACGGCTTAAGACTCATTTGAAATACGAAAGCTAGTCTATCAAAAAGAACAGGAAGAAGAAGAAAAGAAATCAAAGCTATCATTTATGAAAAATGTGAAGATTTTATGTACAGTTTCTTCTTTTCATTGACTGATGATAAATTTACTTTTATATACATTTGTCATCTATAAATAATAATAACCCAATCTTCCTTTGCAGTGCTCGCCTTGACTGTCGGTATGACGATGTACGTGGCACTACTGACGTCTACTATGGATTTTTGGTACTATTTTTTGGGTTGGGACAGCGTGGCCTTCGCCTTAATTAACACGTTCCTCTGGTTCGTGACAGAGTACTACCATCGCCATGCCGAGAGATACTTAACCTACAGAGAAATGAAGGACGATGTTTCTTACCCGTCTAGTAGCGAGGAGGATGAAAGCTAAATGTTTCACCGTGCTATTTCAGTTACATATTTGCAATATACCCTAATAAATAAAACTAAAATAATGCTAAATTTTTCTTCTTGTCTGTCATCAAAGTAGTCTTTCTTGTTTTAGCTAAAATAAAATCCAGAAAGTATCGAATGACATTTATTTAGATATTGTTGAAAATAACATTAGTTAAAAGAGTTCTTTAATTTGTAAAACTTCCATTTACATATCATATATGATTTTGCTTCCAAAAATATTTTGCAGTACATATATTTAAAAAAAATCATTTGTTTATGACATCAGTGCTTACAAGCCCACTACCATAGCTCGCCTGAGTCACTGATGGCCTTGCTGTTCCCCTTCAGCAGTGTTTTTCCCCTGTATATTCCAATTTAAAAATTTGAACTCCTATTGTGGCCCAATCCAACCCCAACCCAAAGGACCATTATTTTGAACAAACTTAAATCTTACACTACCCGAGGATGCTTCATATTAATACAAATAACAATGGCTTTGCTGTTCTTGAGAAGTTTTTGAAAAATTTTTTCCTACATATTCCTATGGAAATTTTTGACCTTCTTCTGTGACCCACCCTACCCCCGGCGGTCATGATTTGAACAAACTTGAATCTACTCCACCCGACGATGTTTCCTTAGACGTATAAATAATCAATGTTTTGTTGTTCTTGAAAAGAGGATTTTTTAAAAGATTTTTTTTATATTCCTATGTAAAAATTTGATCACCTGTTATTTCCCCGCCCTACCCAAATTTTAATCTTATTTGCAATTTGATAAGTATGACCTATCATCGAACTAATGTTCTTGAGAAAAAGATTTTTTAGGAATTTTTATATATACACTCCTGTAAAACTTGGACCCCTTTTTGTGGCCTCACCTTATCTCAAGGGGGTCATGATTGGAACAAACTTGAATCCAAACTAATATATATTTTCATAATCATAGCTTTGCTGTTCTTGGGAAGAAGATTTTTAAAGATTTGTTCCTATATATTCCTATGTAAAACTGATTCCCTGTTGTGGCCTGTGACACCCTACCCCCAGGGGTTCATGATTTGAACAAATTTGAATCTATGCCATGTTATATCCTTTCTTGAGATATTTAAACGATGCCATTAAATTTTTACTAATTTCTAATTATCTCCCATTGATAGATCCAGGGCATGGTCTTTCATTTGATCAAACTTGAATCCCCTTAACCTAAGGATACTATGTGGCAAGTTTGAATTGGCCTAATGGTTCTAGAGAAGAAGATGAAATTGTTAAAATAAATTTTGATCAGAAAACCTCACTTCAGCCTTTGGCTCAGTTGAGCTACAAAGTGAACTATTTACCTTTGGCATTAAAAAAAGAGACACATTAGATTACAAATAAATATTTATCAATGCAGCAGTCACAAAACCTGATACTTCGTATTCCATCAACGCGCATGAATACATATGCATGAATGCATGTTTTTCCGCAAAAATATAGTATATATATATAACTTTGATTGTCCTTTTTCATGAGAAGGCTTACTGAACAGGGAAACATTTGGCTTTAATTATCCTTTTAAATTCTCAATATTATTTTTAGATTGTATCGGAAGAGTAATGGACGTAGCTGTACCACAGAGTTATCCGTCTCCCCAGACGTTTCATTTTTTTTTTCTACTGAGTGGGGGGATAAGGAGTAACACTTTTTTGTTTGATTTTATAATAAATTATCAGGACCATTACAAAATTCTAATGCAATACCAATAATAATATAAGAGCAGTGTGGGATAGATATTTATCAAATGTATTTTACGAGATGTCAGTGGACTTGTCGGCAATATTCGTTTCCGTAAGGAGCGGAAAAAGTAGTTGTTCATTTACAAAGCGTCTTTCCGGACAATTTTATTCATTTCTTTTTCTACGACTCGTTTTCCACCTATAATTCACAGATTATATTGACTAATCTCCAAAATGGCGTCTCTGATGGATTCTAGAAAGAAGATTGGTCTGGTGGGTTCTTTCGTCACCATGAGTTTCGGATTGACAGGAGTAATCGGGATGGCGGTGGACAATGACATATCTGTTGCAGGATTATTTACAAATGAGTGTAAGTATCTAGTAATATTCACTCTACAAAATATAAGTTCAAACATTTCATATTAATTAAAAGTTCTGATGTATTTAAAAAGAACAGTTTTTCATTTTAAGCATTTGGAATTTCCACTGTTAACATGTAAGATCTATTAGATTTACAACAAGATGCTAACATGTTGCCAACTATTCAACTGTTTACAAGTTATTTATTCAGCTGTAAACAAGTAAGATGAATAAACGTCAACATGTTAGTAAACTTCAACTTTTAACACGAGACTAGATATTCAACTATTAATAAGATAAATTAAGATATTCAAATCTCAACATGTTATTAAATATTCAACTTGAACAAATTAATATAAGATATTCAACTGTTAATATGTTATTACACATCAACTGTACCTCAGAGACTGACATAGTGAATGTCGAAATCAATAATACTGATCTTTTTTGTTTTTCTTTTTAACAAGCTTGTGCTCTCCAGTCTTCCTTTGGGTTGATAGCCTGTGGTGCCATTGTAGAAACGTTTCTTTTCTTCATTCTGGCAATGAAGAAATGCTGTGGGCAAAAGAAGGCAGATTGGTTCCATATATCTGTTGTAGGCCATTTTATGGGAAGTAAGTTAATAATTCAATGACCTCATCAGCAAATACAATCTATCGTTAAGTCGAATGTTGACTGACGTTTTTCATACAAATTGTTAAGTCATTATTTTCACTCTGATTTATCTACGGATTTTTCCATTTGCCTGATTATGACAATGAACACACGGCGGGGGTGACGGGTCGACAGGAGATGCTTACTCCGCCATGGCACCTGATCACACCTCTGATGTTTTAAGATATCAGTGTTTACTCTGATTCATTTGTATCATTCCAATGGACTTTTGAACTTGATTACTGTTCGTTATATTCATAATTCATCAATGGCATAGTAGGGAAAAGTTTCTTCCATTTTATTGCACAGAGAAGTAATCTTTATCTTTAAGTTACATTTTTATTTCTTTCGCTTTCCTTTTCAGCCTTGGGATTTCTGATGGGAACAGTAGTGTATGGCGCCTTAGTGACGTCACGGATCTATTGGTACTTCTGGTTCTGCGTCTTTGCTTGCATCATTTCCGCTGGCCTACTGATGTTCTGGATCGCGACACAGATGTTCAGACGCTACTTAAAAGTCGCCTACCCAGACGACATCATGGTCAATGAATAGAATGTTTAGATATATAATATATATTTTCAACTTGGAACATTATTTTATTAATGTTTTGATTGTGCTCTTATCTTTTCTGTCAGAATACAGCCATAATAAAATCAATACTATATTTACGTTTTCCAGAGTCCTTATGTGATACAAAGTACATGTACACTGCGTGTCAAATATTGCAATATTCGATCTTTTCTATTTATATCCCATAATTTTCAATTGCTATGTATATTTCTCTTTGTATTGTATGATTTTTTATTTGTTTTCTATATTTTTTATAGAATATAAAAATTGTGAGCGAATACAAAAGGAATTCACATACAATACAAATTTTTAAAAACATTATAGAATGCAAATATTGTATTATATAATACAAACGGAAATAAGACAATATAGATAAAACAGATTATCAATAGAAATTAAAGAATGCAAATAGAAAATATAGAATAAAAAGTAAACAAAATGATTGTGAATACAATACAATACAAATGAAAAATTAGAAAAAGAAATGGAAAGGTCGAATTATGCAAAGGTTGATATCCAAAACGGAACTTTTCATGAAATATTATATAAATAGTGCACGTTTTTGAGGGTAACAGTTGAAATTGACACCCCAAGGAAAACCATTGTCAACCGACGCGTCAGCGGAGGTTGACAATGGTTTTCCGAGGGGTGTCAATTTCAACTGTTACCCTCAAAAACGTGCACTAATTATTTTATTATACTGAATGTCTTGATTTCGGATATCATACAAAAAATTCGGAGATCGTCGTTAAGTTCACGCTTAGAAAGCTTTCACACTCCCCACTTCTATTTTTTCAATAAGAAAGCTTCGGAAAAGATTTACCAACCTCTTTTTTGTTTGTTTGCTACTCAAAAAGTCCTTTATGATCTAAATTTTGCACTCGCAAGGATGTTTCGTCTGTCGTTTGTTGTTTTCAAGTAAGCTACATCGGACGCAAGCTTTTATTGTCGTTGTTTATTCGACTTCTTTCAAACGCACAACCGACGTTTTGAGAATTCTACGGTGAACCGTACGCGCATCATTTGAACGCATGTGATATTTTCGTAATGTTACCCGTTGTCAAGTGTGTTGCTACTGCTGAGGGTAACATTACGGATTGTTAAATGCCTCTAAACCAATCAGATTTTAGTATTTAACATGAAAGTATAAAAAAAGGAGATAACGAACAGTAATCAAGCTGAAAAGTCCATTAAACAATACAAATTTTGGAGCAGAGCAAACACGCGCACTTCAAAAACATCAGAGGACGGATTAGGTGCCATGGAGGAGTGAGCATCACATTCAAGCTTATCTGTTCATCAGAACATTTAAAACACACACACACACACACACGTTATTAATAATGGACTGATTAGTGACAGAAAAAATCAAAGGTTATACAAAAAACAAAGTTTGCGTCTCGTTATTACCAGACCTAGTTTTGAATTCACGTTAAGCAGAATTTATTCAAAAACTTCTACATTACATGAAAAGAAGAAGTCTCTTGCTATTGCCTTCAATTCAACACTTAGATATATCGACGACGTTTTAACAACCAGCAATATTCATTTTAATTCCCAAGTTGATTCGATGCATGACAAGGAGCACACGGCGGGTGTGACCGGTCGGCAGGGGATGCTCACTCCTCCATGGCACCTGATCCCACCTCTGATGTTTAGAGGTCCGTGTTTGCTCTGCTCCTATTTTGTATTGTTTTATGGACTTTTGAGCTTGAATACTGTTCGTTATCTCCATATATTTCATCCATCTGAACTCGAAATAAAAGATACCACAGAGCCTGAAACAACTGTTTCATAAATGGATATTTTACTTTAAAAAGACGTTAATAGTAACCTAACAGCAAAACTTTATGATAAACTTTGTGACTTCAACTTTTCTATCATCAACTTCCCTTACTTATGTAGCAATATACTTTTATCACCTGAATATGGAGCAATATACCCTTATCACCTGCATATGGAGTTTATGTCTCCCAGTTGATTCGTTACGCAAGAGAATGCTCCACATACGAACAATTTCTAAAACGAGGCAAGCGATTAAGAAACAAGTTGATGAAACAAGGATATCGAGAGTCTCGTTTGAAGTCAACATTTCGCAATTTCTTTGGTCGATACAATGACCTTGTAGCAAATCTTTCATTAAGTCGAATGCTGACTGATGTTTTTCATACAAATTGTTAGGCCATTATTTACTCACTAAATTGTCAATGGATTATTCCGTTTACCCTATCATGACAATAAACACACGGCGGTTGTGACCGGTCGACAGGGGATGCTTACTCCTCCGTGGCACCTGATCCCAACTATGATGTTTTTAAAGGTCCGTGATTTCTCTGCTCCAAATTTGTGTTGTTTCAATGGACTTTTGAACTTGGTTACTGTTCTTTATCTCCATTTTCTATACATCAATTACGAGATGGATATTAATGGTGTAACACATTTAATGACTGCAATAGCAAAAAGATTATAATTTTGTGAACTATACTTATCTTGATAGAACAGATAGGATTTCGATGTTGGTACAATGAACTATAATTTTTATAAATTGTTTTACAATGGAATTGAGCTGAATAGACCAATAAAACCCCTAAACACTAACTAAAGTAATAAAATTTGAAAGGAACTGTTACCATTATGATTCTTATGAGTAATAAAATTGGAAACTTTGAAGTATGTACTGGTCCCTGCTGACAAAGCAAGTAAAAACAATGTCTTTGTTTGTAAGGCTCATTATATTAAATGTATTTTAGAGGAAATTGGATTTAATTCTACAAATGGTAATCCACCTTATACTCATAGTTCCCTTTCTAAGTAAGAAATTCTTAAAAATCATATGTCAGTTTTGAATATTTTAAATATTCCAAACAACCAAAATGAATGTGAATTACCATATCTATATTGGATTCCGAAACTTCATAAAAATCCTTACAAACAAAGACACATAGCGGGTTCCAGTAAATGTTCAACCAAGCCTCTTTCTTTACTCCTCACTAAGATATTAACAGTAGTGAAGGAGAAACTTCAAGAGTACTGTGCAACAATATATTCGAGAAGTGGTGTAAATCAGATGTGGCTACTTCAAAATTCCAAAGAACTTTTGGAAAATTTGAAAACACAAGATTTTACCAAAATCAACAGCTTAAAAACTAACGACTTTTCAACTTTATACACAACCATTCCCCACGATAAATTAAAGTCCAGGCTTTTTGATATCATTGACAGCTGTTTTTTCCAATAAAAATGGAACTCGTAAATTTGCTTACCTTGTCATTGGTCATTTGCAAATTCATTGGTCTTTTGCAAAATTATTTTGTTAAAAAACATTCTGATTGTACACACAAGTACTCTGAAATTGACATTAAAAAGATGCTCGAGATTCTGATTGACAATATCTATGTGGTTTTTGGAGACCAGGTCTTCCAACAATCTATTGGAATTCCCATGGGTACCAATTTCGCCTCGTTATTAGCAGACCTTTTTTTGTATTCATATGAAGCAGAATTTGTCTAAAATCTTATACGTGAAAAGAGGAAAACACTTGCTGTGGCCTTCAACTCGACATTTAAATATATCGACGACGTATTGTCAATTAACAATGGGTATTTCCATTCTTATGTCGATACGATATATCCCGGTGAACTTGAGATAAAAGATGCTACAGAGTCTGACACATCTATTTCATATTTAGATGTGGTACCCATACTTGAAAAAGACGTTAATGGTTATCTAACAACCAAGCTTGATGATAAACGTGATGACTTCAACTTTGCAATCGTCAACTTCCCTTACTTATGCAGCAATATACCTTCATCACCTGCATACGGGGTTTATATCTCTCAGTTGATTCGATATGCAAGAGCATGTTCTACTACAATTTCTAAAACGAGGTAAATTATTGACAAACAAGTTGATGAAACAAGGATATCAACAGTCTCGTTTAAAGTCATCATTTCGTAAGTTCTATGGTCGATACAATGACCTTGTCAGCAAATACAATTTATCATTGAGTCAAATGCTGAATGACTAGTTTTTCATACTAATTGTTAGGCCATTATTTACACACTGAATTGTCGACGGATTTTTTCCGTTATTTCCCGATCATGACAAGGAGCACACGGCGGGTATTACCGGTCGGCAGGGGATTCTCACTCCTCCATGGCACCTGATCCCACCTCTTATGTTTTTGAGGTCCGTGTTTGCTCTGCTCCTATTTTGTATTGTTTAATGGACTTTTGAGCTTGAATACTGTTCATTATCTCCATATATTTCAAGTAGATATTAAGTAAATGAACTTTGGACTAGAAGTGCTGTGGTGATGAGATGGGGACTGAGCCCATACTATTACAATCATAGGCATACCTTGATTGGAGGTGTTGTCTTACTGGGGTTCATAGGTCAACGAACAAGAAAGACAATAAAAGTACTTTTATATCAGGTACCATGAATACCCTCTGAGCATAAAATACCATGATTACCGAAAAGAAAATTCTCTCGACTCTCTAATGCTCTTCTTTGGTATCTTTTCGCTATCAATTCTTCTTGAATATCACTTATCTGTAGCATGACCAAGTTTTGCATTTTATTAAAAATTGATTTTTTAGAAATATACTTCAGCCTTTTTTGGTTTGTTTTAAAGAATATTAATTACTTTTAAGTAAAACATTTGAACGTAGGAAAGTATCTGAAACTGGAGGTGAAGGAAAGCTTTTAACATGCATTGTGGATTCCTTGGTACCGTGCAAAAACTGTTTGTACATGTACTTGTTTCAAAAAAAATTAAACAGTCGAACCAGGGGTTGAAATATATGGTAGCCCGATGCTCGGGCCTAGTCATTTTAAGACTTGGGCTAGCTAATATAAATGTAATGATAGTCCATCGGACTAGCAGAATGGGAAAAAAATCTCAACAGTTTACTTTCACATTTCTATGTAGAGTGGTTTCATTAGACTGAGAACTACATTGTAGTTTAATTTGTTTCTGTCAACACAGCCTATAACACTTCAACTTGTTATGTTTTCATTTTGCATGAAAAAGTTGTTGGGCTAGTTAGTTTGAGGTTTGGGCTAGTAATTTTTTTACTGATCATTAGCCCCTGGGCTAGTGGGTTTTCCCACTTTGAGATAAACCTGATTATCTCGAACTCTATAGGACTGGGATAAAAAAACTTCGAGATATCCAAGAGTTTGATATCAATGTTCAAGATACCAAAGTTTAAATATACATGTATTTACTTGCTTTGTAGAGAAAGTATTTTAGTAGAACTTACTAGTATTTTCTTTACAACTTAAAGATCTTGTGCTTAGAACATTGTTATAGCTTTTATACTGAGATGATATTCTGTATGACAAACTTTTCATATCATTCCTTATTATTACTTAACATTGATGATTATTTTTTCTGCAAACAATGAAAAATTTAACGCTATTATTGTTCAATTTAGTTCTGCATAAACAGATACAGTTTTCAACCAAGTTTGAACCTGACTGACACTTTGGAGCATAGAAGCTAAAGTGGAGAAACTCAAATATCTGAATTTATTAATGCAGATAATGAATTGGTATTTTCATGTTGTCAAAGTCATCCTTTCAGTATTGTAAAATTGTTTTTTGAATAATGATTGAAAGAAAACACTTTTTTTTATTTTTCTCCAGATAACAAAATCTGTTCATAAGTCAAGTAAGCATGGACAAAACATTCACCATATTGTTCAGGACCAGAAGAACCCAGTGGTGTTTTATGACCGAAAAAATCAGTGACATCTCTTTAGAATGTTTTCCAGACCTTTGAAACTTTAAACTAAATACCATCATATCACATAGAGAAGACTTGATATTGGAAGACACGGATACTTGTTTAAAGGTATCAGAGAATTCTGCTCATCAGATGCTGCAAAAGATGCTGTTTGTCCAAGGCCTGTGCAACCCTAACCTGAGGTTATTACACTTACAGATAAAGAAAAGGACAAGCCTGCTAATGCAAAACAGATGTAATCCTTACTACAAGTTCATAACTTATATCTGAAGACCAATCACAAAAATCATTGCCTGTTAAATAACAGGATATCATTCAGTGAACTTTCAATGCAACATCGTTGTCGAACATGTAGTAATACTAAATTGTACAACTTTTATAACGTGTATTTTACATACATTTCTTTTAAATTGTATGTTTATTGTTTTATCAGAATATACCTTGTATATTTCTTTTGAAAATATGAAAAATTGTACAAATGTATATTATATGTTTTTATGTCATCCATTTCTTATTTATGAAATTATCACCAGTATGATAGTGTTCTCTTAGAAAAAAAAAATTAAAAGTTTTTATTTAGCATGATTTTGTTAGTGTTACCATGGCAACATACTTTTGAAATATACTAAACTAAGAAATCAAAACAGTATTTATTTGATATGTTTCATTCATAAAGTTCTTATGAAAAAAAAATATATATATAGATATATAAACATAAAACAAACGAATATCAGTACTTTGTTTAGAAATGTAAAAAAAAATGCGTTTCCTAAATTCTTGCAGCAAAGAACGTACGCCAAAAATTGTTGACACATTCAAATTGGCATAGTTTCCTTTAGGGTTGGAATTTTTCAAAAATATTTTGGATCTCTGTTCTAGACTCATACAAATCAAATAAGAAGAAAAAGAGAAAATGTGAATTTTCCTCATCTGGGCCCATCTTGCCAGTGACGGTCACATATATATATATATATATATATATATATATATATATATATATATATATATATATATATATATATATATATATATATATAGTATATATAATATAATATGTAATATATATATATATATATATATATATATATATATATATATATATATATATATATATATATATATATATATATATATATTGGTGGAAAATGAGAACATAAATTAACAAAATCAACCTCTCCTTTATCTTCAACTCGACATTCTGATATAATATACATGCATCGACGACGTTTATCAATTAACAATAGTTATTCCATTCATTTGTCTACTCCATATATCCCAGTGAACATGAAATAAAAGACGCCACAGAGTCTTCCACATCCGTTTCATATTTGGATGTTTTACTGACTATAGGCGATAAGGACCAACTTAGAACTAAACTATATAATGATGATAACGAACAGTATTCAAGTTTGACAAACGGAATGTTTTCAGCTTCTCCATCGTCAACTTCCCTTATTTATGTAGTAATATTCTAACATCACCTGTATATGGTGTCTATGTATCCCAACCTACTCGATACGTTAGAGCATGCTCTGAATACAATCAATTTTTAAACTGAGTCAAGTTACTGAAAAATAAGTCGATAAAGTATTTCAACAACCCCACTTAAAGTCAGCATTTCAAATATTCCACGGTATTTTTAATAACTTTGTATGTAAATACAAGCCATGGTTGGGTCTTATTCTGTGTGATTTGTTTCACACCAATTGTTAGGTCATTTTCTTTTGTACTGGATTTGAATACGGAGTACTCTGTATACGTGATCAATATATAAGGCTCACTGCACGGTGGTTGTGAACTGTGAACGGTCAACAGGGGATGTTTTCTCCTCCTAGGCATCCGATTCCACTTCTGATGTTTTCAGGGTTCCTTGTTTTTGCCCTTTTCACATTTAGTTTTGTTTACTAAATTGATTGTTCGTAATCTTAATCTTTTACATTTTATCCATTGAGAATGTATCGCTGCTAGTAGACAATCTTTCCACGAGGATACTTGTCGATAATTACACATATTCATCTAGGATATTGGAAAGATGAAGAATTCCACACTGACTGACACGTCCTCTAGTAAAAAAAAGGTGTCATTCTGTTGGGTCTATTAGACTAAAAACAATGAAAAATAAAACATTCGTAATATCCAATTTAAAATTATTTTTGATAAGGTCCTCAGTGAGCTTTAGTAGAACAATGATCATGCTCAGAGGTCCTTTTAAACTTTATAAATTGTAATCAGAGCCAGAACAGACCACTGAAAGCAGAGCTGGGATCAGGTGCCATGGGTAAACACCCCTTGTCATACACGCCGTGTGTCCCTTATCTTGACTGAGTGAACGGAAAAGTCCTTAGACAATTCAGTGTGAAAATAATGGCCCCACAGTTGCATGATAGACACCAGTCAACATTCGCAATAACAACAGATTAATTGATTGATTGTTATTGTTTAACACCGAGTCGGTAATATTTCAGCAATCTTTCGGCATTTTGCATAGGAAATTAAATTTTGCTAGTTCTCAATATAGATTTTTTTTTTTTTATTGCTATTCGATACTATACTTAATCTTAAAAAAACTATACTTTCTAATGGAGTTTGGTTTTAGAAAAAGAAATAATATTGAAGAATTGTGAAAACTTGTGCCCTGGGAATATGATAAAAATCAACTTTAGTTTGCTTTAAAATAAATTAAATTCTATTGAATACTAATAGTTCATATTAAAAGAAATATGGATTAAAATTAAATTAAATTAAAGTCATCCTTTTATCCTGCTTTTCAGCAAATAAATAAAGTCTTCTTAAGATACACTGTATATCACCCTTGTCAACCAGTCCATTTTGAAGAAATATACTCGAAAGTCATTATATTCATTTTTTTTTTTTTTACTTCTCACAAATATAACCGCCGAGATATGCATCATGGTCACAAAAAACGTCATGAAAAATGTATCGTTCTGCTGCATAAAAGAACATACAGTCTTGTGGGGCAGTATCGGCCCCATCAGGCTGTGAGGAACCAAAAGCGAAATACGTCATTTCCTTCATTTCTCCATTTTTGATCCACCTCCAATCCCCTCCTGGCTTTCTTCTGTTTATGTTTCTCCCACCGACGTAAAAATGGAGACCTGTAAAAATAAAAGGGTAATAAAAAAATGAATGTTTATTTTCCTGTAATTAGATGTTAAGTTACAAATTCCAATTCTACAGGAACAAGCATATTTCGTTACATATGTAACTTACTAGAAGTTTATCAAACTAAATTTTAATGATGAATTTGCCTTATATTGCAACCAGCAAATATTTTTGATATATTTAGTGCATTGTGAAAAGAAAGCATATTCATTGTTTATCAATGTTCCATTTATAGCTAATAGAAAGAATATGTACCTATAGCATTAAGTCTGGTAAAATTTTCAGATATGCTTGTGACTTATAAAAAAAATCATAGCTTTATTTTAATGATCTTTAGATATGTTCTCTTAAAAGTACCTGAATTCATTTCATTCAATTTTTTTTTCATCAACATTGCTTCCTCTAGTGTCTCAAAGTTGGCCAGATATGCCCCCATACGACTACAGCGGGCCTGAAAAAAGGAAATTATTGTAGTCTATTTAAAAACATACACATGTAAACATCTACACTAATGCAACATCCGAATCCATATTAACCTTATTTGAAACGATATTAAGCAGAGGGGCTGCAAGTACCTGGGCAGGATGTTATAAACTAAATATCTAAAATATCTTAATTCTTGTTTTATCAGACAGTATAATTTCACAAAAAAGTCTTATTCTCTGTGGACATACCGTACCTGAACATAAATTAACGTATTCAAAATTTAGCACAGTAACTTGGTATGGAGTTGTTGGAGATGTCATAAATTACTGTTGTCCACGCATTTCATTGAACTTATTTATGATTTATTAATGGTATTCTTAAATTAGAGCATTGTTGTCTGCGCTAATGCCACTAAAATATGAAGCAAATTTTTTTAAGTACACATACGAGGGTTGTTAGAAAATATCGCAGACACATTGATTTACGGAATATATATATATATATATATATATATATATATATATATATATATATATATATATATATATATATATATATATATATATATATATATATATATATATATATATATACCAGAAATATATAGTATAAATCCACACACGTAGTCGTACATCAAAAAAATCACAACACCGAAATAAACTCTACCGGTTTCATTTTCAATCTTCAGGAGTTTTCAAAACTTTTTCAAAAAGTTTTCAAAAGTTTTCAAAACTCCTGAAGATTGAAAATAAAACCGGTAGAGTTTATTTCGGTGTTCTGATTTATATATATATATATATATATATATATATATATATATATATATATATATATATATATATATATATATATATATATATATATACACGTTAGTGAAATCTTACGCAGTTCAACGATCAGGTATGAGAAACAATACAAAATCCTTGAGTACAACGTCCATGCGATGAAAAAGGATATTGGGGTATCGCAGGAGTTGATAATGAAAAATGTCAATCTCTCTATTCCTACAAAGTTGCCATCACTTGAACATTTTGGTACTTAATACGTGTATTACTTCAAAAAGGAAGGTACTACATACATGCTCGTGTGGCGATCAGCGGGGTTCGATCTGTCGGTGGCCAGATACTAGTAGTTTAGTTGGTAGAGAACCAGACTTCAGATTCAGGGGACCCGAGTTCTAATCCCGGTCTTGTCCGTCGCATTTTTCTCCTCTCCGGTTAAATTTGGGGCCGTGATCATGCCCTGGAAGTGACAGGTGAAAGACATGCCAGGGAAAAGCCTGGGTCGGTAAATTCGGGACGAAGACCTTAAAGGAGGAACGAAGTTGGCGATCAGGCAGGTTTGATCTCCGGGGACCAGAAAGCCCAGCTTGAAGAGCAACTGACCAGTGACTAGGGCTCGGATTTGAATCCTGGTCTGCTCCGTCGCATTTTTTTCCCTCGCCGGTTACATACAACGTAAGTAAAAAGGTGTATCCAAATAGAATATGACTGCAGCAAAATAAACAGAGCTATGGAAATTCCTGTCAATTTGGTGTACTCCAAATTAAAGGATTTTGCTTGTTTATTTAGTATTTTTGGCGGATCTAGTAAATCACCAATGACGTAGTACACAACTTGATGATTCTTCTCAAAACCGGAAATACTCCCAATCATAAAGTATAGCAAAACGTCAATAATTCATTTAAATTTTGTGACAGTGCTTTTAATGGTGTAATTCAATATGAAACAATGCCAATAGGGCCTATACTTATAGAATTTTACCGTCACAGTAACTCAACCGGTGCTCCTCGATCGGAAGGTCGTGGGTTTAAGCTCCGGTCGCGAAAAACCCAAGTCGAAAAAAATAAGTAGCAACTGTTCCTATGCTAAGCGCTCGGTACTTTAAAGGGAAAATAGTGGGTCTATTAGACGAGACCTTTAAAAACTATGCCCCATGTCACGACTTGCGTTACCACGACAAAGATCTCTCACCCTGAGTGAGGAGTAAAATATTTGAAGCTCTTCAACGGTATAGGGTGACCTGTCATTTGAGTGAAATAATCTTGAAATGGACATATAAAAGCAAACAATCAAACAATAAACGGAGTCGAATGATTTTCACAATTTTGATGTACAACCATTATAACTTACACAACATTATGGTGTCTGTTTGGAGGGTAACAGCTGAAATTGACACTTCAAGGAAAACCATTTTCGACCGACTTGTCAACCTTCAACACGACATTTCGATATATCGACGACGTATTATCAATTAACAATAGTTACTTTCATTCATATGCGACTCGATATATCCCAGTTAGATTTTAAGAAAAAAGATACCACAGATTCTGACACATCTGTTTCATATTTAGATATTTTACTAGAAAATGACGTTAATGGTAACCTAACAACAAAGCTTTATGATAAACGTGATGACTTCAACTTTTCAATCGTCAACTTCTCTTACTTATGTAGCAATATACCTTTATCACCTGCATATGGGGTTTATGTCTCTCAGTTGATTCGATACGCAAGAGCATGCTCTACGTACGAACAATTTCTTAAACGAGGTAAGTTATTGACAAACAAGTTGATGAAACAAGGATATCAACAGTCTCATTTGAAGCCATCATTTCGCAAGTTCTGTGGTCGATACAATGACCTTGTCAGCACATACAACCTATCATTGATTCAACTGCTGACCGACGTTTTTCATACTGATTGTTATTATTATACACTGAACTGTCTACGGATTTTTCCGGGGTTTTTTTTATCATGACAAGGAGCACCAGTCGGCAGGGGATACTCACTCCTCCATGGCACCTGATCCCACCTCTAAATTTTGAGGTCCGTGTTTGCTCTGCTCCAAATTTGTATCGTTTCATTGGATATTCGAGATTGAATAATGTTCGTTATCGTCATATTTCATCGAATAGGCATCACATTTTATCGAATAGGAATGATATGTTTTAGAATAAGAATAACAAAATTTTTGAATAGGAATAACAAAAAATATAATAATGCAACGTTTTACACGCCATACACGTTATGAATTAATTTTTTCAGCATTTCACGTAATTGTGCTGCTAATGTCGTTGATAACTCCGTTGAAGTTTACAAATTCTCATCTCTCTATCACTGAATTGTCGCCTTTGACGCCAGAGCAGTATTTTTCCGAAATATGATTTAAATATGCCTATCTTTGTATTTGAATTTAAACAATTTTCGACAAATCCCCAGTGATCCCTCTGTGTTGATCTGGTAATATTTAAGGAATAACTGTCTAGTTTTTTGGGTTTTATGACGTGATCAATCAATTTGCTCGCGTGATAATTGCATAAACGCCAAAGGCGCTTATGCGTAAAATAATCACGCGAGCAAATTGATTGATCATCATCATAAAACCCAAAAACCAGACAGATATTCCTCATATTTACATTTTTACTTGATCCTTGATTCAATAAAAAAAATCAAATCTCAGCATCCCCACCAGGTATATTACCAAGCAACACGCAGCAAAAAGCATGCAGTTCTGTCACGTGCTGAGCAAATCGATTTATGGGGTTATAAAGCTATTACCTTATTTGTAGTTTTATCTCAGAGAAAGACATTGGAAATGTATATATGCATAGATAAAATTTATATAAAAAAGTCACCTAACAATATGCACATCTAAGAAACATGTCGGTCAAAATTTTACCATGTGATACCTACAAATAGACACACAAAAAGAGGTTTCTTGATGAAAATTATGTTCCTTTTTCAACATTCCTTGTGGTTTTGGTTTTTCTTTTTTGTATATATTGCACTATGAAAGAAAACAATTATAAAACTTGTCTATTATGAATATGGATAGGAAAGGGGATTCGCCTGGGTCAGTATTTATATTTTCTATATCAACATCAATGGATATTGACGACCTCAAAAAGTCTTTCATTAAATTCATTCTATTGAAATAAGATAGATTTTCAAAAATTTTAATAACTATGACTTAGTGAATATTTGTAAAATGTTTACTTACGAATGCCTCGTCTCCAGACACTTTGTCTTTGCTGATGTAATAACAGTTCCCCTCGTAAATTTGAAATGGAGGTGAGCATATGTAGGCTGTGAATTAGTTAACTACACGTATTATTCTGTTATCGTGAAATTTGATTTCTTCTTTCGTGAAAATCTTATTTCGACAAACATAGTCAATTTTTAGCTAGAACGAAAATAGTCGAATCTGACCACTACATATGTAAAAAGTTTCATAGGTTATCATCTATATGTAAAGACTGTAAAAATATGCTTATTGTCTGCAGATTTTCTTATGTATAATAAGCAATCTATATTATTTAAAGTTGTTTTATAAACACTTGCTTTGGTGTTCAAAGACCTATCACTCTCTTTTACCACTATTATCAAGTTTTCTTTGTGTAACCACAAAACATTTGACGTATTAAATACAAAAAGAACGTAAATACTTTAATTAAATAAATATTACCTAATTGTTAGTTTGCCATACAATTTCATAAACACTGCGAGAATTGAAAAACTAAAATTGATAAGAGGCACAGTTAACTACATATAAAAAGTTCACTAAAAATTTAAAATAAATAAAAAAAAATACTGGTAAATAAATCAATTCTAACTTAAATACTTGCCTTGCTTTTCCAGACACCCTGACACAGCTGTAGCACATAGCCAACACACAATAAATGACCATATCTTCATCCTAAATATAAGTATCAAGATCAGAAATCGGATAGATATATATAACATTAAATTAAAAAAAACAGAAAATACGTTACATCATTTGATAAAGTAATGTGACAAAACTATCTGTGACAATATAAATATAAGCAGCTTTTTTTTCTGACTGCTGGTTTACAAATGCTTGGCTCTGCATCAGGCATAAATTATTGTATGTATTCAGTATTCTGAGTGAATATTATTTAAACAAAATTATTGTGTTTAATTTATAGTGTATATAAACAACATCCAGTCTGTTGTACGACTTAACCCGTGATAAAAATGTTCTAATTAATGAAATTCAGATATTTAGTACCTTATTTTACATGTTTAAAGGAAAATGTAGTTTTAAGGCAATTTACTGTCGGTTAATAGTAGCCAGTCATTAGAATATGATTGTTTGATAGATATACATTGTTCATCTTTCTTGTCATTCTTCATATTAACAAAGATTTACAAGAAAGATTCAATGTTGATTTACAAACAGGCATTTTAGACGTGGGTTTTGAACGGGATTTTCTAAGACAACATCAAGTTAAACTTCATGTATTTATCAATTTACATTGATGATGTTAAAGATAAATTGATGTGCTGTACGCCTAACGACTTGTAACCTCTTCAAAATTAAATAAAAAAGTATAAGAAGCGTAAGTGGAAGGCCTAAATTGTTATGAAACTACTCAAAATGATACAAGAATTCTAAAATTATAAAAACTCTAATAAATGCATAAAAGATTTAGAGGTGATTCCATAAACCAGCAGATGATTACATTTAAAGTAGATACATACATTTCTGGTTATTATATTATAATGACCATGCTTGTATGTGTGTACTTCAAATGGTAAAAGGTAACGAACAGTCATCAATCTCAACAATCCAGTAAACAAAATTAATCGTGAACAGGGCAAAAACACAGACCTCTGGAAACACCAGAGGTGGGATCATGTGCCTAGGAGGAGTAAGCATCCCCTGTTGACCGGTCACACCCTCCGTGAGCCATACAATTGTATTAATCATAATTGTGTTGATCATATAAATGGAAGTAATCCGTTGGCAAATTTAGTATAAAAGGGAATGACCAAAAGGTATGAAATATGCTAAACTAAAATACTATACAATGATAGGTTGTATTTTAAAACAAGGTCACTATATATAAGGTACGACTATGAAATTTGCGGAAAGCTTAATGAAAACTGAGTTTTTGAAATCCTTGAAACATCACATTATTTGTCAATAGCTTGCCTTGGTTTAAGAAATGATCGTACTGAAAGAATCCTTAGGGTCATGAATCAGTTAGGATACATAAACACCAGAGGCAGGTGATGTTGAAATATTACTAAATAGATAAGGAAAGATGATGATGGAAAAGCTGAAGTCATCTCATTTGTCATACAGGCATGTTGTTAGTCAGTACTTATCGTCAGGAAAACATCCAAATATGAAACAGATGTTGCAGAATAATGAGGCGGAGCATTTTGCAATATAATTTGATCTAAAATTCAAGAGTTTGGAAAAGAGATAATTATAAACCTTTCTCAAATTTTGATTTTTAATTTTATGCTTCAATACCCCTCACAAGAAGGCGTTTCTTGAGGACAGTACACATGAATTTATTGAGCTAATTTGTAAATAAATGTTTCAACTATTAACTCGACCGAGGCATACCTTCTTGTCCCTATCCTTAACAGTATATAGTATATCATAATCATCAAAGAAATTGGTGAATTCGTTTTTTCTTGTATTGCCATAGACCAGTAATACTTGTCGGCTGGGTAGAACCATCACTGTGCAGTCACTGACAGATTAGATATTTCATTAAAGATATGTCTTGTCATGATGATGGCAAAATAATGCCACAGACTTAATTAAGATAAATTAATGAACTGGTTGTTCTTTTACACCACTAAAATCGGATTAGATGATTGAAATGTAAGGCTTCATAGGAAACCTACATAAATGCTCAGAATTGGAAGATTTGAGAGTTTTTACTCTAACATGACATGGAAAACTCTATCAGCTTAAAACAAGGTGTTAATTTTTTGCCCTTTGTGCACTCCCCATTGTTGAGTCAAAATTCACTGTAGAGTTTACTAGGATACGACAAACTTAGAATACCCTTTCTCTAAACGTATAGTTCTACCAATGGTCAGTTAAGTCCTGGATTCGAAATAAACAAATCCACAAATAAATCATTCTATTCCGTAGACAACGTAAGAAGATTTCACTTCAGGGCTGTGTTCAAGATCGTTGCGGCTAATCTAGCAGCTAGATAGTAGATATCTATTGAACGGACAGCTAGACTAGCTGGTAAATGTTAAATTTTGGATAAAAAGAAAATTAGTAAAAACTTATTTTTGGATCAAAAAGGGTTTATTTCAAGAGAAAAGGACAAGGTATGGTAACGGCCGAATCTGGTCCCTTATTTGAAGTAAAAATCAGAACACAGTTAAAGTTGTGACAGTTTGTAGTTAAGAACTTTAAGTGATGCTGGTTTTAAAACCAGCACTTATTTTGATTCAAAGCTTACACGGAGGCCACAAGAGGGTGCAAAGTGGGCCGTTTTCCCGAATTTCCTCAATTCTGGTCGAATTTCGTCAAATTTGAGATACTTTTCACTTCAGGAAATATAGAGCACAAGCTTGCCTATCTGAGATTTTTATACATAAGGTGCATCTGATACTAGTGTATGAAATATATAAATTTGGTAGACAGGCAAGCTTGTGCTCTATGTTTTTTGAACCAAAATGTGCTGTAAAATCGATGAAAATTTGTATAAAAATGAGAAAATTCGGAAATTGACATATTTCCTGACCTTCCTGTGACCTCTGTGTATCCCATAACTTAGAACCAATACTCATTTTGTGGCAGGGGTGACAGCAGGTTTTTAACTGATAAACTGTTGCATCCCTCTAAAAGACACCCCGAACCGGGGGTCAAAAAGGGGTCTTAGCCTATCTTTTCCTTTATACGTAAATTTACATTTAACTCGCTAAAATATCGAAAACACCCCCTTTTTCTTAAAATCTTGTATGCTGCGAAGTTGTAACTAAGGAGGTCATCTTGGATTTGGTACTTAAAAGGAATCATCTGTTATACCTCTTATTGAAACTTTACAGTCATTCATTTTTTATATGATTTTTTGGATTCATACCAAAACTGGTAATCTACAATTGCAGATAAGACATATGTTCAATATCCCGAAATATAATCTGATGGACACCACCCGACTCTTAGAGTCCGTGTCCCTTGTAGACTCAAAGAGTGCCGCCCAGGCGACTCGCCAGCCAGTATATTTTATTATTCTGTCTTCTTCTCATGATTGTATAAGTACAGAACGACATGCATTCCAGGGAACAGACTGTCCACCAGCAGAGATGCATGTTCGATGGTTAAAAATGAAATGTGAAGATAACGAACAGTGATCGAAATTCCATATAAATATGATTTATGAGCATAGCCAACATATTAAATTTAGCTCTCCTTCTTTACACAAAGGTCACAGATAGTTATTATCACCTTTTTGCACAAATGTAGTCAAGCTAAGGAGTAGATACAAACTTACTTTGTTCAAAATCATTCTATTTCTATATACAAGAAATTTGTATTTAATATTTCAAGATGCTTGCCCTGACCTTTCTCCTTTACTGCTGTTAATATTTTATTGAGGACTAAAGAAAGAGGCTTGCTAGAACAATTACTAGAACCCGCTTTGTATCTTTATTTGTAAGGATTTTTAAGAAGTTTAGGAATCCAGTATAAGTATGGTAATTAAATGCAACTTGATTTTGGGAATGTTACAAATATTTAAAATTGACATTAATGAATTAATTCATGTTTTGATATTTTAATAGAGATAGACACTGATGTCGAACTTACATTTTATCTTCATTTATCAAGCGTGATAACTTCAACTTCTCTATTGGAAACCCCCTTATTTATGTAGCAATGTACCAGTATCACCTGCATATGTAGTGTTCATTATGAATTCACTTATGTTTAAATTTTAATAGAATATGTAGAATGACAAATCTAAGTTTGTTCTTGTTATACGCCTCAATATAGCCAAAGTACTGTCGACTCGGCGTAAAATTATAAACAAACAATCAATTACAATGAATCAATCTTGTTACTGCATCAAGAATAAGCACCTGGCAATTAGATGTGCTTAGTCGAATTTCATTATTATTCTTTTTTGGACCGAAATTGTTCTCTTTTGATCTCATACACTTGAAATTCATTTTGAAGAAAATTAAGAAGCAAAGGATCATGCATAGAATTCTCTGTAAGTTTTCCCTACGGGTTTTTAATGACAAAAGAAAGATAATCTGTATTCATATACTTTGTCTCAGCTTTCTGTATAATTGAAAAATTTTCTGCAATTTTAAAAATTTCAGTATTTCAGAAATATAATACGACCCAAGAAAATAAGTTACATTATATTATAAGGTGACTTACTGAACTTTCTTGAAAGTTTTCAAAATATAATACATTCAAAAAGCAAATTTACCACAATCATACTTACATAAACTTTATCCGAGTCAATCCGGTAACATTGTTTCCTGTTTTTTTCCATCGCTATTCTTCGTACATGAGAAAACTTTTTAGCATTTTTTACCTATTCATAGTTGTTAAACTCAGTTTTTTTTCTGTTTAAACAATAATCATTTATGAATTAAGATGTAAACATCTTGCTTTTATGTTCTCTTAATGGCATAAAGGTCGAGCCATTACTCAGAAAACAATTAGATGAATATATTGAAGAGATTTAAATCCCCTAGGTGATGAAAACATCACCCCTGGGACCCTGATTCAAGTCTCAATGTAAGTTGATCATTTATTGTTACTTAAATTTTATAAAATAAAATACTATATTAACCAAAATCCTATCTAGAAAGGTTTAACTTCAAAGCATTTCATCCGTAATGTATTCTAATTTTAATTTGTTTTATTTTATCCTTAAGTTTATTAAATGTTCTGGTCGCCCGCGTGGTGCAGTGGTTAGAGCGTTCGCTCTAGAGTCGCGGAGTAAGGAGTTGAACCTTACGTCGCGGGTTCGAATCCCACTGTGGGACGTGAAAACCAGTCCTTCGGATGGGACCGTATAAACCGAAGTCCCGTGTCGCAGTAGGTGCTGGCACGAAAAAGATCCCTCACTGCTCAATGGCCCTGAGTGTCGAGTATAGGTCAAAATGTGTAGCTCTCCACCGGCAAGTGGTGGCGTCTCCATATAAGTGAAAAATTCTCGAGAGGGACGTTAAACAATAAACAAACAAACAATTAAATGTTCTGCATACGAGTAATTTCTGAATAGAAATAGGCTACTGACAAATAAGTTTACGACAACATTATCCAAAGTTTCGTTTACAAACAACATTTGGAAAATTCTTAAGTCGATACAATGACCTTCTTTGGAGAACCTGACCTAAGTCAAATGTGTTGAATGACTTTTTAAACAAATTTTAAGCCTTTATTTTTAAACTGATTTTCGACTGATTATTCCGTTTACCCGATCAAAACAAGAGACTTTAAGCTGGTGTGACCTGTCGACAGTAATTGCTTCCTTGTTCATGGCACCTGATCCTATCTCTGACATTTCAAGGGGTCCATTATTGCCGTTTTCTCAAGTTGTAAAAGTTAATGGGATTGATCTGAGATTGATTACTGTGTGTTATCTTCACATTTCACTTGAATTATCACCGACAAATTTTTATTCAAGGAATCATGTAAAATATATTTTATTATAATATGTTCTTTGATCTACTTTTCGCAGATATAACCACCAAGGTATGTATCATGGTCACAAAAGACGTCGTGGAAAATGTACCGTTCTGCTGCATAAAAGAACATGCATTCTTGCGGAGCTTTGTCAGAACCGTTTGGTTGCCCGGCACCAAAAGCAAAATACGTCATTTCCTTCATTTCTCCATTTCTGATCCATCTCCAGTCCCCTCCCGGTTTTCTTCTGTTAATGTTTCTTCCACCGACGTAAAAGTGAAGACCTGTAAAAACAGAACGTAATGGCTATAATTGGTGTCTTAAACTGTGTGTACTGAATTATGGTTACTAGTAATTGCTTTTGTTTGTAAAATGATGTATTTGACAAACTAGAAGTTTCAATGAATAATGCATATTCCAAACTATATTTGACTAACCATTAGTTTATTTTACAAAATTATAATTATGAATTATTGATCTGCAAATAAATGCACGAATTTGCACTAATTGCTTACATAAATTGATATATTGATGTTGATGGTGATGTAATTTAGTGCTTCAATAACTGTTGTGACAATTTTGATTTGTTATCTCTTTAAATATATATATATTGGGGGGAAAATCAAATTATACATTGATGTATCAAAAAGTACCTGAATTCATTTCCTTCAATTTTTTTTTCATCAACATTGCTTCCTCAAGTGTCTCAAAGTTGGCGAGATATGCCCCCATACGACTACAGCGGGCCTGAGAAAAATACATTAAAATAAAATGAAGTCTAACTTCGAAGAACAAAAGTCTGTTTTTCTTCAGTGGTTGTATAATGTTTGTTTTTTTTTCAAATGCCTCAAAGTTAATTAATGTACAGTCTATTCTAAGGCATACATTCAATCTGTTTATGAAATTCAATATTAATTGCCTATGCAACGATATGAAGCGGGGGACCACGCATGTGAGATAGTGATATCACTCACGACACCTCAGATAAAAAGTGATATCACTCACGACACCTCAGATAACATTCAAAATATTTGAACAAACTGAGCAACAGATGTTGAGCCATTATTTTCTCAATGAATTGTCTACGGGTTTTCCGTTTACCCAATCATGAAAAGGAACACACGACGCATGTGACGGGTCGAAAGGGGATGCTTACTCCTCCATGGCACTTGATCCCAACTTTGATGTTTTAGAGGCCTGTGTTTGCTCCGCTCACAAGTTGTATTGTTTCAAATGGCTTTTGAGCTCGATTACTGTTCGTTATCTTCATGTTTCATATTCTTTTGTGAAAATGTGTCGTTATTCAGCCTTCATTGTCGTTTCCTTTATATCCTGGACTATATAATAAAAACAATTATGGATTTTTGGAATCCCTAATTGGAGCAGGAAAAGGGACTAAACCACCTCAGACATTAAGAATTGTGTGAACATTTTTCTTACTCAAAATAGGTGCGAATTTTGAATCTTTGTAAAATGTGTACTTACAAATGCCTCGTCTCCAGACACTTTATCTTTGCTGATGTGATAGCAGTTTCCCTCGTAAATTTGAAATGGAGGTGTGCATATGTAGGCTGTTAATTAAGAAATTATATCCTGTAATTTATGTTATGGCACACTTTCCTTTTTAGAAACAGAGCTAAACTTTGTATGACCGCTACAGTACATGTGCGGAAAAGCTGAAAGATCATTATCCGATACTTACGCGGCTGACAAAATATAGGTTTCCTAGCTGTTATTCAAATTCACCATTTGGCAATTTATGTTAGTTGCAGTTGTTCCAAAAATATGTTTGTGTTTAAGGATTTTTCACGCTCTTGAGCCATGATATTATAGGCTGACATTGTTTCCGATCACTTACTGCAATATCTTTTACAAAAAGAGTTTCAATACCATTTTTACATTTTTCGTAGCTGAAGTGTTATTACTAGAGATTGTTCTTTCTGACGTATCCGTATAAGTATCCGTATCCGTATACGTATCGAGGTGAGAGAGGCATCTCGATCCCGATGTCTAAACTATTACTATAATTTCCATCGTTATTTGTTTGGTTTTAAAGCAGCCCCATTCATTTAAGAATAGCATATGGGTTTTTTTTCTAATATAAAATGTATTAAGCTGCTGTAAACGTCTATCATTTCGCTGGAAAATTTCTTAAAAAATAGATGTATTTGTTTTCATTATATTATTTAAAACTTTAATTGCAATTTTGTTTAAAAACATTTATCGGGATCCCCCTCTCTCTCTCCTTTAACATCAGGACATTTTATTGATTGATTCTGTAATTTACATTAGATGACATAAAATTAACCCCCACCCCCGCCAGCTCACACACACACACACAGTAAAATGCAAAGGACGTTGTATCCATACAATCAATAAAACCGTGTAGCCGTTTTCTGAAGAGAATTAGCTTCCAGACCCTTACCAGTATATGCTTAAAAATGCCAGTTCATCCCCCCCCCTTCTCGGGGGGGGGGGGGGAACTGGCATTTTTAAGCATATACTTTCATAGCGTCTGTTGACTTTCTTCATTCTTTTTTCAATGAACTAATTGACAAATACCTGTATGTCTCCCCTTCCCCTCCCGAGTTGAAATTGCTACTTTCGTGCCTATTCTCATACGGCTTGATTTTGCTTTATATTTTGTCCTGTCAGCAGTATAAACTTGAAAAGACTTCATGTCGACAAAAAAAATAGGTAATGAAATGAAAATGCAATTGTTAAATTTGATTTTTCCTTTTAGTTCTCTTGTTGTCGTACATGTGTATTATAATTCATGGTTTGATATAGAAACTGTTTCAGAATAGGGTATTTATTATCTTAACTCTCTTTTTATAAGAAAGAAAAGAACACTAGGCTAAAAAATGCCAAAACAATAGACATATCTATTTCTTCTATGCTACCTTGTCCATCTAGCTGATTTTTATTTATTTATTCATTTATTTTTATTTATTTATTTATGCATTTTGGCCCAAAAGTGTGAGTCAATTCAACACGCAGTTTAAAGAATTGAAGAGAAGAGGCTCTTCAACGTAGCAGAAAAATAAAAAACACAGAATAAAGAATAAAATTTATACAAAACATTTAATTGATAAAATGTCAGCATTTTTTCAGAGTTTTGATCCCTCTTGTACACAAAGAACTACAGTCATCTTAATTTCAACAAGCATTCTGAGAGTATTGCATTAGCAATACAAGTCCCCTACCGGCAAGTGTAATCTGGTTCCGTTCCCGTTTAAAATTGAAAATGCCATAATTCCGTCAAAAATTAATGAAGCGGGAGGAAATGCAAACTTGATCTTTAACTAATCAAGGTAAAGCCACATACCAAAAATCAGCTCAATATCTACAAGCGTTTAGAAGAAAATTGCCCCCCCCCCCACACACACACATACCCAGTAATAGGTTTTTTAAAGGTTTGATTAATTTCTACATCTTTTTTTGTCAAAGTTTTGCAAAGGTGACTTGGTATTTTTTGGTTTCTCCATGCCTTGGCCCAGCTTCCCCCTTCTCCACTTTGTTAATCAATTTTAAGTGTCTGCTTGATGTAGACAAATTTATACTCATCTAGAATGTTTGATCTCTGACACCTCGTACATTTAAACTTTGTTAACTCAAATCCTTGGATATATCGAAGTTTGAATTGGTCCAGTCAAGTTTGAGATAACGAGCGTTGACTGTATGCATTATGGGGAATATGTCTTGTACTGGTAAAGGTAACTTCGAGAATGAAACAATAATATATCCTGATATTGAGAGAGAGAGAGAGAGAGAGAGAGAGAGAGAGAGAGAGAGAGAGAGAGAGAGAAGGGGGAAGTACCTTTTTTAACCTTTTTTTTATTTTTAAACAAATTTATAAAAATATTCTTACTTTTTTACTAATTTTATTTTTTTTTTAATCCTTCCATAAAATGATAGGTGTGAACAGCAACTTGATACGTTTTAGTAGAAATATTACTATATATCTTATTTTCCAATGAATGAGGTTAAAATAAAACAAGAAACGATGGAAGTGTTACCCAACGGTTAAATCATCGGGATCGAGATGCCTCTCTCACCTCGATACGTATACGGATACGGATACGTATACGGATACGTCAGATAGAACAATCTCTACTACTACAGAATGTGCTTTTCATATTAATCAGTATATACGCACCGTGTAGATATTCCAAGTAAATTGATGAGAGCTATGTATCTTAAAAGACATATTAAGTTTGATTTATTTTTTAAAATGTAAATGTTCTTATCATTTCTGACTTTACTACTTGCCTTGCTTGTCAGAGCTCCCTACCAAGGCTGTAGCGCACAGCCAACACACAACAACTGACCACGTCTTCATTTTGAATATAAAGTTGAAGATAGGAAACCTTATAAATATAACGCTGAGTGAATAAAAGCAAAAATGTGCTACATCATTTGATTGAGTAATCTGACAAAATAATCTGTGACATTGTCAAAGCAATAATAACCAATTTGAAAAAAAATAACTGAAAATTACATTATTCATTCTAGCTTCAGGTACCACATTTGTTTGGTTCAGGTATCATTATAAAATATTATATGTTTTAGGGTATCATGTGACATTGTTATCCCACGAAAACCATTGCTGGCCAAGGCGAAGCATCAGAGGTGGGATCAGGTGCCATGAAGGAGTGAGCATCCCCTGCCGACGATCACAGCCGCCGTGTGCTCCTTGTCATAATCGAGAAATAACGGAAAAATACATCGACAATTAAGTATGTAAATAATGGCTTAACGATAAGTATGAAATACGTCAGTCAGCATTTGACTGAATGATAGATTGAATTTGCTGACAAGGGCATTATGTCGACCATAGTACTGAAGAAATGATGACTTTGAACGAGACTGTTGATATTCTAGTTTCATCAGTAACTTACCTCGTTTTATGAACTGTTCATACTAAGAGCATGCTCTTGCGTATAGAATCCAGTGAGAGGTATAAACACCATAAACAAAATATAAGAATGTAATCAAACATATGCCACTCTTCATAGTACACAAATTTTCCGTAAATCATTGTGTCCGCAAACTTTTCTTTCACCCTCATAAGTGTATGATTATAATAAGCAAGAGTGCCTCTTCCAAAATTGTGAAATTCCTGGCCCTAGGGTCAGGGGTTTTGGTGGTAAGGCTGAGATTTAAATCTACTGATTATATAGTGAAAATGCATAAATTCTTTGAAAATCTTATTCTCTGCTCCCGGGCATCTAGGAGGAGGCAAACAGTACATACATGTTGTTGTAATGAGCAAGGATATTTCTACCAGATTTGTGAAATTCTTGACCCCTGGATCTGTGGTTCTGGTTCTGGGCTCGGCTTTATTGATGCTGTAGAGAAAACTGCACTCTCCTGAGAGAAGTTATTTCCCTTTGCTATTTATTTATGAAAAATAATAACTGTATATCATATAACTGATAGGTCAACTGAATAAAGAATTAAACAAGAAATTTTAGAAAAGTACTTTGGTCAGGTAGACTTGTAGATAATAGAAATAAAAATTAGACAAAAACACATTATCTTCATACATTATATATTTCTTCAAAGACCAAGAGAGGCCAATGTGTGATTGAATGCATGTTCTCAAACACTATTGAATTGTTTATTCTGCATGATGACAATCACATAAGAGCTTATGCATAAGTACTGGGGAATAAATAGATATACTTTATGATTTAGACTAATCATTTCGTTGATCCCTGATTATCCTATTTCTCTTGCATTGGGGCAACATACCTTCATCTCTCAGTTTATTTTGTTTTATTTCCTACTTCAGTGTTGTATTATACTCAAGTGACCGGCAATTAGGCCTTGTGGTCTCTTGTTTAATAAAAATGGGATTCGTAAATTAACATATCTTGTCATGGGTGATCTGCAAAATTATTTTGTTCAAACGTACATCATCACCAGTTAAGCAGATATATTCCAAATTTAAAATAATCAAATGAATCCATTGCATATAATTAATTTAGCGACTTGACATACTTATACTGTGGAATATCAGTAGAGGCATTTGTTTGCGTGTGGTAAGTTGACCAGGGCATAGCCGGGGGACTTTTAATATATGTACGGTTCCAATATTTAGGGAAAGCAGCATTTGTAAAATAGATTTTTCCCTTTTAAACCTTCTGCATCGAATATCTTTTGAGTTGTAATTCAAAATTATTCTACCCGATCAACATATTCTACGGTTAATGTCATTTTTATCTAACTAGTTTATTTTGATAATCGTTGATAAACACTGGTTCGATTTGAAAATTAGTCCGATGACAATGAAAAAGGCGACAATAACGAACAGTGATCAATCTAATAAAGAACCTACAAACAATACAAATCTGTGAGCAGGGCATAAAACGCGGACCCCCAGAAGTTCTACAGGTGGAATCAGTTGCATAGAAGGAGTAAGCATCCGCTGTCAACCAGTCACATACGTCGTGAGCCCTAAGTATTGATTGGGTAGACGGAATATTCCGCAGTCAAATTTAGTATAAAAACAAAGGCCTATCAATTGGTATTAAATATGTCAGTCACCATATTTTGTCTTGTCTGACATGTTTGATAGGTCATAGTTGAATCCACACATTTCAAAAGTTATGTTCCTTGGTCACTATCTTTGGGAAAAAAAACCATGGAATCCTCACAGTAGCCTTTGTAGTTTGGCTTGTAACATTGTCATTTGACTCGGAAAAATCTGTACATCTTGTATATTGATTGTCCAGAGGGATGAGGTTACCCATACATCGAAAGAAAAAAAATTAAATTCAGTGGATTTTCGGAGCACGCCCAAAGGTTTGGTAGTATAAAGAGTTGAAATGTTTCTTTCCCGTATGACCTTTTGGCTGACCCCACAAAGGGAAACAACTTTTGCAAAGTGTGGATTGGACTATTGCTTATCTTCTTAATTTGACTTCAGAGTATTTCGTATATCTGAACAACATATAGGGCTCATACATAGGACGGGTGTGATCGGTCAAAAGAGGATGCTTACTCCTCCTAGGCACCTGATCCTACCTCTGGTGTTCCTAGGGGTCCGTGTTTTTGCTTTGTTCATGATTCGTTCTGTTTACTGGATTTATGAGATTGATCACTGTTTATTATCTTCATATATTTGCATTTTCATTTGTATGTACGAAATAAAACTACAAATAAGGCTATGGCTTTATAACTTCTAATTAATTAAGCGATTTGCTCAGCACGTCAGAAAACTGCATGCTTTATCATTGTGTGTTGTTTAGTTATAAAGGGGGGGGGATGCTGAGATTTATTATTTTCAAATAAAAATATTTTTATTGAATCAGGGATTAGGTAAAAATGTAAATATAGGGAAAACTTTACTTAATATGTTAGACGGTGCGACCGTTGGTGAGGGCGGAGCCATCAAGTGAACATTTCTAAATTTGATTGTTTAATGATAAATCAGTGTTAAAATCAAGTTGCAATTATTGTCAGAAAATCATAACAAAGACCTCAGTCCTTTTTAAAAAAAGCTTCAAGTTCTCTTATAGCCTACCTCAAATATTTTTTCATTTCATATAAAGAAATTTAAGCGTATTTGGTTTTATAAATCTGGAGAACTTTTACTAAGATATTTCATCATGAAATGCCTAGCCAGAGCACCATAACGGGGAAAGAGCGTGCACGAGACCAGTCAAAGATTCAACCTACCAAGGCCCAAGAACTCTTAAACTCTTTCATCTATATATCGATCCAACAATTGATACGTGAACTTGTATGAGCATCATTTCTTTATCTTTCACGACTTAATTTAAAAACCCCAATCCAGAAACATCAAGTCATTTAATTCCCAAATGCATGGTCATGACATCAAACCAAATAAGGACAATTGTCAGGGACTACATCGAAAGTCGAACTTGGGACCCAAACTACAGAAAGATGATCTAATTCCTGGGTTATCAGGACATTTGGAAACTGATCATCTGACCAACACAAGGGCTGTGTATCGTGAGGGCTAAAAGTATCAGCATCGCAAAATTTCTGAGAATTATTTTCTTAATTTTAATGGAAAAAATGTAGAGTACATTTAACGTTTCTGCATTTTTAAAAAACTAATCTGATTCGAATAGTCTTTAGTGTTTTGTAAAACTAATATAAAAGCAAGATAAAAATATTTTCTTTTTAATATCTTTAAAAACGAATTTAACTCAATAAAAGTTTTTTTATCCAGATATTGAATTGTTTATGCGAAAACTATTAGAATTTTAAAACCAAAACTTGTGAATAATAGGGTACATTTCTGGGAAGTATCGAATAGAATATTTATCGATGTATCGAACCCCCCCCCCAATTGATGTTTTGTGACATCCCTATCCACCACATAATTAATAAAAAGGATCATATATAAGGAAGCTAAAAAAAAAAGATATTTTAGTACTACTCAACAACATTGAAGTCTTTAATACATGGATTTTCTGTTCTATAGACTTTTTAAAATAAAAATAAAAATATTTTTTTTATCCGTTGAGGCTTATCCATATGTATAAATGGAACATGTGTCTGGTGTGGTAGTTTGAGCTTCAGACATGTCCAAAGATTTTTCTTTTGATGGTGAGCTTCACGAAACTGAAACTTGACACTTAAAAAATGATAAATCTTTTTGAGAGAAAAAAAATTCACAACAACAAGAATGAGACACAGGCCTCCACCTGCAAATGTTTATAGGAACAAGCAAGTAATCAAAGACAAGAATGAATGAATGAAGAGATAGATAAAAAAATAAATAAAAATAAAAAAAATTAAAACGCATACCCTTCCCCCCTTCTTGGGTTCATACCAGAATTCAGTAAAGCTTTTCATGCAATATTTTCCCACTAAAACATTTTTTTTAAATGCATTATTCAATAGAAAAATTATACTATATCACAAAAAATCTAATATTTCTAGTTTGTGTATTGAAAATAATCCTGAAGACATTCTTAATTAATAAATTTTATTAAAAAATAATTTAGAGTTGTTTCTTTTCCCTAAAGTCTGGTGAAAGGGGCCACAAAAAGATCCTACCCTCCATAGTGCGTAGTACGCAGTCTAGACAGTGGCGTCACTGGAATTCGTTAAACTGAGTTTTTTTGTTTCACCAAAATATAGTAAGGTTTATTAAAAGGTGAATAAATCTGTTTTTAAAAAGAGAGTACGCACATGAAATATCATCACAACATTACGGGTTGTTAAAAAAATTAACAGTTTCAGCTAATTCAGTCAATGAATGACGTCACACGTCAGGTCTTTGACGATCGAGTGCAAGTTAGTTGAAAACGAAAGTAACAAGGATATGTACTATAAGGACGTTTTTGATTATTAGAATAGATAAAACTTCATTAACGCAGGATTGGAATTAAAATTGCGATTCTCCAGCATCTCGTTTATGCGGGAATTTGACGCGAGATTCAAGATGGAAAAGACTATGGACGCCATACTGGCGACAAGGTTCTCAGTTCCATAGGTATTGTAATAAAAATATAGATTACAGTAGAAATCAATATATTTTACATACATACGTGTTACCTATAGGGAGAGCTTCGCTCTCACGGGCTCTGATGATGATCAATCAGTTTACTCGCGTGATAATTTTACGCATAAACGCCGAAGCAATTTATCACACGCGCAAACTTATTGATCACATCATAAAACCAAAAACTAGACAGTTATTCCTTACATTTTATATACCAACGTCAACAAAACAACAGACATGTATTATATATTTGCTATGAAAAACTAAAACGAGTAAAAAATCAGTGAAATCAAATTCTGAGAAAAAACTCTTTGCGGTTGAGGCCATAATTTAATTTAATACCAAACATTTTTTCATAGGCCAAATTTGAGGCCAACTCTTAACGAGGTTCGCTCCTGAGCTTTTGAGCAGATTTATATCTTAACCTATATTTTAAAAATTCTGCATAAAGTTTTAGTTCTTACAATAAATTTGGATTCTACAATGCCAATTAAACTATATTCAGTTAAAACTCAATGATTAAATTCCATACCAAAAGCATTAAGTGAGGAACTATATTTTGTGGCGGAAGTTTTTTTTTAGAAGAAAATGATCATGTTTTCTCTTTTGAAGTGTTAAAGTATGTTAAGTTTGGGTTCCCATTTTTCCATGCAGCCTGCACACAAAGTTATTTTGTACAGTGAACTGTTTTGTACTGGTCCTAATTTATATATCAAATAAACTGTCATGAATTCTATCATCATATTTCATAAATATAGCAAATATATTGTGAAAATCAAGAAAAAATATCCCTATTTTAAGCTTAAAATTAGCACTATTTTAGTAATATCTAAAAATCAACATCACAGACCCCCACTTTTTATTTTCTTTTCTGAATATATAAGATATTTTTAACCATTCTTCTTAAATTCAGTAAAATGTCATTACTTTCAAATTATTTTTTTGCTTGTTAAATTTTTAATGCCAGAAAAATGAAATTTTTTGAGTGCAAAAAGGTCAAATAATTGAACGTGCGGAGTAATTTGAAAATTTTTTCGTTGTCTATTCAAGATGAAATAAAGCTGTGTTTGTTCCCATAATTTATTTGAATAAAAAATATTGGAGGAAAACTTTAAAAATTGATTTATGTGTAAGACGTATTCACAGTGCAAAAAGGTCAAACTTAATGCTCTGTAGCGCCAAAAGATGCGCATTGACCCCCATTTTTTGTTTTGATTTTTAATTAAGCTATGTGTATAAATTCTTAAAATATACTTTATAAAAAATTCTCATTACTTTTGAAGGCAGGATCCAACCTCCTTAAGTCAAAAAATGGGTTGGCCGCCAAAATAGAAGGCGGATCAACTTTGAGGTCAGGTCATGGTTAGGTGCCGGGATTAGGTTTCAAAGTATGCCTTTATATTTTTATGAGGAGTAAAGATAGAGGCTTGTTTGAACATTCTGGACTCTGCATTATATATTTTCTTTTTAAAGAATAGCTATTTTACTGAATCGTGAGTATGAATGATATCATTATGAGAATGAATTGGATTCCAAGAACTGAAGAATTAAAGCCCAAACCTGAAGGAATGCAGTTATAATAATAATCCTTACAAAAATAAATATTGGCACAGGCTTTATCAGCACATTGTTCATGTGTCTTTCTTTATCACTTCCAGTTTACGGAAGACGGAGGGATAGATGTTCATTTTGCCATTTAGTCGTCTAATTCAATAAACATGTATCAGGACTTTGAATAGATAAATTCTTCATGTATTTTCATCTCGTGTTTCTACGCTGTACTGATATGAACATTTGTGTACGATTTATACAATCGATTTTAAGTTTAAAAGCTAATTCTCTATGAAGGTGACTAAATTGATCATTTATACTGAAATTCTGAATACTTTTAATTCCGTACCGATTGATAGTATGTAAACGAAACTTGATTTTAACACTTACAGAAAAAGCTAAAATTTTAGTTCATCTTTGACTACCTCGTCTTTAAATGGAAATAGTCCATTGTGTTTATACAGATCTGTCTGAACGTTTCTTCATTTGCAACCAAATAACATTTTCAAATAATCATCAAATTCTTTTTTTAGTGAATTCAATGTTTTATTTCTCGCAAATATACATAGCATAATATGAATCATGGTCACAATAGACGTCGTGGAAAATGTACCGCTCTCTGGCATAAAAGAACATGCAGTCTTGGGGAGCCCTGTCAGTTCCATCAGGTTGTCTGGCACCAAAGGCGAAATATGTCATCTTGCTCATTTTTCCATTTTTGATCCATCTCCAGTCTCCTCCAGGTTTTCTTCTGTTTATGTTTCTCCCACCGACGAAATAATTGTGACCTGTGAAAAAGAAGCACTGAATAAGTAAGTTTATTGTTAAAGTTACGATGAAGCAAAATTGTACAATATTTTACAATCAGGTCACATGTGGTATAGTTTAAATTACAGATTTTGAAACATTGTCCACTCTAACAAAAATACATAAAGTAAAAATTAAAGAAACAAATAAAACCAAACATTTTACTGGTTTTGGAGGGTTATATATAATAAGATGGACGATTACATATTTCAGCAACTTAATTGAATAAAAAAATTAATTTGTTTAAAATGAGGGTAGTTGCTAATAGTGTTTAAAATACACTTTGATTTCTGCGTTTCAGTTTTTTATTCCGTGATCCATATGTATTGATTAAATAGACGGAATAATCCGTAGTTAACTCTAGTTTCACAAAAAGAATGGACTTATATGTCAGTTAAAATGGACGTACATTGTCTACAATGAAGCAAAAATTAATGTAATTATGTCTACTTTGAAAAATATTATGTTTATTCTAAAAAGAGATTGACATAATTTCTATGAATTAAAGAAATTATAATTTTTTTATTGGATTTGTATAAATTTGCAATAATAATAATTATTAATAAATAAACAAAATTTATGTAGCACCTTTTCTTAAATAAACTCTGAAGCGCTTTAATAGCACCTTTTCTTAAATCTGAAGCGCTTTAAAAAAATATAACAAACGGCATAAGAAGCAGGACTAAAATAATCTTATATACACCTATAAAATGAATCAGAAAATCTTAAATGCAGTCACATATTAAGACAAACCATTTGTATATACACACTTCAAAGAAAGGCTTTTCTAGAAAGATGAGTCTTGAGTTCGCCTTTTAAAACTTAAACGTGTCGATTTGTCAAAATTCACTGGAAGCTGATTCCAAGGTGTTGGTGCGACTCTATCGAATCTACGATCGCCCAAAGTTTTTGATCGGACTCGCGGCACGCGGCAATATGTGAAGTGAAATTGATAGAAATAAACTCTCACTTTTCTCCCAGAAAAACGTACACAACTACGTACATATTTTTTTTTGCATGTCAAATTTAAGTTACGTAATTTGATGTGTTTCAATTTCACGCTTAGATCAATATTTTCATATCAATATTTTGTTAAGGCTTTTAACTTATAGCAATAAAATAAAAAGAAAGTGCTTCAAAGTATGTCAAAACATCTAGATATGTATAAATGAATAAGATATAATACTCAATGTACTTTAAAATATGCTTCAACAATTAACAAAATATAACACAACTGTAGACCTCTATATGTGTTTCCATAATCTACTAGTACTAGTATTCATTTTTTTTTCAGAAATTCTTTAGCTTATAATTCTTTTATCCCTTTTTTACATTAAAAAAATACTAATCTAAAAATATTGTGTTTTATACTTCACCTGTACGCATTCGCATTAATTTTTCTTTCATTAGCATAGCTTCCTCCAGTGTTTCAAAGTTTGCAAGATATCCACCCATATGGTAACAACGAGCCTGAACAACAATGTAAACTTCCTGAGTATACAAAAAATATGCAGGCTGTTCTATTTTTCGTGTATAATTTTTATATCAACTTACGAAAGCCCCATCTCCTGTCACTTTGTGCCTGCTTATGTAGTAACAGCTCTCCCCAAAAATACGGAAAGGAGGTTTGCATGCTGAAAATATGAAAATCTGACTTGTTCATTTTATGTCAAGATCTTATGCGCATACTTGATAATAAAGATACAGATTCCGATGTAACTCCGACAATTATTGTGCGCCCGGATTTATTAAAGGCATCATACAGAATGATCTTCATTTCTAGCCAATAATAACCAATATTTTAGGCGATATTTAATGACAGAGAATAGAGTTCAAATAAAAAATCAGCAAAAATTTAATATTACACAAAAAAGAGTCTAATGCATTACAATTCAAAATCTAAAACGATAATTTATTTTATATTGCAGAAAAAAAATCTATACAGAACAATTCTATGGAAGAATTCTCTTCTATGAATTACCGTTCACGGTAGCTCAGTCGGTAGAGCGCTCGCTTCGTGATCGGGAGGTCGTGAGTTCGAATCTCGGCCGCGACTGACCTAAGTCGATAAAAAATGGGTAGCAACTGTTCCTTCGCCATGCGCTCGGCACTATGAAGTGAAAGTTGCAGGTCCTTCGGATGAGACCTTATAAACCGAGGCCTCGTGTCACGGCAGGCGTTAGCACGATAAAGATCCCTCACTGCTCAATGACCCTGAGTGCCGAGTAAAGGTCAAATTTGAAACCCTTCACCGGTATATGGTGACGTCTCTATATAAGTGAAAAATTCTCGAATGGGACGTAAAACAACAAACAATCAATCAATATTCTATGAATTCCCGTTCAATCACTGCATGCATTACCTTTCCTGGCGTAAGAAGGAGACACACGTAAAACTGTAGCATACAGCCAACACATCAGGAGAAGACCGATGTACGTCATGATTGTTACACTAGCTTAGCTGGGATATTACATCTGATGACCAACAGCTCCTATTTATAATGGATAACGTTGCATTTTAATGATTTCGTGATAACATTTATTTTGCATCTAAGGTGTAGGGTGGAAAATTATTGTTTTCACAGTGTAAATCCGTTCTTTCTATTTTTCAACAAAACGCAGTGTAATTTCAATTCGAAGGATATATTATACAAACAACAATGAAGTGCCATAGGATTGTATACGATAGAAATTTATTGGGATTAGATACAACTGAGTTTATGAGAGCTGCTAAACGTTGTGAAATGGTTTCGGCTGTGGATATCGGCCAGGGTAACTGGTTAGAGCACCTGATTAGAGATGCAGGGGTCCCGGGTTCGATTCCCAGTCCAACCATACATTTTCTCCTTTCAAGTTGCATAATTTGGTTCTGTTGACACCCCTGGACTTACAGTCCTACGGGGGCAAAACAAACCTGCATAAGCTGTATATATTTAAGATGGCAAAACAATGAAAATAGTTGTCTGGCATTGGATATCGGCCTGGTCATCTCAATGGTTGGAGCCACTAAAAAGTAGTGATGCAGGGGTGATGGATTCAATACACGTCCAGCCACACACACACACACACAAAGCTCAAATACAAATCGGGAGCAGAGCAAACACGGACCTGATCAGACAAACGGGAAAATACGTCGACAATTCAGTGTGTGAATAATGTCCTAACAATTAGTATGAAAAATGTCAGTCAGCATTTGACTCAATGATAAACTGTATTTGCTGACAAGGTCATTGTATCAACCATAAAGCTTGCGAAATGTTGACTCCAAAAGAGACTGTTGATATCCTTGTTTCATCAACTTGTTTGTGGAAGCTCGAGTCGTTTTAGAAACTGTTCGTGCGTATCAAATCAACTGGCCTGGGAGACATAAACTCCATATGCAGGTTACAATGGTATATTGCTATATACCCGGTAGATAAGGGAAGTTGACACTAGAAAAGTTGAAGTCATCACGTTTATCATAACGGTTTGTTGTTAGGTTACCATTAACGCCTTTCTCTACTAAAATATTTAAATATGAAACAGATGTGTCAGACTCGTGGTATCTTTTATTTCAAGTTCACTGGGATATATCGAGTCGACATATGAATTGAAGTAACTACAGTGTATTGTTAATTGATAAAATATCGTCGATACATCTGGATGCCAAGTTGAAGGCTACAGCAAATATTTTCTTCTCATGTAGAAGTTTTTGAATATATTTTGCTTCACATGAACATAAAAATAGGTCCGCTAATAACGGGGCGCAATTAGTACCCAAGGGAATTCTGACAGATTGTTGGAAGACACTTCATACATTTTGTCAACCAGAAACTCCAACATCTCGTTAATATCAACTCCAGAGTACTTGTGTGTACAATCAGAATGTTTTTGAATAATAAAAATAGTTTTGCAAATGACCAATGACAAGGTCAGTAATTTTACGAGTTCCATTTTATTGAAAAAGCAGCTGTCTATGATGTCAAAAAGCCTGGATTTATTAAGCTAAGGCGATTGGCTGTTTAAAGTGTTGAAAAGTCGTACGTTTTGATGTTGTTGATTTTGGTAATTGTTTGTTATTTCAAATTTTCTAAAAGTTTCTTGGAGTTTTTAAGTATCCACATCTGATTTACACCACTTCTCGAATATATTGTTGTATAGTACTCGTGAAGTTTCTCCTTTACTGCTGTTGATATTTTAGTGAGGAGTAAAGAAAGAGGCTTCTGGTAGAACAGTTACTGGAAACCGCAATGCATCTTTTATTTGAATGTAAGGATTTTGATGTAGTTAAGGAATCCAATATAAGTATTGGAATTCAAATTCAATTTGATTGTTGGGAACATTAAAATATCAAATAGATGATAAATTAAATGACACTTATTATACAATTGCTTTTGTGTCATTTTTGTCTAATCTACATGAAGTTGCCCTGCAGAAGAGTAGCACCGCATTTTATGGTGAAACAGTTTTTTGGAGAACTAGTCTGAATTTCTCAGATCAAAGGTCAAGGTATGTGCTACTGAACCGCAAATGCAGACCCTAAGAACGTAGGGAATGGGGGCAATTTTTTTCTGAGTATAGCATTCTGCCATAGTAAATTTTCATTAAGATGCTGCCCCCCCCCCCCCTCACACACACACTTTTTTTGCTGTAAGTTCGAGGACTGGCAAATTCCAGGATTTGGACAGTTAATGTTTTCTCTGTCCGATGATTTGTGGAAGTCCCCCCATCTCCCCCACTTTTGGACAATTTAGGTTTTCTTTTTCCTTGTCAGATTGTATTGGGGAGCCCCCCCCCCCATTCCAATCACTTTTGAAACCATTGTGTCAGGTAACACTTCTATGGCATTTTAATTTTAACTATCTTTCTAATTGCCAGCCTTATATTATCTTTGGAAAGAAAATGTTGCGTAAAAAAGATTTGTGAACAATCTTTGACAAGTGAGAGATCAGAGGTTATTTTTTTCATTACTTTTGGTTTTTTAACAATATTTTTTTGGCTTTTGGTTATTTTCAGATGAAAAGTTAAAAAAAAAACTTCCACATTATACTATATGCATGTTTCTCATTTCTATACATCGTGATATTTTAAAAGTGCAGAAATGTAACCAAAAGAAAAAAAATAGCCGAAAAGCTCTATAATATATATTTTTTATCTAGAAATATGCACGATAAATTATTTGTACAGAGCTTTTAAATATATTTTCCCGAGATACATTTTTTATGAATGAAACTAGGTAAAAAATTGTAAACTTGGTGAAACTCGTAAATCAAATGTGAGCACTGAGATCTAATCTATTTAGAATTAAACCTAGCTTTAGAAGATTGCTGAAGTTTATCTTAAAAGACAGCTGATAGTAAAACACACTTGTACAAAGTAGATCAAGTGTTCACATCTCTATTTAATTCTTCATCTAATTAGTTTAAGACAATTATGGGTCTTATCATTTCACCGACAAACAAGGCGGAATTCTATCAATGTAAACTAAGCATGTAAAGAAGACTGAACAATGTGTGCAAGTGTTTGGATGTAAATTTCCTTCTGTTTTCTATGAAAACTTCTAGGAACTAATATTTTGTTATACAACATACCATATTGATGATGTTTAACTGCTTGCAACAGTGTGTTTTGGTGACAATTTTCTTAACTTTCTCGGCCTTGGTAGCTTCCCAGGACGATGTTCCCCCTGGAGCTGCTACACTGGCCTTTGTGTTCGACATTACCGGGTCTATGTATGACGACTTGGTTCAGGTCATCGATGGGGCAGCTAAAATTATGGCTACAACGCTTGCCCGTATAGAAAAACCACTATATAATTATGTACTTGTACCATTCCATGATCCAGGTGAGTGAATTTTACAAAATTTAAAGATTAAAAGCAAAAGTAACTTAATTTAATAGATAGCATGCAAGAAATAAAAAAAATCTGTCATATCAAAGTTCTTTTTAAGAGGGTTTAACATCGTGGTCGAAGTACAATATTCCTGCAAATGAATTTAGAAAGTAGAAAAGTCTAACTTCCATTTTCACGTGCTTTGTTACTTTGGCACAAAGTTTTATCAATTTTGGGTTTGTGAATAGAGAAAGTCTGGAGAAAATTGGCTATACCACATGTATTGCTATAAGAGATTTGGCTATTTAAGACAATTTTATTAAAAGTAAAAAGTTAATATTTTAATTTTCTTCTTTGATTAAAAATTACTATCCCGATGCTGGGCTTGTAGAATTTCTTTAAGAAGATATCGTTACAGTTGTCATTAAACTTTGATCCATCTAGCAAATCGGTCAAAAGCATTAAAACACATTTACTCAGATTTCAAAAAAAATCATTGGGGTCAGTTTGAGCTGGTCCAAGAGATTCAGATATTTGATATTTTTTACTGTTATATAAAGTTCATATAAGATTTGGTACTTTTGGACAGTATAGGAGAAACACAGATTAAACTTTTTAAAAATATGTATCAACTGAAGACACAGTGTGTAATTTTGGGATCGGATATGCTCAAGTTTCATACCTAAGGTACATCTGCCTCTGACAGGAAGGTCATTTAAATCAAGGTCACGTATTAGATTCAGAAAAGCTTCCCCCTTTTTTCATTGTTATAAAGATTGCTTACTGTAATCAGTGTATCTTGAAGCATTTCTTACTAGAATATTTTTAAAAGCTTGCAATACATGTAGTTGGAGTGTACGTGTTAGTTATTATTGAATCCCTGATCTATTTTGAAAGTATCAATTAGCATGTTTAGTTTGGGTTGTGATTCTATTCTGATGAACAACTTTTATATTGAGACACCTTCCCCCCCCCCCCCTCAAAAAAAAAAAAAAAACAATAATAATAAAAAAATTGATTTTATAGTAATTGTGGATATACACTGACTTCATAAGGTTTATGGAAAATCAAGTTACAGTAATAGAGTTATTTATTTAAACGAAGTAAATTAAGATAAAAAAATGTTCTTGGTTTTAACCATTATTTTTATTTAAAAAAATCTTTATAATTAGCTTTATGATTTAGAGCAGTGTTTCCATGTTAAATGGAAAATGATATAAAGCCTGTACTGTTGGGTCTTTGTGGAGCATTGGAGGGGCACCTGCCTGCCAGTAGTTTTTGTCCCCATCTGTTCTCTGTCAGACCTAAACTTAGCAGCGGTTATCAGCTCTTTGGAAATTTATGACGTTTTTATTTAAGATTCATGATCTACTGATTATAAAACATGCTGATGTGTTTTTAAGTACAGATGAAAAATTGCATGTCTCTTACATTAGCTGAAGAGAGGCAAGCAGTTTATATGTTACAGCATGAATGTGCAGTGCTAGCTTGACTGTACCATTACAGACATGTGTTTTTACAGGAATGCGTGTTCCTGATGATCTGAATTCAATTAAGTACTCTAATCACAATCAATTCAATACCACAGGTGTTAATCTCACTCACAACAATGTAAGGACATATGTTAGAGATTAATTAGATTAAAATTTGATTTTGTAGTTAGTATGTATACATGACAAAATTGTGATCTTCTATATTATCTCATTAATTATTTTAAGCTATATGTCATCTGATTTAATTAGAATTATCTAAAGTTAGTTTTTGGCGTATTCAGAAAAACCTCCCAGCAAGCCACTTCCTGACTTTGAATATTTATATTCAGCATTTATGTTTCAAAACTCACTTTATGACCGCAAGATCACCGGTAGAGAAGAAAGGTTCAACTGTATTATTTTGTAACGAGTCATTCCAGCTGAGACCCGCATAGAAATTAAGATGTCACTGATTTAAAGCTATAAATGATATCTTAATCATCCTCAAACAACATGTTTAGTAAGATTTAAAGTAATATTATGATATATTTATTTTGGCAAAACATGTACTGCCAGTGAAATTTTTTGTAGCCAGTTTATGTTTGAATCAATATACCATTATATTTTATTTAATTTTACTGAACATACAGACACTGTATGTTTATGGATGGTTTGATTATCACTGTCTTGTGGCTCAGTTACACGAAAGAGAAATTTACAAAACACATAAGGGAGCCAGCTCAGATTTTAGCTCACCTGTGCCAAAGACTCCGTTGTACATCTTCGTTGTTGTAAACTTTTCACATTTTCGACTTCTTCTCTAGAACTACTAGACCAACTTCAACCAAACTTGCCACCAAGCATCCTTGGGAGAAGTAGATTCAAATTTGTTCAAATTTAAAGGCCATGTCCTAGATCTTTGAAGAGGAGATAATTGAGAAATAGTGAAAATTCGACAGCTTCGTATAAAAATCTCCTTTTTAAGAACATTTGGCCAGAAAAGAAAAACTTGGTTGAATGCTTCATTATGTAATCTGAATTCAAATTTGTTCAAATCATGGCCCCTGGGGGTATAATGCAGCTGCAATATGGCTCAAAGTTTTATATAGGAATGTACATGCATGAAATATCATTAAAAATCTTCATCTCGAGAACAGGAGTTAATGTTGTATTAAAATGGTAGCTACATTGCTGTCAACCCCTACAAATTTGGCTTAAGGCGTACAGTTCTAAAGTACGCCTTACAGTTTCTCTATTTATTCTTCCAATTTCGAAATATCAGAATTCTCATAACTGTCCACCTTTAGTTTTTACTATTATGATAAAAAAGTATTATAATAAGTCGTATTCCTTACATTGTATTGTCATTGTTCGTTTCCTGGTTGACAGTGATGTAATGAAATATGAAGATAACGACCAGTAATCAAGCTCAAAAGTCCATTGAAACAATACAAATTTAGAGCAGAGTAAACACCGACCTCTGAAAACATCAGAGGTGGGACCAGGTGCAATGGAGGAATAAGTATCCCTGTCGACCGGTCACAGCGGCCGTGTGCTCCTTGTCATGATCAGGCAAACGGAAAAAATCTGAAGAAATTCAGTGTGAAACTAATGGCCTAACGATAAGTATAAAAAACGTCAGTCAATATGCGACTGAATGATAGATTGTATTCAATTGCTGACAAGGTTGTTGTATCGACCATAGAACTTGCGAAATGTTGACTTCAAACGAGACTGTTGATATTCTTGTTTCATCAACTTGTTTGTCAATAGCTTGTCTCGTTTTAGAAATTGTTCGTATGTAGAGCATGCTCTTGTGTATCGAATAACTCCATATTCAGGTGATTTGGTATATTACTACATAAATAAGGGAAATTGACGATAGAAAAGTTGAAGTCATCACGTTTATCATAAAGTTTTGTTGTTAGGTTACCATTAACGTCTTTTTCTAGTAAATTATCCAAATATGAAACAGATGTGTCAGACTCTGTGATATCTTTTATTTAGAGTTCAAAGGGATATATATATCGAATGAACATAGGAATGAAAATGAAAAATATTAATTGATAAAACGTCGTCGATATATCTAAATATTGAATTGAAGGCCACCGCAAGACTTGTTCTTTTCATGTCGAAGTTTTTGAATAAATTCTGCTTCATATGAATACAAAACTATGCCTACTTATAACGGGTCACAATTAGTACCCATGGGGATTCCGACAGATTGTTGGAAGACTTGGTCTCCAAAAACTACATAGATATTGTCAATCAGAAACTAAAGTAAACGAAATGATAATCTTCAGCAGCCAGGGCGCCTAGGCATCTCCTTACGATCTTTTATTTCATGATGTTGGTTGCTCTGTAGCTAAGTAGCTGCTACAAATTTGAATACACCCAAAAGTCTTGTTCAATAAAGTTAGACAATGTCCTTATATATTTTATACAACTGCATGTTTGTACCAAAATACTAAAACCAACACTTTTTCCTCTTGTACACGTGTAAGATGCTTTAAATGGTAAAGTTAGAATTGATAAAACTGTGACGTTTTACAGATGTTGGTCCTATTGTGATAACGAAGGACCCTGATGAATTCCAGACTGAGCTCCGTAACCTATACGTCCAGGGTGGTGGGGATTGTCCTGAGATGAGTGTGAGGGCTATCAAGGAGGCCCTGGACGTGTCCCTCCCGAACTCTTACATCTATGTGTTCACTGACGCCTTATCTAAGGATTTCTACCTTGGGGAGGAGGTTCTCGCCCTCATTCAGCAAAAACAGAGTCAGGTGAGATCATGATGTCATCTTGTTCTTTAGATTTCTATTTCTTAGCAATGGAACTTTGACATCATAAATTATGTTTGTTTGTTTGTTTGTTTGTTTGTTTTTTTTTATTTTTGTTTTTTTTGTTTTTTTTGTTCCAGAAAGCTGACTTTAGCAAACTTCTTATCTAGATTTTGATTTAAATGTAAAATATTTATATTTGTGGTGCAAAAAAAAAAAATAATCCGTCAGATCTCTTTGTGTATTTGTAATTAATTTGTCTGCATGGTTGACTGTCGTGTTGAAGGTTGTGAATATTTGTTTTTTACTTATGCCTTTGACTGTTATTTATTAATTTTGCCTTGACGGTCGTGTTGTAGGTTGTGTTCGTACTGACAGGGGACTGTGGGAATCCCTTGAGTCCCGGATACAAAGTCTACGAGAGAATTGCCTCCACCAGCTCTGGTCAGGTTTTTCTGCTCAAAAAAGACCAAGTCAACCAGGTATATTATTACAAAGATGTAATATGCCTGAAAATAAGAAAAAAAAAACTTCATGGATGCTAATTATTAGAACAAGTCTACCAGGTATATTATTAAACACTTGTAATATGTCGGATAAAAACATAATGGATGCTATTAAAGAATATATAGCGTAAAGAATATCGACAGTTCATCATTTCGTAAGTTCTATGGTCGATACACTGACCTTGTCAGCAATACAATCTAACATCAATTCATATGCTGACTGACGTTTTTCATACTAATTGTTAGGCCATTATTTATACACTGAATTGTCGACGGATTTTTCCGTTATTTACCTATCATGACAAGGAACACACGGCGGGTGTGACCTGTCGGCAGGGGATGCTCACTCCTCCATGGCACCTGATCCAACCTCTGTTTTGGGAGGTCCGTGTTTGCTCTGCTCCAGATTTGTATTGTTTCAATGGACTTTGAGCTTTAATATTGTTCGTTATCTCCTTATATCATGCTAATTATTAGATGAAATTAAATGAAACTTTGACATATTACACATTATTAACTCATTTTAGTTCTACTGGTCAGAGACCAGAAGAGCTTTGGCATTAATACGGTGTTCCTCCTTCGTCGATCTGTCTGTAAACGTTTAAAAACGCTACTCCTCCTACAGTTTTGGTCCGATTTCAATATAACTTTGTACATAAGTAAACTATACTAAGATACATAGTTCTGTATATTATATTTTAATTTTGACAATGGCACAGTGTTGCCATGGCAAATACAAATAGAGATTAGTTTGAAATTCTTTCAAAACGCTACTCCTCGTATAATTTTGGTCCAATTTCAATAGGACTTCTTACACAGTTAGACTATACTAAAATAATAATTCTTTTTCTTGGTTTTTGATTTAGACAAATGGTTTTGCGATGATTACTAAAAATAGAAATAAGTTTAAATTCTTCCAAAATGCTACTTCCCTTACAGTTGTTGTCCAATTTCAGTAGGACTTGGTACACATATAGACTGAAGATGCTAACATTAATAAAATTCTCTCTCTCTCTCTCTCTCTCTCTCTCTATATATATATATATATATGTATAATCAGTTTCTGATTTTGACACAGGGGGTTGCTATGGTTACTAAGAATAAAATTTCTGTGAAATTCTTCCAAAACGTCAGGTACCCATCCTGCAGTTTTGGTCGATTTCAGTAAGACTTGTTACATAAGTAGACTTCACTATAATGCTTAATTCTTCGTATTTTCTCTGTGTTTTTTTTTTATTTCAGTAGACTGTACTGCCATGGCTACTAAAATTAGAAATTTCTGTAAAATTCTTTCAAAACTCTACTCCTCTTATATTTTTTTTTATCCCATTTCAATAAGACTTCGTACACAAGTTGACTTTACTAAGATACGTAATTCTGTAAACTGGTTTTTGATCATGACAGATGATATTGCCATGGTTACTAAAATAGAAAAAATCGTTGTTATTTCTCCACCTACAGTTAAAATCTGATTCAATAAAACTTGGTACACAAGTTAACTTAGATAAAATAATAATAATAATTTATTAATTTTTTTTTAAATTTCAACGATCGATTTTGCATTTGTTACTATAAATAGAAATTTCTGTGTGATTGTTTCAAAACGCCAAATTCTCATCCTGCAGTTTTTGTTCATTTACAGTAAGACTTGTTTCATAAGTAGACTTTACTAAAATACACATTTCTTTGTATGTTTTTGATTTCAATAAACAATGTTGCCATATATTGCACAAACGGATTTCAAATAGAGTTACTACAAAAGTAGACTATAAGATACATGTATACACTGTACATCTTCATTTTAAGTACACACCAGGAGAGCTATACATAATTGATAAAGTCTCATCAGAAAATTCTGGTTTGTGTAAAATCTCAGAGAAAAAATTAAAAATACTGCTAAAATAAAACCCATGATTTTTAATTCAATAGGCTTATGTTTTCAGCAAATTGACTTATTGGAAAGAATGTTAAATGCATTGGACAAGTAATATGACATTGACATTTATATCTGCATTTGTGATATACTGTAAATGCACTTTTTCCACGGGGTCATAATGCCACTGAATCATAATTTCTATTCAATCATCAGAAAGAAAATTGTGCAGATTTCTTGGATTGCCATTGTTTTGACTGAAATGCACTTTAAGTACTTTCTTAATTGCTTATCTTAAGATTTACTGAAATAAAACAAAAACTGCTTTCTGAAATAAATAGCATTTTTCCCCTCCACTACAATTTATTATATTCCAGGAGCTTGGAGCTAGAATACTAGTATGTCCATTTTTAGCTCTACTGGTCAGAGATTAGAAGAGCTTATGCATTGGTTTGGTGTTGTCATTTGTGCGTCTGTCTGTCTTGCTGTCTATCCGTCTGTAAACAATTTTTCAAAACGCTACAGTTTATCGGTTTTTGATTTCAACAAATAAATTTGCCATGGTTACTAAAACTAGAAATTTCATAATGCTAGTCTTCCTACAATTCAGTAAGACTTTATACACAAGTAGACCATACTAGAATTCTATTTATTTGCTATTGATTTCAAGAAATGTTTTGCCATGGTTACTAAAAATAGAATTTTCTTCGAAATTCTTTTAAATGTTTCTTCTGCTATAGTTTTGGTCTGATTAGAATATACTAAGACTATACTATGATATATCTTTCTTTATTTATAAGTGCACACCAGTAGAGCTACAGTCTCCTCAGAGACTTCTGGTTTTGTTTGTTATAACCTTTGAACCTTTTTACAAAAGCTATACACTGTCTGTTGGACTGTTTGTTATAACCTCTGACCTTTTTACACCAGTTACATTAGTGTCTGGCGCACTGTTTGTTTTGTTATCACCTTAATTTGCACCATTTTACAAGAGTTGTGAGTGTATATTTCATCTTTTGACAGGTGTTAGAAGTTGTCCGTCTGACGGTCAAGGCCAGAAAGGTGAACCTAATGTCTGTGGACCAGGAAAGAGCTAACTCCCAGTTTATACAGATTCCTATAGACTCCAGGCTCCAGGAGTTCACTGTGTCGCTTAGTGGTTCTAATCCAAAACTCAGACTTTACAACCCTAAAGGTAACTAGATAACAGAGCTCTATAATCCAAAACTCAGACTTTACAACCCTAGAGGTTATCAGATAAGAGCGGTATTAAAGACCATATCTTTTTTTTAAAGACTGATTTTTTTTTTAAATACCCCCCCCCCCCTTTTCAAGAATCCTGGATCAGCCACTGTCTTTAAGTTCTCATTCAGATGTACATGTTGGTATATTTCTTGTCATGAGAAAACTTTTACTTTTAGCTTGGTGTCATGGAAGAGCAGATTATAATTTATAAGTAAGGTGTCTGCATGCAATCTTTTTTTTCATGATGGAAAATTCTGTTTCAATACTATAGGTGCAGAGGTTACAGTCAGTAATGGTCTTTATGAATTACTGGACATTAAGAATGTTAAGGTGGTCAATGTTCGGGGTCCAGACCCTGGAATGTGGCGACTACGTGTGGACAGTGGGAGTGCGCATACACTGAGAGTGACAGGACTAAGCAAAATCGACTTCGCGGCCGGATTTGCCAAAGAAAAACCACGCCACATAGCTGCTACAGAGTTACGGCCCTTAGAAGGTGGGGGTTTGGGGGAATTTTCAAAATGATTTTTTTCCCAAAAATCTTTTTTCCAAGAAATAATCTAATGATATTGATGATGGTAATATTAGGCCTTTAATTTGAAAAAAAAATCTAGATTCTCAACCTCGATTTTTTTCTGTAAATTAAATTTTCTATTTTTTATTCGTTTTATTTTTGATCGGGATCAATATTCAACTTACCTTTCAACTTTCGTTTAAATCCCGCGAATTTCAGTGTAATATTTTGACAGCTGACAGGATGGTGTTCGCAAAGATTATAGGACCACTGATTGTTAAAGATTGGTGAGGATGCATAGTATGAGAAATATACATTAAATAGAACTCGATTATTCGTTTGCAATAGATAAATCTGCACTGATCGATGAGGTCAACAAAAATATATTGTGTTCATTAAAAAAAAAAATATCGTAAATATAAAAAAAAAAAATCAACCTGACCGCCAAAATTTTTCTCAAAAATATTTGGAAGAAAATCGGGGATTTTTTAAAATATTGCCTAATGTAATGTATAAAAATATCTTTTCTTGGAATTTTTCTGTATATTGTTAGGTAAAGCATTATCATAGTGTTCAGACAATTTCTTTTTTTGTCCATTTCTTGTGCATCATAATTATTCTGGAGATTTCTATTAATAAAAGCATACGAAGTTTGCAGGAAATGCAACATAAGGTAATATTTGTGAACCCTGCTAATCACCATGAGTCCTCTGGTAAGACTGTGTATTGCTGACCCTACATCTTTGGTTGTAGGTGTTTCTAGTTATGTGCTGGTCAATACCACAGATCTAGATCCTCCCGGTTACTTACAAAAACTGCAGCTGGTCAGTCTGAATGGCATCGTACTGTCTGAGTACCCCCTCCAAGTGGACACGAGCCTCAAAAATATTTATTTGACAGAGGCTTTTAAACCTCCATCTAACTACTTCTACGTTAAGGTAATAAAGTACGGTAGCAAATGTCAATTCTGCAAATGTGACTGTTTGACAGTGAAAAATGATATCTTTACTTAATGCAATTATATAATTAGTAAAAATTTTATGAGGTATATGAAAAAGAAAGTGATTCTTTTCAATGGTTCATACAGATATTTAGCCTTGAATGCATGTTTGAATGTAAAATTAACTTTTTAATCATCACAACTCTCAAGTAATTTGAAAAAAGATGTACATTTTAAAAACTGATGATAAAGTCAAAATAAATCAGATAATTTACAGATGGTTTATGTAATAATTGTTGCATTTTGTATATTCTTATACAGGTTGTAGGAGAAGATGACAGAGGTAACGTATTGTGGAGGACAACGCCCACTGCCATAAGTCCCCGGACACCTGACCCACCCACTGTGTTCATGCCTGAGATTACACGGAGTTTCTACCACTCAACAGCTACTATAGTATGTACGGTGGAGTCGGTCATTCCCTTCACCGTCCAGTGGTACAAGAATGGCCGTAAAGAAGGATCGGAGGTTCTTTTCCAGTAAGATTTGATTTATATTTAAACTAATTATTATATTTAAAAATTTAAGTGTACAGATTATGTAATTGTAAAAAATGTAATTTATTTTAGAGAGTCGAGTGATGCAACATATCAGATTTCAACAGCTAGTACTCGTGATGAAGGCATCTACACATGTAATGCCACAAGTCGCTCCGGAAGTACAGCTAGGACCACCTTACTGGATATTAGTGGTAAGTCACTCTGAAAGTACAGCTAGGACCACTCTACTGGATATTAGTGGTAAGTTGCTCTGAAAGTAAAGCTAGGACCACTTTACTGGATATCAGTGGTAAGTCACTCTGGAAGTATAGTTAGGACTACTCTATTGGATATCAGTGGTAGAGGTGAAACGATACACTTCCTTCACGGTTCGATATGTATTGTATAATTTTGTCTCGGTACGGTTATTTTCGATATGATACATTTTGATAGAAGGAAACAAATTCAACGTTGTTTTATGCTTTCTTTTACTAAATCTAGTCACTTTATTTACAAATTTTATTTGCAAATTGACTAGACAAACTATCAGTCCTCAAAAAATTACGTTTTCTATACTTACTTAGTATACTGAGTAACGTGTTTTACCTTATGCCAAACTCGACTGAATAACGATCCTGACCGAAAAATGAACCGAACCGAAAATTAGAGATTTTGCACCGTGTATCAAACCGAGAGAAAATACCGCGATGAATCCATACCGTGGTGAACCGTTTCACTCCTAATCAGTGGTAAGTCACTTCGGAAGAACAGCTAGGACTACAGTACTGGACATCAGTGGTAAGTCACTCTGAATGTACAGCTAGGACCACTCTACTGGATATCAGTGGTAAGTCACTCTGAATGTACAACTAGGACCACTCTACTGGATATCAGTGGTAAGTCACTCTGAATGTACAGCTAGGACCACTCTACTGGATATCAGTGGTAAGTCGCTCTGGAAGTAAAGCTAGGATCACCTTACTGGATATCAGTGGTAAGTCACTCTGGAAGTAAAGCTAGGATCACCTTACTGGATATCAGTGGTAAGTCACTCTGGAAGTAAAGCTAGGATCACCTTAATGGATATCAGTGGTAAGTCACTCTGGAAGTAAAGCTAGGATCACCTTACTGGATATCAGTGGTAAGTCCCTCTGGAAGTACAGCTAGGACCACTTACTGGATATCAGTGGTAAGTCACTCTGGAAGTAAAGCTAGGACCACTCTACTGGATATCAGTGGTAAGTCACTCTGGATGTACAGCTAGGACCACTGTACTGGATATCAGTGGTAAGTTGCTCCGGTAGTTTGGCTAGGACCACTCTTTTGGATATTAGGGTAGTACATTCACCTTATTACATTACATAAAACCCATCCTGATACTGCCCTTAGTATTACATTCACCTTATTGCATTACAGAACCCCCTTCTGACATTGCCCCCAGTATTATTTATTCACATAAATTCATATTACAGAACCTCCTCCTGATACTGCCCCCAGTATTATATTAACCTAAATTCATATTACAGAACCCCTCTTAATATGGCCCCAGTATTATACACTATTGTATTTACAGAACCCCTCCTGATATCGCCCCAGTATTATACACTATTGTATTTACAGAACCTCCACCTGATATTGCCCCCACTGTCAATGTGTCCGTCTTACCTGGAGACAGTGCTTCACTGGTCTGTAATGTATTCAGTACCGTCCCGTATAATGTCACATGGTATGGACCTCGGGGACTCATCCGTAACAATCAACAGTTCATTATCTTCAATAATGGATCCTTAATTATAAGGTAAGTTTTTGGCACAGGTAACATTTCATAAAATTGATTTTTTTAACACACATGTCTGACATTTTGTTACCGTGTAAAAAAAAGAGTAAAATATAGCTAGATTTATGTTGGTGAAATCACTACACTAGACTGAGACTCAAAAATCAAAATAAATTTCCACTATGTGCTTATTTTTTTTCTCCTAAGCAACCCTAACCTTAACCTTATCATTATATGTGCATTTACCATACATAGTTTGTATCATAGAATAAATAGATTGTTGCTGATGGCATAGGTTTTTTTTTTCAATTAAATCACTTTGTTCATGTATATTCAGTCTGCTGGAAAAAAATGGCTCTACATGTAGTATGTGCTCCATGCTATGTGTTTACAATATTACACACTGTGACCATGTACATGTATCTCCATGTTTGTTTCCCACTTTGTGGTTTGAATGGCTATTATTTGGGAACTGTACTATACATACTTATTTTGGTGTCTTTATTAATATGCTTTTTCAGATCTGTTGACTTGAAAGATGAAGGACAGTATGTCTGCAGAATTGGCAATGAAGGAGGGTACTCTCAGGAAAAAGTGTTCCTGAGAATTCAAGGTAAGAAATGGCAGAGTTCAAGGTCAGAATTGACAAAGTTCAAGGTCAGAATTGACAATGTAAGAAAGAATAGTACAAATAAATGCTACCAGGCCTCAAGATTAACACTTGTCCGATTGTCCATGTCCAATTTATCTTGTGATCAGAGAAGTTAATCTCCAGACACCCTTGTTCATAATTAGATAATTAAACCATGTCAGGTAGATGCATATATTTATTCTAACTGATGCAGACCAGGCCACAAGATTAATAACTGAGAATTAGGGCTGACACGGTTCCCCAAAATAAACAAAAACTGCGGTCCAAGTTGTTCGGTTTCGGTTCCATTTTTCCGGATTTCGGTTTGGGTCTGGTTTATATATTAGAATCTGTTTTATACTAAAAATGGCGTCAAAATCAAAAGAATTATGATGATAACAGTGATGAATTAACATCACAGCTGAATTGAAGTGAATTCTACTTCATTCTATGACAAAACACTTGTCGCAAAAGAATTAGGTAATTATCGGAACGAGCAAGAATGGTCAGGTTGTAGGTAATAGTCGGCCTAGTAGTCCTGAACACAGATGTTAAGACGTTAACATGGTAAAGATTTGTTTTCAAGGTGAATTAAACGTAACAAATAAAGATTTTTCAAGTTAAATTCATGGATTTAAGGCTTAAAATAGATGTAAATAACCGAACAGAGAAAGCTGAAACCGAACCAAAAATTTACAGAACTGACCTGACCAGAAAAATTTTACAACCGTGACAGCCCTACTGAGAATAGACTAAAGTCAAAATTCAGATTTTAAATATCTTCATTTTTATTTAACAAATGTATAAAAGGTTGCACATTTTTCTAAAAGACAAAATGAATTCAAACTACAAAATTTGAAATTTTGACTTTAGTTTGTTCTCAGTTTATGGCCTTGGAGATTGAGTATTATGTGTTTTATTCAGAAACATGTTGACATTCACAATAATAAAAATGGTCGCATTATTATAATATATTAATATTAACGAAGCCTCAACAAACAAAAAAATATTCAAATTGTTGGAATCTTAGCCATATTTGGTGACCACAATTAGGAGTTTTATATTTATCTAAATATACATGTTTATCAAAGTGAAAATTGTGACTCGGGTCAGTGTTGTGGCCTGTGGAACTTGTGTGATGGTAAGTATCAACAAAATGTCTGTGAAAATATGAGTGGACTAAATTCATTAGGTTTAAAGAATTACATAGTAAAAGAATTTTGAATGAAAGCATTATGTATATTTGTATGCAATTCTTGTACATGTGTTATACTGTAAACTGAAAAAATGTATAACAAAAATAATTACTTTTTTGCTTAAGAGATAACAAATACTTGTGTTCTCAGAAATATATTCTTTATATTTAATGGATTAAATAATAATTTAGAAAGAGAAACCACCAGAGACTTGACCTCTGTTAGTTTAGCTGCTATATGCTATGTCTGTTATTGTCCAACTCTTGGTTTATTCTGAGAATTTGTTCCCAGTGCCACCAGATGTTTACATCAAACCTTCCCAACAGACCTTTGAGGTCCGGGACACTGTGACCTTGAATTGTTATGCTGATGGATTTCCTCTGCCATCTTATTTCTGGCTGAGGGACGGAGCTTTGGTTATCCCTAACAACAGGATATCTATAAATAACAACCGACTGACTTTTACCAACATGGTACGGAGTGATGGCGGGGCTTACACTTGTCTGGCAGAAAACCTGGCTGGAGATGACACTGCAACAGCAACACTTCAGTATATAGGTAGGTGGATCATGGAATCACTAAAATACATAGGTAAGTGGGCTACATGTACATCATCACTACAGTATATAGGTAGGTGGATCATGGCAACACTAAACTATGTAGATAAGTGGGCTACTTGTACAGCAGCACTGCAGTATATAGGTAGGTGGATCATGGAATCAGTAAAATACATAGATAAGTGGGCTACTTGTACAGCATCACTACAGTATATACTAGGTAGGTGGGCTACAGCAACACTGCAGTACATAGGTAGATGGGCTACAGTAATGTTAAGTAATAAGTAGGTGGGCCACAGCAACACTGCAGTACATAGGTAGGTGGGCTACAGCAACACTGCAGTACATAGGTAGGTGGGCTACAGCAACACTGCAGTACCTAGGTAGGTGGGTTACAGCAATACTGCAGTACATAAGTAGGTGGGCAGCAGCAACACTGCAGTACATATAAGGTGGGCTACAGCAACACTGCAGTACATTGGTAGGTGGGCTACAGCAACACTGCAGTACATAGGTAGGTGGGCTACAGCAACACTACAGTACATAGGTAGGTGGGCTAAAGCAGTGTCCAGTAAGTAGGAAGGTGGGCTACAAAGCACTGCAGTACATATGTAGATGGGCTACAGTAATGTTAAGTAATAAGTAGGTTGGCTACAGCAACACTGCAGTACATAGGTAGGTGGGCTACAGCAACACTGCAGTACATAGGTAGGTGGGCTAAAGCAGTGTCCAGTAATAGGTAGGTGGGCTACAGCAACACTGCAGTACATAGGTAGGTGGGCTACAGCAACACTGTAGTATATATGTAGGTGGGCTACAGCAACACTGCAGTACCTAGGTAGGTGGGCTACAGCAACACTGCAGTACATAGGTAGGTGGGCTACAGCAACACTGCAGTACATAGGTAGGTGGGCTAAAGCAGTGTCCAGTAATAGGTAGGTGGGCTACAGCAACACTGCAGTACATAGGTAGGTGGGCTACAGCAACACTGCAGTACATAGGTAGGTGGGCTAAAGCAGTGTCCAGTAAGTAGGAAGGTGGGCTACAAAGCACTGCAGTACATATGTAGATGGGCTACAGTAATGTTAAGTAATAAGTAGGTGGGCCACAGCAACACTGCAGTACTAGGCTACAACATCACTACAGTACATAGGCTACAGCAGTACAGAATATTTATCTTTTTAACCATAATTTTCTTTTCTACATCTATTTTAAGTGCAAGGAAAAATAAATTCTGAAATGATTTAGATAGTTATTAATCCACACTCATTTTAATCATTTGAATTGTAAATTTTTTCATGTCTATAATCACATTTTAAAAACTCTAGTAAACAATTTAGACATAATTGAACATCAAGCAATTACCAGCAGAATGTATTGATTTCTACCTGAATATTCTTACCACAATAAGAATAACAGGAAAACAGTTAAAGATTTGAATAATGTTACCAAATGGTTAAGAAATGATTGCTAATGAACCAATGAAAAGCCGATGAAAAGTTCTTGAACTACAACTGAATGGTCACTGAAAGGTGACAGAAAGGGCATGGAAAGGTCACTGAAAGATAACTGAAATGTGTCTGCTGAATGGTGACTGATATGTGGCTGAAAGATTACTGAAAAGTCACTAAAATGTATCTGTCATTCAATGACTGATTAGCCACTGAAAAGTCATTGAAAGTACTGCTGCTTTTCAGTTTTAACTGAAAGGTCTCATTTCTGCCTGTGCTAATAAGATATTTATTTTCTTGATTATCATAATGTGATAGATATATAGACTGTAATAAATGATTCCTAATATTGAGATGGTTAACCATATAGCCAGATATGAATATTCACCTGGCGGACACAGAAATGTAGACGGCAGTCAGCTGTCACATTTAAACCAATGAAAATGTGACATTTCTGTCTGAGAAAAAAAAACAATAAAATCATGGTGAAACCATGGTAATATTTATCAGAGCAAGTTATAACACTTGATGGTGTCTAAGGTTGTATCAAAGTCAAGGTCATAAAAGGCAGATATTTTTTTGAGCATTTGGTTTTTTAAAGTTCACCAAGTGAATGTTTATTACACACAGGTATGTAAGCTGATCAATATCAATCAGTGGTTACTAGGAATATTATGTAGCTGTAACTGAACAATTTCAGAGAGACCCCAGATTGATATGTGTAAGTGAACAATTTCAGAGAGACCCCAGATTGATATGTATGAGAAGAAAGTTTTGGTTGGAAGTGGGGACATGGCCACACTTCAGTGTTCTGCCAAAGGTATTCCTTCACCTGAAATCCACTGGTTTAAAGGGGAACTGGAGGTAAGATCTAAAATTAGGTCACTGGGTCAACAGATCAACTGCATTAAAGATCTACTCTTGAGTCACTGGGTCAGTGAATAAATGCAGTAGAGATCTATTTTAATTAGGTCACTGGGTCAAAAGATAAACTGCAGTACAGATCTACAATAAGGTCACTTTGTCAACAGATGAACTACAGTAAGAATTATACTTTGGTCAGTAGGTCAATGGATTAACTGCAGTAAAGATTTACATTAGGTCACTGGGTCAATAATTAAATTGCAGTATAGATTTACAATTAGGTCACTGGGTCAATGGATGAGCTGCAGTAAAGATTTACACTTAAGTCATTGGGTCAATAGATAAACTGCAGTAGAGATCTTCAATTAGGTCACTGGGTCATTGGATGAGCTCCAGTACTTTCTGATGACTGCTTCACTTTGAATTTGTCTTATTTCTTAAACACTTGGAGGGTAATAGATTTGGAATAAATTAAACATTCAAAGTTCAAATCAAATACAGTAAAATTTTAACATGATTAATGCTACTTATGCAGTCAGAATTTGAAATTCAAATGTTTAGTATGTATGTAATGAGATTCATACTTAATATGTATTTTCTGAAATTACTGAATTCATACTTTTAAATATCTATGTATTAAGATTACTGAATCTGTACTTAGACTACTGAATCTTCACTTATATATGTTGAGGTTACTGAAACCACACTTTATATCTATTTATTGAGGCTACTGAATCTATACACTATATTGTATTTACTGGTGAATCCATACTTTATACATGTTTGCACTTAGAATACTAGCTCTTAGAATACTAGATCTTAACTATATATGTATGTATGACAAAGGTTCGTCATAACCGTGGTTCGTCTGAAATCATTTGAGAAGTTTTCTCTTTTTTTGACAGTTGAAGCAGCTTTCATATGTAAAGATAGCAGCTAATGGTGATCTGTCGATTCTGGGGGCCCAGGAACAAGATGAAGGGGACTACATGTGTATTGCCACCAACGCCGCAGGAAGTGACTCAGTCATTATTAACCTAGAGGTCGGAGGTCAGTAAACACATGCAAGTCATCAAATTTATAGCAAATATGATGTATGTTCATTTCCACTAGCATGAGATTAAAACATCTTTTCAAGGGTAAATATTCTATTTAGTGATATCAGGTTAGAAACTGGTTTACAATAAAGAGAGCTATGCATATATCTGTGGTCCAAATATCTGTTTGTAAACAATTTTTATTCTGAATGCTTCACCTTCATTAGTTTTTATACCCCCCGCTCTGAAGGAGCGGGCACCTATTGGGGTGAATATGATATAAGCTCCAATCTTAGAGAGCTAAAGTCTCATCAGAGACTTCTGGTCACCTTATCATTTTAGGACTTCCTTTACAGCTGATCCTAGGATCACAAAGGCTCCGTTTAACATGGGAGCTGACATCTCCACCAACACGTCTCTACCCTGTGAGGCTACTGGTGACCCCGCCCCCAGGATCTACTGGCTCTTCAAGGGAAACCCCGTCAAAACGGGGGGACGCTTCAGGCAGGACAAGACTGGCAATCTGTTCATTGACAGTGAGTTATTATTTGATGAGCAGGAACTACAGCCAATTACATATCATTTTTAAGCGCTAAGCGCAGCGCAAAGCGCTTACTGTAATCTTAAATCTACTTCCGTTCGCGATCCAGCGCCACTAAGCAAGTTAGATAACTCCACTGGGTTTTCTAAAAATATGCAACTGGAAATCCCCGACTCTCTTTCGGCTATTTTAGTGTAATACTGAATTACGTGCAGTTCTATTAATAGGAGTCAATTAATAAGGTAAAGATATATGCATGTACATTTTACGAAAATTCACTGTTAGTAGATAAGGGCGGTTCTTGTCATGCTTATCTCTATACATTGTAGTTCATTTAAAATCGTGTCGGCACTCATCACTTGTGTACCATGTGGCTTACAATTGCTGCATCTATGGCGCAAATACCGTATAACGGGTATTTTCTGCGGTTGGAAATTTTTGCGATTTAACCCCTAAAAGATAGCAAATTAATTTCTGTGTTTTCAATTTCTGCGGTTGCATTATACCGCAAAAAATTATTTACTGGGTATGATCACCAATCTCTAAGAATTATCAGATAGCTGCCATATTTATGTTTTTTAAATTCATTGAGACATATTGATCAAAGTTGCATGAGTACCGGTATTAAGCTATTAAGATTAATTAAACTACTATCTTTCAGTTAGTCTTTGTAAAATTATGTCGAGTCCCAATTTAAATGAATTATTGCAGTATCGGTCCACCCAAACAACAATAAAAAATCTTGATTCTACATTGTAACAAACGTTTTATGCGATCTATTAAAATATTTAATATATAGATAATTAATGCATCCAAGCCATATTCTAAAAAATACACTTATAGTTTATTGCCATCAAAATTAATCTGGTGTTTATATTTTAAGCTCAAACAAACAGTTGCATAATCAAGTAACCTAAAGTTGACCTTGTACAATCACAGGTGCCATGTGCATTGAGGCGTAACTAATCCTGTCAGTCGTCTGCATTGAGTGAAATTCACGAGACAATCAAGCCGCTTTGTGTATACAAGCAGTAATTATGGTCTCCAGATAAAACACAAGATTGAAAAAAGTGTTAAAGAAAGAAAGAAAAGCTACTATGTGTTGTTTGCAGCTATCGGAGTTTGGACTATTAATTGCGAAATCTCTTTTAGTCATTTACATGTACATGTATATCCGTATAAAATAAAGAAGTAGGTACAAGAAAAGATGTTTTTGTATAAACTTATTAATTTGATATTATTTATAGCAATGTTTTAATGCAAAATGTTTTGGAAAATCCATATATCTAAAATCTTCGAATTTCGATGACACCCGAATTTTCTCGCTAACGAGGACATACGCCTCACTTATCATACTTGCATGTATAAAATATATATCTGTAGAGATATTGAAAAATATTTTGCGATTGTAATTTTTGCGGATTTGTCCTATCCGCAAAATTCCGCAAAAATTGGACAACCGCAGAAAATACCCGTTATACGGTACTTAATTAAAAACGATTTATTACATGTATATGTCATGTACCTGTAATGCAGTGATTGAATAAGTACATATTTTTAAAACTCAGACGGGATTTTAATAAGTATTTAAAACTCAAACTGAAATTGAGTTATTTAGTAGAAAATTTGGCATATAATTCAGTAACAAAATACGTACATATGTACGTTCTATATAACTTATATCCATATAAACTATTATTTCTTCTTCTAGACCCTTATTTCAGGCAATGTAACCAAAACAAGTCTTCCTATTATCACCCGTTCACCATGCAGAGAACTATCAATGAAGTTGATTTTCGCATCTCAGTATCAATTAGTAACAGACTGGAATGCATTCATGGACTGTCTATAATTGTGTTGTACTCTATACTTGTAATATGGGTAAAAATATGATGTAAATAATTCTCAAGGAAAGGCAGTTTGCGGCTCTACATACATGTAGCGCATGTGGTGGCTGTGTTTCCAACGAATCCACTCAAATGGGAAAACTAATTGTGTGTGCAGTGCGCAAGATATGGCGAAAAATGCAAAAACCTTAATTAAACGTTCTTAGCAATGGACAGGAATAGCGCTGATGAAATGTTAAGCAAACAGTGTAATACTTATATTAGGAAACTAGGAAGAAATAGTTTATGTAAAGATGTGCGTGTGTTGCCGATTTGACTGCTAAGCAACTTAATGAGGACTACAAAAAACAGAATTAAACAATGTTGTATACCTTCATGACAATTTTTTAATACTTGAGATTAATATACTGTATTTTCTTTCTTGGGCTGTTGAATTATTTATCATGGAAATAGCAGAAAAATTACAGGCAATCATTTTCAGTATTCCTTTTCAACTAACACAACAGTGCTGTGGATATTTTTTCTCTCTAAACACGTTTTTTGTGGTAGTTAAAATCATACATAAACAAGTAAAGAATGGTGTAGAGCATCAAACGTCCATATTAAAATACTGAAGCATTTTAAAGTACACGTATTTCAACAATAGTCCAAAATACATTTGGGGATTTAATGACATATTTTTAAACCGAAGAAGAAAAGTATAAAATTTCTATTTTATAAAAGTAATAATTACAAATCAGATATACATATTGTGAGATCAACAGAAAAGACAATTTTTGTTGCAAATACATTATAAATCATGTATATGAAAATCAGAGATAAAAGGATAGCACCGAATGTTTTATCATCAAACAAAGAAGACAAATATAATATCTTTATACTCAAAATGTATATTTAACAATTATCTCTGACAAAAGGACGTTAACTCTACGGGTGCTCATTTCATTGTCATAAGGTTTTTTTTTCACATGACATTGTTACAAACATGATGCCGATATGCTGCACATGCAGCGCGATGAATGTGAAGTATTAAAAATGTATAAAACACAGCTGTAGCATATTCAAAACAAAATATATCTTACACACTCCATTATTGTATTTCTTGTAAAAATCCTTTTTATAAAATCCTAAATTTATAAATCGCTTATGAATCTGAAAAAAGAGATATACTAAAAACAATTTAGTGAGAATACTTGTAATTGATATTTTTGAGATGTTTTATTCATAACTTTGATAAATACACTGTAATTATGCTATCAATAAGGAATTATTTATCGACGCAATAAACAAATAGCATCTTTATTTTCCGAGTGCAGTTTCTAAAATTAAAGCACAGTCACTAACAACCAATCTTCAATTTGAAACACTCGTACACACGGAATGAATTTATTATTAAAATTATCACCAGAACATTTTAGCTGTCGGTGTTGCACATAAATGAAAGGAATTTCAGCGAACAACTGTAACAAACAACTGTGCTCGCCTTAGCGCAGCCACACTGTCAAGATATCGCTTAAATTCCAATACAACAGGCAATTTAAATTCAAAATAATTCTGATGAATTTCAAATTGCAATATGCTTAGCACTTCCCAGTACTTTCAGTACTTTGATTTCATATAGCAACTTTGGACATACTTTTCTGAAAATCTGAATTTAATGATAAACAACTCTTCATCAGATGCTTTGATGTATTTCAAATTTTATTTTATTTTTTGTAATTCCTTAAGATTTGAAGTACACAGATGAAGGAAGGTACACGTGTGTTGCTCAGAATCAGTTTGGAATGCATGAGATCTCAGCATATCTCAGCATTACTGGCATAGGTACGCTGACATAATACTTCCTAGTGAAGTGAAGGCATTTCTGTTTGAAAACTTCCTCTCTTTTTGTTATATTTTATAACTGCTTGCTGAGTGCTGAGAATCTTTTGTACGTTACATAGTGAGTCCTGTGATTGCCTATACAAACCCTTACCTCGATGTGGTGGAAGGGTCAGAGGTGGACCTCAGTTGTGTGGTCATCCAGGGTAATCCCTCCCCGACCGTCCACTGGCAGAAAGGTTCTAAGGTAGGCAACTCTGATTCTATGATGGAAAAGTGTAAACATGCACAGTCTATAGTAGGGAATAGAGTACCTTAATTATGTTTGATTATACATGTATGTGCTACTGAGGTAAAAGAATGTTTACTGTTTGATGTTACATATGGAGTATTAAACAGATGTTTGTGTACCTGCATTGTTTGATGATATGTTAGGGGATTACCCAAGTGTTAGTGTACCTGTAGTGTTTGATGTAATGCTGAGATTTTCTTTCTAGGTGTTAGAAAGCAGTGATCATTTCAATGTGACAAAACCAGGGGAGATAACCATAAAAAACATTCAGAAATCAGATGAAGGAGACTTTATTTGTGTCGCCACAAATGTGGGAGGAAACTCGACGTACATTGTTTCTGTTAATGTCCAAGGTATCATGATATTGTCAATTTTTGCTCACCTCAACAAAGTTGGGGGAGCTTATGTAATACCCTTGGCGTCGCCATTGGCATCCCAGGTTAAAGTAATTGGAGCAGTTTTCTTTTGAAGTACTTCTATGCCCTATATTAATCAGAGATGCATGGAGGATGCTTCTAGTGTGTTTCATTGTACCAGTCAAGGTTTCAGATGCTGCAGTTTCAGCTAAAGAATGACCAGGTTAATGTTTTTGGAGCAGGTCTCATTTTCAAGTAACTATAGGTCCTATGTTGACCAAACTTGCATGGATGATACATCGAAGAATGCACACTACTGGACTTGCTTCACAACATCTGACCTATTTTTTTTAGATGAGTGACCAGGTTAAAGTTTTTTGAGCACATCTCATTTCCAAGTAACTATAAGGCCTATCTGAACCAAACTTGCATGGATGATGCATCATGGGATGAACACTCTCAAACTTGCTTCAGATGCTGGATTTGACTTACATTTTCTGGATGAGTGACTAGTTTAAAATTTTAGATAAGTCCATTTCCAAGTAACTGCAAGCCCTATTAGACCAAAATTGCGTAAATGTTGCATCTAGGGATGCACATTACAAGATTATTAGTTTAGTGTGGGACTTTATCTTACTTAAAGACAACATTCGTTGAGGTGAGCTCTGTAATCTCTGATTACCTATGCTTTATAAAATGACACTACCCTTTACTAAGTGAAATGAATATTTAACTAACTCTCCATCACTACTTATACTGCATTACCTAGCTTATAGGTGTGTAAATCCAAAGCAAAAACAAAAAAACTAGAGATCAGTTCAGTAATAGCTCCTGCAATGTGTTTGTTTTTTTTTGGGGGGGGGGGGGGTGTTTTTTTTTTGTTTATAAAGAGTTCCTATGGTCTGTTTTTCAAATTAATCTCTAATATAGGCCTATGTACACTATGTATTCTGCATACCAGTTAAAAATGAACTATTTTTCCTCTGTAGATGTAAAAACTAGTATAATTATTCAGGGTCCAGATTGAGTGGGGGTGGGGGGTTCAAGTTCAGGTGCAACTTTTCTCTTCCGTAATTTTAGGAACAAAACTATAGAGCTACAATCTCATCAGAAACTCCAGGATTTGTTTCTTTAATAACATAAATTTGTTTATTACTTTAATAACACTACACACCTTTATCTATGTGACAGTGCAAATGCCTATTATTGAACACTCCCCCATCAGTCCTGTATTTATTTTACACAGTGCCCCTACCTCACACCTTTGTTTATTCATTTACCATCGTTGTTTATTTGATAGTGCCTCCACGTCACACCTTTCACAAAGAGGATGACAGTAAAAATAACTTCACGGTGGTAGAGGGTGGGGGGATAATCCTGCCCTGCAGTGTGGAGGGTGATCCCCGCCCTACCATAGCTTGGTATAAGGACGGGAGCCCGATCTCATTGACTGACTACCACTACTTTATCAGGGAGGATGGTAGTCTGGAGATCTTTAGTGCCGACCCCCAGGACAGCGCCACCTACAGGTGTTCTGCTACTAATGAGGCCGGAGATGTCGATAAAACTGTGCAGCTCTTTGTTCAAGGTAAACAAATGATTAAAAGTGTTTAAAACTACCTTTTTGAAACTGGTCAGTAGATGTGGTCATGTTAAAACATCATATTTCATTTTATATCACAAGTTTTTCTTTAGCTATACTGAATGATTTTGATAAACGACACACCATTTAGTATTCATTAATTATTTCATGACATTTGATTTAATTATTTTTTAATGTTTTCTATTTTCAGATACATATTAACAATTGCAGTTAATGATTTTTTCTTGTAATTTATCCTTGATGTGATTTTTTCTGGTCTTTATTTTCAGTGCCCCCAGAGATAGAGGGTGACGAAACAGAGGAGTATACCATCACTACGGGCGAGACAATCGTGTTGCCTTGTGTTGTGAAAGGAAAACCCACCCCAGAGGTCTCGTGGAGGAAGAACTTTGTCCGATTCTCACCCGATTCCTCCGAGCGTTTCCTGTCCAGTAACATTGGCTTGACAATTTTTACTGCGGAGATCTCAGACAGGGCTATTTATGAGTGTGTGGCCAGTAATGTGGCAGGGGAGACAACCAAGATTATCACACTTATTGTGCAGAGTAAATATATTGTTACAGTTGTTAGCACAGTCGTAAATTAGTATTCAAAAAATAACTACTGATAGGTACGACAAAAAAAATTTAAATAATATTACAGATTTGTATATATCTACCATCAGTATTATACAATGTATTTCTCAAGAGTTAATGCTTTATGTTCTTATTGAACTCTGATGAATTACATTCAGTGTAAAATGATCTCAGTATTGGAGATTAATGTGGAATCATTTTACTTTGTTGGGATTAAGGGCAAGCAAAATTTTACCTGTTCTTGGGGATGTAATTTCGTGGGTAACTTGTTTTTACAAAAGACTCAGAGAATCAATATAATGACAAAATTATCATTCGAGGGGATGTAAATTCGTGGGACTGTAAGATTGAACCATGAAATCCACGGACAGTGGTCACCAGCAAACAGTAATGATTCCACAGTAATAAACTAATCTTAGCTAGACCTTAAATATAGCATGGTATTTCAGTCCCACCCACAATCAGCTCTGAAGGAGAGAGGGATTTAGTGGTCCTGCAGGGGGAGTCAGCATTCCTGAATTGTGATACACAAGGGGACCCAGAACCTCAAGTCACATGGAAGAAGGATGGGGTCATTATTGACCCCACCAGTGACCCTGACATAACCTTGACCCCCTTTGGATCTTTACAGTTTAGCTCTGTGAAGATTCTGGATGATGGAAGATACGACTGTATTGCCTCTAATCCGGCTGGCTCAGCACAGAAGGATTTCACTCTGATAGTACAGGGTGAGTAGTCAACAGTTTATAGGTTATAACTAGGGTTATCTGGCTCAGAGCTGAAGGATTTCACTCTGATAGTACAGGGTGAGTAGTCAACAGTTTATAGGCTATAACTAGGGTTATCTGGCTCAGAGCTGAAGGATTTCACTCTGATAGTACAGGGTGTGTAGTCAACAGTTTATAGGTTATAACTAGGGTTATCTGGCTCAGAGCTGAAGGATTTCACTCTGATAGTACAGGGTGAGTAGTCAACAGTTTATAGGTTATAACTAGGGTTATCTGGCTCAGAGCTGAAGGATTTCACTCTGATAGTACAGGATGTGTAGTCAACAGCTTAACTAGGGTTATCTGGCTCAGCACAGAGAGATTTCACTCTGATAGTACAGGGTGTGTAGTCAATAGTTTATAGGTTATAACTAGGGTTATCTGGCTCAGCACAGAGAGATTTCACTCTGATAGTACAGGATGTGTAGTCAACAGTTTATAGGTTATAACTAGGGTTATCTGGCTCAGCACAGAGAGATTTCACTCTGATAGTACAGGGTGAGTAGTCAACAGTTTATAGGTTATAACTAGGGTTATCTGGCTCAGAGCTGAAGGATTTCACTCTGATAGTACAGGGTGTGTAGTCAACAGTTTATAGGTTATAACTAGGGTTATCTGGCTCAGCACAGAGAGATTTCACTCTGATAGTACAGGGTGAGTAGTCAACAGTTTATAGGTTATAACTAGGGTTATCTGGCTCAGAGCTGAAGGATTTCACTCTGATAGTACAGGGTGTGTAGTCAACAGTTTATAGGTTATAACTAGGGTTATCTGGCTCAGAGCTGAAGGATTTCACTCTGATAGTACAGGGTGTGTAGTCAACAGTTTATAAGTTATAACTAGGGTTATCTGGCTCAGAGCTGAAGGATTTCACTCTGATTGTACAGGGTGAGTAGTCAACAGTTTATAGGTTATAACTAGGGTTATCTGGCTCAGCACAGAGAGATTTCACTCTGATAGTACAGGGTGTGTAGTCAACAGTTTATAGGTTATAACTAGGGTTATCTGGCTCAGCACAGAAGGATTTCACTCTGATAGTACAGGGTGAGTAGTCAACAGTTTATAGGTTATAACTAGGGTTATCTGGCTCAGCACAGAGAGATTTCACTCTGATAGCACAGGGTGTGTAGTCAACAGTTTATAGGTTATAACTAGGGTTATCTGGCTCAGCACAGAGAGATTTCACTCTGAAAGTACAGGGTGTGTAGTCAACAGTTTATAAGTTATAACTAGGGTTATCTGGCTCAGCACAGAGAGATTTCACTCTGATAGTACAGGGTGAGTAGTCAACAGTTTATAGGTTATAACTAGGGTTATCTGGCTCAGCACAGAGAGATTTCACTCTGATAGTACAGGGTGTGTAGTCAACAGTTTATAAGTTATAACTAGGGTTATCTGGCTCAGAACTGAAGGATTTCACTCTAATAGTACAGGGTGTGTAGTCAACAGTTTATAAGTTATAACTAGGGTTATCTGGCTCAGAGCTGAAGGATTTCACTCTGATAGTACAGGGTGAGTAGTCAACAGTTTATAAGTTATAACTAGGGTTATCTGGCTCAGAGCTGAAGGATTTCACTCTGATAGCACAGGGTGTGTAGTCAACAGTTTATAAGTTATAACTAGGGTTATCTGGCTCAGAGCTGAAGGATTTCACTCTGATAGCACAGGGTGTGTAGTCAACAGTTTATAAGTTATAACTAGGGTTATCTGGCTCAGAGCTGAAGGATTTCACTCTGAAATTACAGGGTGTGTAGTCAACAGTTTATAGGTTATAACTAGGGTTATCTGGCTCAGCACAGAGAGATTTCACTCTGATAGTACAGGGTGAGTAGTCAACAGTTTATAGGTTATAACTAGAGTTATCTGGCTCAGCACAGAGAGATTTCACTCTGATAGTACAGGATGTGTAGTCAACAGTTTATAGGTTATAACTAGGGTTATCTGGCTCAGCACAGAGAGATTTCACTCTGATAGTACAGGGTGTGTAGTCAACAGTTTAAAGGTTATAACTAGGGTTATCTGGGTCAGCACAGAGAGATTTCACTCTGATAGTACAGGATGTGTAGTCAACAGTTTATAGGTTATAACTAGGGTTATCTGGCTCAGCACAGAGAGATTTCACTCTGATAGTACAGGGTGAGTAGTCAACAGTTTATAGGTTATAACTAGGGTTATCTGGCTCAGAGCTGAAGGATTTCACTCTGATAGTACAGGGTGTGTAGTCAACAGTTTATAGGTTATAACTAGGGTTATCTGGCTCAGCACAGAGAGATTTCACTCTGATAGTACAGGGTGAGTAGTCAACAGTTTATAGGTTATAACTAGGGTTATCTGGCTCAGCACAGAGAGATTTCACTCTGATAGTACAGGATGTGTAGTCAACAGTTTATAGGTTATAACTAGGGTTATCTGGCTCAGCACAGAGAGATTTCACTCTGATAGTACAGGGTGAGTAGTCAACAGTTTATAGGTTATAACTAGGGTTATCTGGCTCAGCACAGAGAGATTTCACTCTGATAGTACAGGGTGTGTAGTCAACAGTTTATAAGTTATAACTAGGGTTATCTGGCTCAGAACTGAAGGATTTCACTCTAATAGTACAGGGTGTGTAGTCAACAGTTTATAAGTTATAACTAGGGTTATCTGGCTCAGAGCTGAAGGATTTCACTCTGATAGTACAGGGTGAGTAGTCAACAGTTTATAAGTTATAACTAGGGTTATCTGGCTCAGAGCTGAAGGATTTCACTCTGATAGCACAGGGTGTGTAGTCAACAGTTTATAAGTTATAACTAGGGTTATCTGGCTCAGAGCTGAAGGATTTCACTCTGAAAGTACAGGGTGTGTAGTCAACAGTTTATAGGTTATAACTAGGGTTATCTGGCTCAGCACAGAGAGATTTCACTCTGATAGCACAGGGTGAGTAGTCAACAGTTTATAAGTTATAACTAGGGTTATAACTGGCTCAGTGCTGAAGGATTTCACTCTGATAGTACAGGGTGTGTAGTCAACAGTTTATAGGTTATAACTAGGGTTATCTGGCTCAGCACAGAGAGATTTCACTCTGATAGTACAGGGTGAGTAGTCAACAGTTTATAGGTTATAACTAGGGTTATCTGGCTCATGTCTGTTTCATTTTTGAATTTTCTTCAATCCACCATGTTTCCTGCTAACAAATGTAGACAATTTTTCACATTTCCATATTTACATGCCGTTACAACTGCCCCTCACTGAAATTTATGTTTCTGTATTTTTTTCACCACTATAAGGGGTTATAAAAAGCGTGTTAAAAGAGATCAAAAAGTATCAATATAAGAATTATTTTGGAATGTCTTCCTCCTTTAACCAAGAAGAAAAGAAGTCACACATTATGTTGATGTTGATGTGTTTCATTGGGAAGGAGGAGGAGTTATTTCACTGGCTAAAAAAATGTTTCCATCATCTTAGCTGTTCATGGATCATGATGCTAAAAAGTGGTTATTCCTATGAAAGAGATGTCCATGGCCACTATTTTTATCATTACTAATAATTGTTATGCATAATAATAAATTATTTCTCACTAAAGTTTACACAGCATTAAATGCATAAATCTTTTAGGTAGACTAATCTCTTAGTAAGTCTTTAAAATTGAGTGAACTTTAAGGCACCATTAAATTTTGTTCTAATAACAGATCCCCCATCTATCCCTCCCTTTGTATCCAACTTTACACAAGTGATAGAGAACAACCCTGTGACAATTCCCTGCCCTGCCGTAGGGACCCCACCCCCTGTCATTAGATGGTATAAAGAAGACGTTCTGCTGACTGGTGACGAGAGTGGAGTTACCTTCCTTGATGACGGAGCGCTGGAGCTGGACAATGTGGGCGCCCAGGACACGGCGACTTATAAATGTGTGGCTTCCAATCCAGCAGGGGAGATTGATCACTCTGTGGCACTTCATGTACTCAGTAAGATTTAGATGACAATCAGTCACTATCAGGAGATGTTTGTCATTTCAGTGAACTTGCAATGTTAGGCAGGATTTATTTTCTTTTTCCAGAAATGTAAGATAGTGTGATCTGAAACCGTTTAACGTCTTTAATTTTTTTTTTATAGATTTTTACAGTTTATAAATCAAACCAGATTTTCTTGCATAGAGCTGATATAAAGCCTATAGGTTATCAAAAGTCCTTTTGCTTAGAAGCACTTTCACAATACTCAGACCTTTTGTTGTGTATATAAAGACTAAAAACTTGTCATGTATATCTCATGGCTAAAGTTTTATTTATAAAGAACTAAGTATTTTTTTTCTATCCAGAAGTAATGTCGGTCTGGTGCTATACAACAGCTTTTTTCTATTTTTATTTCTTATAGTTCCACCCAGACTGATAGGAGGGGAAATCAATTTATCACTTGGGACTCCCATCAAGACTACAGCAGTGATTAATAGCACAGTATCCTTCCATTGTCCACTCCATGGCGATCCAAAACCTGTCATCACATGGCAGAAAAATGGGGAGGATCTCCTTGAGGACGGGGTGAGAGTCTTTATCTCGGACGAGGGACGAAACCTGACTATTGTGAATGTCGAGGTGTCAGATAAAGCTCGGTACACATGTACTGCCAGGAATGAAGCTGGAGAAACAGACCTTTCATTTCCTCTAGATATTTTGGGTAAGAGTTTATAATAATAATAATAATAATAATAATAATAATAAAACTTTATTTAAAGAAGGTAACCTGGTTAGTGCATGCACTATACTTCCCCAGGGCCTTCTATATATCAATTACAAAGATAAACAAGTACACATGTAAATGTACTTATACAATTCAACATAAAACAGATATAGTCTTAAGGAATTACAATCACAAAATTATGAATAAAGTGTTCATGCCTGGTAATATGTACATACAACTAACAATCACATTGTAGATAGGATATCAAAATCTTACTGTGCTCAAATAATTGTACGACAGCTGATAATATAATTTTCTACATTACACTTAAATGCTCGTAGAGATTGAGAGAGTCTTATGAGCTGGGGAAGTTTATTCCATAGGTGCACACCTGAGTACTGAAAAGAGGTCTTGAATAAGTTTGTACGGAACTTAGGTAATTTAAGGTCATAATTAGTTTCAGATCGCAGGTTATAAGAAGCTGAGGAGTGAAATTCAAATAAATTACAAAGATATTCGGGAGTCATTCCGCTGAAAATTTTGTATAATAATATGTATTTGTATAGATCAACTAGCTCATAAACTGTTAACCATCCAAGTTTCTCAAACAGTGGTTTAGAAGAAGAATCAGGACTTGCATCAAGAATAATCCTAGTTGCCCTTTTTTGTAATTTAAATAGTCTACCCATGTCCTGCTTGGGGGCATTACCCCAAATAGTCAAACAATTATAAGTTAATAGATGGTAGAATATAAGCATTGTAATATAGTTTTCTGGTATGTAGGGGAAGAAATTTTTTTATCTTACGTAGAGTAAATAACTTATAGTTTATGGTTTTACAAACTGATTCAATATGATTTGCATACTGTAACTTATCATCAATATGTACACCAAGAAGTTTCTCAGTTTCAACCATTTCAATTGTTTTGTCTGAGGCATAAAGTTGTAAATTTGGATTATCTAGTTTTGATTTTCTTTACTGTGTCCCCATTAGCATACATTTTGTTTTGTCTACATTTAATACCATTTGGTTTTGAGCACACCATTTCTCAATCTCGCAAAGATCTGAATTTAGTGTATTTTCTAAACATCTTGCATTATGATTATTAGAGTACAGAGTTACATCATCAGCAAACATATCAATATTGGAATTGTTTACATGTAATGGAAGGTCATTTATGTACAATAAAAATAAAAGTGGACCCAAAATTGAGCCCTGTGGTACTCCTGCTGTGACGGGTAGAATATTGGAGACACATGTTCCAAATTTAACACACTGGGTCCTGTCGTAAAGATATGACTTAAACCACTTTATAGCTGTATGGTCAAATTTGTAATGGGTTAATTTCTCTAGAAGAATATTATGATTCACCAAATCAAATGCTTTACTAAAATCTATAAATGTAATACCGATTAGTTCACCACGATCCATTGCATTAAGCCAACTTTCTGTTAGTTTTGTAAGTGAAGTTTGACACGAATGGAGTTCTCTAAACCCCGACTGGGATTGTGTTAGTAGATTAAATTCATTGGTGAAATTTTGTATTAGCTTAGCTACATGTTTTTCTATCAATTTAGATATAGTCGGTAGAATAGAAATTGGACGATAATTATTCGGGTCAGCTTTGTCACCTTTCTTAAAAATAGGTGTTACTTTGGCTTGTTTTAAATTTGTCGGGAAAATACCACTTACTATGCTAGTGTTAATAAGATGAGTTATAGGTTTACATATATATTTAGATGCGACTTTCAAAAGACGTGGTCCAATAAAGTCGAACGCCAGCTGATTTATTGATATTAAGAGAATTTAACATGTTAAAAACTTCACTTTCCTCAATTAGATGAATACTAAAAAAGGTTTCATTATCAAGCTTAGACCTAACAAAATTAGTACGTAATATATTTGGATCATACTCATGTTTTGGCATTTCCAAAAGAAGCTTGTTTGAGACATCTGAAAAGTGGTTATTAAAAGTATTTGCAATATCCTGTAAATTATCAATAATTCCCCCATTAGAAAACACATGAGATGGAGTTATAGTCTTTGAATTACATGTTAATTGATTAAGATAGTTCCACATTTCTTTGGGATTTGAACTCTGTTCAATCGCTGTTTTATAGTATGAAGATTTTGATTTATCTATAAGAAGACTAACTTTATTCCGATAAAGTCTATAGTTTTCCATATCTCCTTCTTTGTGGTAAGAGTCACGTAAGTGTCTAGCATCGTTTATTTCTTGTGTCATCCATTTGGGACGGATTTCACTCTTTACTCGTTTGGTTTTAACTTGTGCATGCTGGTCAAGTACGCTATTAAATAATTCGTAGAATTCAGTTAGTATTTCATTAGGGTCATGCATCTGGAGGAGATTGTTAAAGTCTACATCTTTTAAGTCTTGGAGGAATTTATTTTCATCAAACTTTTTGAAATCTCTATACTGAATTTCTATGTGTTTTCCTTTTTGCTGCATGCATTTAGTTTTTCTAGTGGCACATATTGGGTAGTGATCAGAGATGGCTATAAAAGGTACATTCACTTCACACATGTTATCTGGTTTATTGGTGTAAAAGTGATCTATTAGGGTACTTGAGGTATTAGTTACTTTGGTTGGTGCTGTAATTAATTGTGAAAAACCAAACTCTTCTAAAGCATATGTCCAACTTTGTGGGGGTCCTTTGAATAAGTCTATATTAAAATCACCTGTTAAGATAATTTCTGCATCGTCACAGCAGGAGGCACAATTTATTTCTCTAGCCAGATCCTCCGCCCAGCAGGAGGGAGCAGATGGTGGACGATATGCTGAACAGTAATAAATTGGTTTAGAATTCTTTGTATTTAATTCCAGCCAAATTGTTTCTATATTACCAATTTCAAAATCAGGTCTACGTTTGTATCTTATATTATTAGAAATGTATACCACAATTCCACCTCCTGCCCTCAATGTGCGATCCTTCCTTTCCATATCAAAACCATCAATATTCAACTCAGAATCACTAATGTTATCATTCAAAAAGGTTTCACAAAGTCCTAGAATATTAAGAGTTTGTTTGTTTTGGAGCAGAATTTTAATTTCTTCAATTTTGGGCATTAGGTGGCAAATGTTCAGGTTCCCAAATTTTAAGCCTTTTTTAATCAAACCGAATTCATTATTGCTTTTTACACTGTCATTTTTTGTTATAAATACAGTAGATTTGTCTTTGTCTGAATGTGAAACCTTCTTGGTAGCAGTTCTATTGATATTCCTATTTTTCTGAATGATTTTATAAGAATTAGATAAAGTATTTGAATTAATACTAGAATTTTGAACAGATGCACAAGAATATTCATAAACACGACATGAACAATAAACCTTTTACATTCTGAGCATAAACTATTAAGAAAAGAATATACATTTTTGTTATTAATTAACACTCGGGAACTGGTGACGGCTACACTTTCATTGCCTGTTTCCTAGTGGCTATGCGACAGAGCTTGGTTTTGTGTCCTAGCTCTCCACAGTTCCAACAGTCCAGCTCTCTTCCATGTCTGCAGTGTCGCGATATATGGCCACTTTCCCCACAGAAATAGCAGAAGGTTGAACGGAAGGAATCATCGCCAACCGATGTTGTCATTTTTTTGACATTTGCTCGCATATTTCCTATTTTCAGAATATTCACATATCCTTGAAAAATTTTCAGCAGTGCTGCGGTACCTCTGTCTGACAGGTGGATTCCATCTTTCCAGTAGAATCCCTGTTTAAACTTTCCATCTCCAAAGAACTTTGAAGTAGGGATCACTGTGACACCATACATTTCACAAATATTTTTAATAATTCCATTTATATCACTAATATCCGTATCACGTCTTGCTAACACTTCTGAAATAAACACACCTACACTAGGGTTCCGATTTTGGAGATCTGCAATTATTTCCGCAAAATCGTGTTCAATCCCCTCTGCATCTCGCCGTCTTGATGCATCATTTCCTCCAGCTAAAACAATAATACTCTGATAGGATGATACGTCCATTTTGGAAAGTTTTGCCCTTATATTAGAGATGGTTGCTCCTCGATTTGTGCTGACCTGTACTGTTGAATGCAATCCTCTGGTACGGATCCTTTGTAATATCGAGCTCCCAATGATGAGGACAGATTTATCCTTTGGTTTCTTTCCAGGTTGATTTTTCCCCCTTGTGAAATCTGTGGGATCGGATAAAACAGGAGAAATCTTGATATCTGAAGACTCGCTGGTATCTGTCATAGTACTGCTACTGATTAAGGGACCTTTAATGTCACACTGACTATGCCTTGATACACCAGATCCAGGAATCTGAATTCCTTCTGTTGATGTCTCCTTTTCCTTTGTCCTGTTTGGAACTGTTTGGGTACTTTTTGTAAGAAGAGATGTGGCCATGCATTTAATTGTTGTTTAAGATCACTGACTTCTTGTGACAGAAGTTGGACAGTATCTGAAAGTTCCTTAATGAGTTTTGCACTGTCAATGCACTGATGGCAATTCATTTGGGGATGTTCATCATTTTGTGGGGCTTTACCTTTAGGAGTAGATGTACACTGGGGAGATGTACGTGTCATCTATGGTCTTACATCTTGTCTCCAAATATCTATTAGAGGTCTTCAAATCCTTGAGGAACTCTTGGCACCACGAGAAATATGAGTCTCCTTGGATGTGAAGGGTATTTGTTTTCTCATAAATGGTAACTGTGACAGAGTCATCTCCAGATTTATAAATAGATCCATGTCTTCTTTTATCACGATTTTTAAACAGTACAAGTTCACTCTGTAGTAGGTCCAAGATGATAGGGTACTTGTCACCATCAAAAGTTATTGTGACACTCTTCTGAATTTCCTTAACTTGTAGGAAATCTGGCACATCAAAATCTAGTTTCACAGATTCATTTGGTAGATCATTATTTACAATAAATGATGTTGAAAATCCAGTAAATGAGTCCAAAAGTGACTTAAAGAGGTTAGAACTATCACTCAAACTCATTATTATTCCATTGTAAATACTAAGTATAGATAAGAAATGCAGGAGCTGTAAAAAAGTTTAGAATGTTGACAATAATTGTTTGCATTCATCAGGACAATTACCCACACACTGTTATATTTTGGATACTTTCTAAGTGAGGAGCTTACTCTGCTTTGATTTGTATGCCTCTGTTTCATTTGTAACACAAACTTGATTTTACATAACTTGTTGACAAAACAATATTGTGGTAGTTGAACTTGTATTGCAGTTCCCCCTATTATTGACTACGCCTCCCTTAGCCCTGGTAACCTCTCCGTGGTCCTCGGTAACTCCTTGTTCGTCAGCTGTCCCATGTCCGGGATCCCGCCTCCAAAAATCACCTGGTACAAGAATAATGAGGTTATCTCCCCTGAGTTGGACCCAAACTTCCGGTTGTTTGCTGCTGGTCAGCGACTGGAGTTGGCCAGTGCACGAGTGAGGGACACCGGGCTCTATAGATGTGAGGGGGTCAACATTGCTGGCAAGACTCAAAATGAATATGAAGTAGAGGTGTTCGGTAGGTTTAAATGATAAGCTTTTATTAATTATTTCAAATGAGGAAGGTCATGGCACATCCTTTTAAATTTAAATGTTAATATTGTTTTATCAATACCATAAACTTTAGAGGGATTAAGCAGGATAAATACCTCATCAACACTTTGATCTAAGGTTAATTTTAATTAGTGTATAAACAAGTCCATAGTTAAGTTTCATCACAGTGTAAAGAAAGTTTTTTATTTTCTTAGTTCCCAATGTAATGAATGTTCTAGGTGTATAAATACATTTCAAGCTCCATTTTGGAGCTGTTCTTGCATTATCAATGAAACTTTTATACAATATACATGTATATTGTGGGAAATCAGTAGAAGTGTTGTCTGTGCACAATTAGTGGATCAAGAGTGGAAAACTAATTGATTATCAGCAGCTGCTAAATATGGAAATTAAACCTGATTTCATTAAGTTCTCAAAAAGACATAAAAGCTACACATTATCTTTGTAATAAATTATGATATCCTAAAACATTACATTTATACTAATGATGATTTTAAAAAATGTGAAATTCTAGCTCTGCCTTTGAAGAAATTAAAACAATTTAGTTTATTGGTTCCCTTGGCCCTAAACATTTTGAGAGTAAAAACAAAATGTTTCTTCATGCTGTAGTTCCCCCATCCATTCAGAGAGAGGGGGAGATAGACCACCCTGAGGTTGTAGCAGGCCGGTCCATTCAGTTGACCTGTCCAGCCTCTGGGATCCCTCGGCCAGACATATCCTGGTTCAGGGCCAACAAGGCCATCAAAGAGAATTCTACAAACTATGTCCTACTGGACGAGGGGTGGACATTGTCCATACTGAATGCATCTGAAGAAGACTCTACAAGGTTTACGTGTCGGGCTATAAATGTGGCTGGGAGTAATGAAAAAGCTTTTGATCTTCAGGTCTTAGGTAAGAACTATGTTCACTTGACTTTTTTCCTTATTTTTTTTCTGCAGTGTTATATGAATAGGTTTCTTTGTTGGAATTCTTTGTTTAATTTCTATGTTATACGTTTCTCCAACAGTTCCTGCTTACATTCAGCGTGACAAGATAAAAACAGAGCCTAAAGTGATCCTTAACAGAACGTTGGTCCTGAACTGTCCTGTGGCAGGAGTTCCTACCCCAGACATCACTTGGTACAAAGAAAGGATTCTTCTGGACTTCTCCAGCAGCCCTCGGGTGGAAGTTCTCTCCTCAGGGAGACAACTCCGGGTCCCCAATGTTCAGCTTACGGATGGTGGAACATATACCTGTGAAGCCACAAATAAAGCAGGGGCAGACAAACAGGACTACAAAGTACAAATACAAGGTACACACCTTTTTATATTAATATTTTCTTGATGCAGTTTTTTTATTCAATAAAGAAGGGTGCTATTAAACCAATTTTTTTCTCATCTTTCTGATGGTCTTGTCATGTTTCTCTCCCCTTCTTTAGTTATTGTTATCTTTTCTAAAATACTAGTCCTTTATTATGTGTTTCATTTAACATGTACCATCTCAGTCCAAATGTGACCATAACCTTTGACCTCAGAATAGGGTCAATTAAATACTACAACCAAGTTTGAAGTATGAGGGGTGTATATATAGGAATAGCAGTCACATTGAATAGTAAGGCCACTCACTGTTGCAAGGTAAATTTCTTGCACAGTACAGTGTTCCTATGTGCAATTTTACTTGCTCCTTTTTGATTCTGCCCCTTCGGAATATGATCCCAGTAGGATGGCATTGTTTTTTTTCCCTGTGACCAGAAATATATTTATTTAAAACTTTCAAAAGTTTATATTTTGCATCTCATAACATCATTTTTATGTTCACAACACTAAGGGTAGATTTTGTACATTTATATGACAGTTCCAAGCAAGATAAATGAATTCAGGACAAATGTCAAGCCCCGGGTGATTGTTAATAATCCGCTGACCATCACCTGTCCAGCAACTGGCATCCCTCCCCCAGTCATAACCTGGTATAAGGACGGAGAGAAGATAAATATCACCGAGAATGAAAACATTCAGGTGGACAAGGACGGCCAGGAACTGACCATCAAGGTCACTGGGGTCAAGGACACAGGTTCATACAGCTGTGAGGCTTGGAATGAAGCAGGTGTGGCTAAACTGGATTTTGGTGTCTTTGTTGAAGGTATGGACTATTTACATTTATCCTTCATAGGACAAGGTATGGTGAGATGCAAATGCAGTTAAAGTCATTCTAAATTAACAACATACACAGAGGTTACAAGAAGGTGACAGATTAGACCAGCTACATTTAACCCTCACATTTTCAAAATTCACATTCTGGAAAATTCGGATTGAAACAAGCCTTTCTTTGATTTTCAAGGCTCTTACGAGGTTTATGTGTATACAAAATATACTCTAAAATAGGTAAAAAAATCAACACTAGATCAGAGAATGCAGAATTAGAACGAATTTGTGATCTTTATGTGGTCTGTATGTATGCTATGTCTTGAAACCAATTTTAAATATTGAACAGGCTTTTATAATTAGTGTTTAGAAACTAATGAATTTTTATTAGTGTCTCCTGGCAAAAGGGACGAAATTGATCAACCTACCTTGTCTTTGGAATGACTGTAACAAATTTTTCGTCGCAGTTTTCTCAGCAACTACTCATCACAGATGCTTGAAATTTTAGCACACTCTTTGCATAGGCATGCCATATAGTGGGATCTATTTTTGTATGAATCCATGGTCAACTTCCTGTTTATCTGTGCATCTGTCCGTACCATACATTACAAATTTTCATCACAGTTTTCTCAGCAACTACTCATCGCAGATGCTTGAAATTTTAACACACTCTTTGTTTAGGCATGCCATATGGTGGGATTCATTTTTGTACGAATCCATGGTCAACTTCCTGTTTATCTGTGCGTCTGTCCGTACCATACATCACAAATTTTCATCACAGTTTTCTCAGCAACGACTCGTCACAGATGCTTGAAATTTTAACACACTCTTTGTTTAGGCATGCCATATGGTGGGATTCATTTTTGTATGAATCCGTGGTCAACTTCCTATTTATCTGTGCGTCTGTCCATACCATACATCACAAATTTTTGTCACAGTTTTCTCAGCAACTACTCGTCGCAGATGCTTGAAATTTTAACACACTCTTTGTTTAGGCATGCCATATGGTGGGATTCATTTTTGTATGAATCCGTGGTCAACTTCCTGTTTATATGTGCATCTGTCCATACTATACATCACAAATTTTTGTCACAGTTTCCTAAGCAACTACTCATCGCAGATGCTTGAAATTTTAACACACTCTTTGTTTAGGCATGCCATATGGTGGGATTCATTTTTGTATGAATCCGATGTCAACTTCCTGTTTATCCATGCTAAGAGTGTATATTCACATCAGAGCGGGGGTATTACTAGTGAGCATTGGCTCACAGACTTCTTGTTATTCATATTTTGAATGTTTTTAGCTCACCTGAGCTGAAAGCTCAAGTGAGCTTTTCTGATCACATTTTGTCTGTAGGCTGTCTGTCTGTCTGTCTGTCTGTCCGTCTGTCCGTCTGTCTGTAAACTTTTCACATTTCCAACTTCTTCTCCAGAACAACTGGGCCAATTTTAACCAAACTTGCCACAAAGCATCCTTGGGTGAAGGGGATTCAAATTTGTTCAAATGAAGGGCCATGCTCTCATTCAAGGGGAGATAATTCAGAAATAGTGAAAATTTGGTGGCATAGTTTAAAAATCTTCTTCTCCAGAACCAATGGCCCAAAAAAGTTGAAACTTATAGGAAACCTTTGTTATATAGTGTAGATTCAAGTTTGTTCAAATCATGACCCCTGGGGATAGGGAGGTGCCACAATGGGGGATCAAAGTTTTCTATAGGAATATATAGGAAAAAACTTTAAAAATCTTCTTCTCAAGAACAGCAAAGCCATTATTTGTTATATTGATATGGAAGCATTCTCAGGTATTGTAGATTCAAGTTTGTTCAAATCATGACCCCTGGGGCTAGGGTGGGGCCACAATGGGGGATCAAAGTTTTACATTGGAATATATAGGGAAAAACTTCAAAAATCTTCTTCTCAGGAACAGGGAAGTCTTGTTTAGTCATATTGATATGGAAGCATCTTCAGATAATGTAGATTCAAGTTTGTTCAAATTATGACCCCTGGGGATAGGGTAGGGTCATAATGGGGGATCAAAATTTTGCATAGAAATATACAGGAAAAATTTTTTAAAAAATCTTCTTCTCAAGAACAGCAAAACATTGTTTAGTCATATTGATATGTAAGCATCCTCAGATAGTGTAGATTTAAGTTTGTTCAAATCATGACCCCTGGGGTTAGGGTGGGGCCACAATGGGGGTTCAAAGTTTTACAAAGGAATATATTGGGAAAAAAACTTCAAAAATCTTCTTCTCAAGAACAACAAAGTCTTGTTTAGTCATATTGATATATAAGCATCCTCAGGTAGTATAGATTCAAATTTGTTCAAATCATGACCCCTGGGGTAGGGTGGGGCCACAAGGGGGGTCAAAGTTTTACATAGAAATATAGGGAAAAATTTTAAAAATCTTCTCTCAAGAACAGCAAAGCCATGTTTAGTCATATTGAAATGGAAGCATTCTCAGGTATTGTAGATTTAAGTTTGTTCAAATCACAACCCCCAGGGGTAGGGTGGGGTCATAATAGGGGATCTAAGTTTTACATAGGAATATAAAGGAAAAAAATCTTTGTCTCAAGAACAGCAAACCATGTTTAGTCATATTGATATGGAAGCATCATCGGGTAGTGTAGATTAATTTTGTTCCACTGATTACCCCTGGAGGTAGGGAGGGGCCACAATGGGGTATCAAATTTTTACAAAGGAATATATAGAAAAAAATATTTTAAAAATCTTCTACTCAAGAACAGCAAAGCCATTTGTTATATTGATATGGAAGCATCCTCAGGTAGTTTAAAATTCAAGCCCTCCCCCCCCCCCCCCCCCCCCATGTAAACTTTTCAATACTGAATTGATTTGTGCTTTTTCCTAGCCATTGTGTTCAGGTGAGCGATGTGGCCCATGGACCTCTTGTTATAATACTTATTGCAGTTGTAAGATTTTTTTTAAAAAGAGGAACAATCAAATATTTGAAGACTATTGTTACAATATTGAATTGTATCTTTTGAAGGTACATGTATTTAAAAACAAAATTCAGCTATGAAAACTTGTACCATCAGATTAGAAGAACAATTTCTATTTTTAGTTCCTCCGTCTATATCTGATACTGAGCCATACCCTAAAGTAAGAGAAGGGGAGGAGATAACATTACAGTGCCCCACCTCTGGAACCCCTGAGCCCGAGATAACATGGCTAAAGAGTGGTCAGCCAATAGACTTTTCTCTGACCTCAGGTCTGAGGGAACAGAATGGAGGAAGAGAGCTACATCTACACAATGCTATAGTAGACTATGGGGGAATGTATACCTGTATCGCCTCAAACTCAGCTGGGGAGGACTCAGTTGACATGGAGCTGGAGGTATGGGGTAAGTACACAATGTCATAGTGATAGTAAACAATGCTGTAGAAGACTATAGGGGAACATAGAACACAATGCTATCGTAGACTTTGGGGGAATGTAGTTTATAATGCTATAGTAGACTATGGGGATATGTAGAACACAGTGCTATAGTAGACTATTGGGGAATATATACCTTTATTGCCTCAAACTCAGCTTGGAGGACTCAGTAGACATTAGGCATTGAGTTTGAGATCTGGGTGAATACACAGTGCTATAGTAGACTATGGGGGAATGTGGTACACAATGCTATAGTAGATAATGTAGGAGTGTAGTATACAATGCTATAGTAGATGATGGGGGAATGTACACAGTGCTATAGTAGACTATGGAGGATTGTAGAACAAAATGCTATAGTAGACTGGGGAAATGTAATACACAATTCTATATATTAGATTATGGGGGAATGTAGTGTATAACTTGCTAACTTCAAAAATCAATTTCCACCAAATATCGTACACGCTAAATATAATACATTAAAGGACTTATCGCATGATTTTTCAAAAATCTTAATTTTATGAAAAATATTATCTACAACCTTGTTTATTAAAATTCTGAATACAATAAACGTTGTTGAAAGCATATTTTAAGAAATATTGAGAGCTGAAAATCAAATACGGCAATATGCATATTTCAGTCGGATTTCGGCGAAATACTGCTCTGACGTCATAGGCGACAATTCAGTGATAGAGAGATGAGAAGTTGCACACTATTTACGAAGTTATCAACGACAAATGCAGCTTAATTATGAAAAATGCTGAAAAAATTAATTCCTAACGTGATTTTCAATTACTATAGAAACATTAACTAGTTCTAAGGTATAGGAATTTTGAGATATTTTCGTTTTTTATTCCAAACATTTAGAATCTGTAGGTCTGATTACGGCAATGTTTCGTGATCGGAAAATTATTTTTCAAGACCGCCATCCTTTACTAAACATATGAAAGCATACTTGCATAAATTAATATTATGTAAAAACGAAGAATAACAAAGCTATGTAATATTAAATTTGTGAATCAAATAAGTTAATACATGTGATAGAATGACAAATCAAATTGTATTGTGATGGCGAGTTTCTTCGTCTTCGCCGCGTCTCCCTCGCTATCGCCGCTGCTATTTTTACAATGTTAACGGATTTTTCAGATTATTTCTTGCTGACAATTCTAAAATATAAGGTTGGATATTAAATTTCATATCGATAAAATCAGTGATTTGGTCGTCCATTACGCAGAAAATTCAGGTTGTATCGCGTATATTTTAGTAAGATTTACGTGAAGAGCTGATCAGCCATTGTCGCCTTTGACGTCACAGGGTCACGTGATCGCTATCTAATTAACTTAGATTTTTAATTCAGGGGTTTTCATTTGAGTCAATAATTGGTTAATTACCGCGGTTTATCCGCAGTAAAAACACAAAATTTATGAAATGTGGTCATAAGGAAAGCTTTACGCTTTTAATTTCAAATAATTTAGAAACATGCGATAAGTCCTTTAACATTATCAGGTTAAATGAAATGTGTATCATTTAATTATTAATGTTAAAATTATTTTGGAAATGAACAAGATATAATTTTGGGGTCATCTTTTTTTCATAAATTCCTGCAAAATAATTGAAATTGGAAGGATTTCCATCTTTATTTATTTTTTGCTTTAATTTAATGCAGTTCCTCCTGTAATTGACAAGGAATCCTTTGAGAAATATACAGGGGTCATAAAAGGTCGTACCACCGTACTGAACTGTCCCGCCCATGGACTACCTCCCCCTAACATCACATGGTATAAAGACGACACCCCTTTGGTACTGGACAAACGCATGGAGCTACTGACAGGTGGTCTACAGCTGAAAATCACCAACACCACAATTAACGACACTGGGATGTTCAAATGTTCTGCCGTAAATCCTGCCGGAAAGGACAGTGTAGAGATGAGACTGGAGGTCATGGGTAAGAATTCATAATTTAGTACAATATGAAGGTATGTGTCGGTCAGACGGGTTTGATCACCTTTGGCCAGATAGCTCAGTTCGTAGAGCACCTGATTGGAGATTCAGGGGGTCCAGGTTAGAATCCAGGTCTGGTCCACTGCATTTTTCTCCTCTCCCGTTACATTTGGTGCCGTGCCATGCCCTGGAAGTGACAGGTGAAAGACCTGCCAGGGAAGAGCCTGGGTTGGTGTCTTTAGGGGCAAAGACCTTTAAGGCGGGGAGAATGTGGCATGGCAGTCAGACAGGTTTGATGGCCAGTGGCCAGGTAGCTCGAATGGTAGAGCACTTGTCTCGAGATTCAGAGGGCCTGGGTTGGAATCACAGTCTGGTCCCTTGCATTTTTCTCCTCTCCTGTTACAAAGGATTATGTTAAAGGATAACAACAGTTGTTTTTAGCTGTAGATGGTTTGATAGCTGTGGTAGTTTGGGCTTTATGGACCATGGATATTGGCCTGGGTTGCTCAGTGGTTAGAGCACCTGACTAGTGATACAGGGGTCTCGCTTTCAATTCCAAGTGTAACCATATAATTGATTTATTCATTCTTTCCTAATTTAGTGGCATTTTATTATGTGATGCTGCACTGCAAATATTTAGTTCATCAATTATTTTAAAATCAGTAATCACTATAAGTACCTTAGTTCTGCACGATTACATCTTGTTCTGTTTCCTGTCTCTAGTTCCCCCATCCATTGATGAGTCCAATGTAGTGTACACCCCCAAGGTGGTCCGGAATCGAACTGTGATAATAGAATGTCCAGTGTCTGGAGTGCCGGAGCCAACAGTCACCTGGAAAATCAATGATGGTCCACTGATCCCCAAAGACAGAATCCACTTACTGAACAACAACAAACAACTGACCATTGATCAGGCTCAGGTGGCAGACTCAGCTGTGTACACATGTATAGCTGAAAACAAGGCAGGGGAACTACGCAAAATATTCCAGTTAGAAGTTTTAGGTGGGTGGAAATTACAAACTTCCTAATACAGCATTCTTTGTTTCATGTTTTGCAGGTTTTAAAAAGAAACATGGACTTTAATTTTAAAACTGCATGATGTACAAATGTCAATCAACAATAAGTTTACTCCCCATACATTTGTTCTTGATAGAGTTAATGTTGTATTATGAAGTGTTTGATATTAAACTTTTAAAGTCCAGAAATAAAAATTTTTAATAAAATTTCTGGACTTGAAAGTTTTTACACAAGTTAAGCATGTTTAGAAATATCATATTTATACCCCCCCACAAATGAAGTTTGGGGGGGTATATAGGAATCACCTTGTCCATCCATCCGTCTGTCTGTGCAAACGTGTCCGGTCCATATCTTTCTTATTGAGGAACATTAGAGTCTACTACTATACACAAAGATTGTTCATGACATAAGGATGTGTGATGACTTTGACCCAAGGTCATTTGGGCAAGTTCAAGGTCACTGAAAGAAAAAGTTCATAATTCGTGTCCAGTCCACATCTTTCTTATGGATAAACTTGGTGAGTTCCCATTTTGCACAAAGATTGCTTATGAGCTGAGGGTGTGTCATGACCTTGACCCAAGGTCATTTGGGCAAGTTCAAGGTCACTGAAAGAAAAAATTCAGAATTCGTGTCTGGTCCATATCTTCTTATGTATAAACTTGGTGAGTTCCCATTTTACACAAAGATTGTTCATGACATGAGGATGGGTCATGACCTTGACCCAAGGTCATTTGGGCAAGTTCAAGGTCACTGAAAGAAAAAGTTCTTAATTTGTGTCCGGTCCATATCTTTCTTATGGAGAAACTTGGTGAGTTTTTTTACACAAAGATTGCTTATGACCTGAGGGTGTGTCATTACCTTGACCCAAGGTCATTTGTGCAAGTTCAAGGTCACTGACAGAAAAAGTTCATAATTCATGTCCGGCTCTATCTTTCTTATGGAGAATAATGTTGGGAGTGAATCCACTTCACACAAAGATTGCTTATGACCTGAGGGTGTGTCATGATCTTGACCTATAGTCACTATAGAAAAAAATGATAAATTAATCATCCATACTTTCCAATAGAGGAATTCTTGAAGAATTTATTTTTTCAATGTAATAAAAAAAAAATGTTAATATAAGTAGTGATGTTTTATTAGGCTGCACCTTAGTTTCATTCATTAAAAAAATATAATGAGCAATTACTGGTAAATTTTCACTCTAAATGTTTAAACAAATTGAGAACACCTCTTACATCCATTAAATACTAGTATTAGTGCCTTGGCACATTCTCTGAAAAACCCTGCGGGGGGTATTTGTCCATTTTAGACAGTTCTAGTTTTTTCTGGAGATAAATCCCTTTATAGTTCATCATCAAGTGTCAATCTTATTTCAGTTCCCGCCCACATCCTTACTGAGGTGTCCTCGGATACAGAGTTAGTGACCATACAGAATCAGACCATCAACATTAACTGTCCAGCGATGGGGATCCCCCAACCATCCATCATTTGGCTGAAGAACAGGGTACCCCTACTGGACACCTCATACAGGAACATGCGGGTCATCAGCAATGACCAGGTCCTGGAGATCTCTAATGCTCAGAGCAGGGACGCTGGGAAGTATACATGCACTGTGACTAATGTAGCGGGCCAGGAAAAAAGAGTGTTCAATCTACAGGTTCACGGTGAGATAGGTTACATGTACATTTAACTCTGAATACTGTAAACCAACTGTTATTCACGTCATCTCTTATATGCGATTTGTCAGTTTGAAATCAATCTGCAACGACTAATTTTCGCGACTGAGGAAATATTTTCTATGAAAACTAAGTAAAATAAATGGTTCACGGCGATTAATATTCACGAGTTAAAGTATGTCACAAAACTCGCGGATATTTCTCGCATGCAAATAAAAGTTGGTTTACAGTAGTTCCAGGATATAAATAATGATGACACTTTATCTGACTTTGTGTTGATTTTGTGTTGCAGTGCCTCCATTCATTGCCACATCTCAGGGGGAGGAGCTACATGTAGCGGTAGAGGGTGGGACAGTCACCATGAACTGTGAGGTGGGCGGTACTCCGGAACCTCTGGTCACATGGCTTAAAGATGGGAATATTCTTAATATGGAAGACAACACACATATCAGAATCCTCTCGGGGGGACAGGTGGGTTAACATGCCTATATCCATGGTGAGGCTCAAGCCTCAAGGTGGGATTTAATAATTTACATAATTGTCTACCTCATGACAGGATTTCAGTTTATGCACATATTTATACATGATGATTTCAGATTTTCCAGATTTTAGCTGTCAGAACAACAGATGCAGCCAAATATACATGTCAGGCAGAGAACCAGGCTGGGCTGACAGAGAAATACTATAGAGTACAAGTTCAAGGTATGGAGTGCAAAGTTATTTGGAGTTCATGGTTATGTTTGGAGTTCAAAGTAGTGTATGGAGTTCAAGGTGAAGTGATTGTTATCATGTTTGAGATATTAATGTAATACATATCAATATGATGTGGTAGACTTGTGATAGAGTTCAAGATAAAATAATGGAGTTCAAGGTCAAATGATCAAGTTTTGAGATAATGTAATATGGATAAAGCCAGTGTTATAGGTTACTTTATAGACTTCAAAGTGATGTAGTGGAATACAAGATGATGTAATGGAATTCCTGTAATTTTACAGAGATTGAGATATTAACAGTAATACAACTTCAAGATTAAAATAGATTAAATACGAGGGGCGTTCAAAAATTACGCGGACTTGTTGCAGAGAAAAAATATTTGACGACAAAAACACACAAAAAGTCACACATATTATTAACAGAATCTTTACTTTAGTGGTCACCAAAATTTCATGTCAATATATTGTAAATAAATATCAATTCGATTTGGAGTGATTACTTCAGACCTATCAAGAAATCATGGCGCAGTTAAAGTGAAATCTGCGACGTCGCATCATATAAAATATGCGATTTCATTTTCTCAAATAGTGTTCTCTTTTTTGTTTGATACACAATTCGTGTCACTCTATCCACTCATAATAGACATTAATATATCATTCCTAAACCAGCTTGGGAACTATAAAACTAGAGAATTGTTTTAAATCTTGTTTGTTCTTAAACCCCAAAACTGCATCTACTTCTGAAATATTCTGTGACGTCGGTTGCCGTTAAAATGGTAACAGTCCAGATCACGATTTTGTCGATGATCTTCTTCCGAACCCCCCCCCCCCCCCCCAAACCGTTTTTAATAATGTCCTACCATCTGAAATTTTCTTGTGCTATTTGTGGACAGATGTCTGGCTTATCGCTGATTTATTACATGTTTAATCAAGTATATTTTGGGTCTCTGTTTGCATTTTCCATATTCTACACATGATATGACAAATGTGCTCTGCTTTGTCGAATCACTCGACGTCATTTTTGCAGTTGTTTTTATAGGGAACACATCGGAGAAAAATAGCAATATTTCTGTTAATAATTGAAATATTACGTCAATAATTTTAATTCATAATAATGTAACAATATAAAGAATCTTTATAGAAAATTGTCGAATAATATCGCGAATTATAGAAAATCAATGAGAAAAATTATGGGTTCTGTGAGTTTGTTTTTCAAATATTACTCCATGCTCCGTACATCACCATCAGCAATATGAAAACAGCAATAATTTTAAGAGAAATTAATTATTATCAAAAAATTGTTCCAAACTTTTACTAAAATCATTAAGAAATATGTTTCTGTAAAATTTCATTGCTATTTGACGTTAGTAAAAGTAAATAATAGCATAGTCCACGTAATTTTTGAATGGCCCTCGTATTTCAAGGTTTATGGAATAAAGTTCAAGGTAATACTGGTATATTTTAGTTTTTTAAAAAATGAAGAAAATGAATTGAACATAACTCATTTTACAACTTTTCCCCCACTATAGCTAGTCCATCATAGCCACCTATTCCTTCAGATCAGTCTGAAATGCATTCAAGACATAAGTAAATTAAGGGTTTTAATTTCAAATATCACCAATTAGTTTTTATTTTTTAGCAAAATACCACTGAAAGCTGGATATTCTTACCTGAAATCATCCATGTACTACTTTTTGATTATTGACTGTAAAACATATTAGTTAAAGAAGTAAATATTCTTAAAAGAAGTTATAATTCAAATCAAAAAAGAATTTCCATGAGAAATCATGCTAAATCCTAGCTATGCTAAAAACTGTAGATGTTCCCATAGAGATCAGATAACACTATGTATTCTTGTTATCACTATTTTCAGTTCCACCCAGAATTAATGGTTCCCAGTTTCAGCAAAAGTCAGTGATTGTAAACCAGCAGCTGGCTCTGAACTGTGAAGCTGAGGGGATTCCCCCACCAAAGGTCACATGGATGAGGCATCATCAGATTATTCCTGCCTATGGGAACCCTAGTGTCAGGATTAGGGACCAGGGAAGACAACTCCTGCTGACTAATGCCCAGCTCCTGGATGAGGGGGAGTACACTTGTCTGGTTACTAACCCAGCAGGAAATGCCTCAGTGGATTTCTCTGTGTCTGTACAAGGTACTCAGGGTTCCTCCTATATACATGTGTGTCCAGTTATCTAGACGTTTGACATTTGATGGTCGCCTGTGGCATAGACAAGGCTTTCATTTTATTGATGCTCTGTTTTGGATTGGAAATGGAATATGATCTGTTGCTCAGCACTTTAGTTATGCATTCATTTAAAAATTACTAGATTCTGCATTTAACTTCAACATATAGGTCAGTTGTAACATTCTGAATTTTTTTTCAGTCCCTCCTTCCATTGAGGAAGGACCCACACATGTAGTGGGGATTGTGAACACCAGGGTGGACCTCTCCTGTACCAGTATCGGACTTCCTGTACCTCAGGTCAAGTGGCAGAAAAACAATGAGGTGTGTTGTACACAATATGTTCTCCTAAAGATTTCTCTTTTGTACATATAGAAGTTACTTTATCATGATAGGATCTGATCCAATATCTTGTAACAGTCCATGCTGAATGTAGGAGAGGGTAAAGTATACATTGCCATTATGGTTTTGTCTGTAGGTGTTTCCTACCACTGGACTGAGACACAGAATGTTAGTGGGTGGGTCACTAGAGTTCATATCAGTGAGACTAGAGGATGCTGGGAAGTATATATGTACTGCCTCCAATGAGGCAGGAAGTGACAGCAGGGAGATAACTCTGGATGTTCAAGGTAACTTGTAATTAGATTTAAAGAAATACCAAAAGGGGAGCATTTTGAGTATAAATTTTTAGGTTTTAAGATTATCAGAAGTTGATTCAAAAGCATGTTTAGTATAGAACCTTAAGAGATGTTTCCCTATAAAATGATCCATTTAAGAGGGAGGGATTAAATTTTATCCTGCAACTACCCCTTGCATTGACTTAATAAAGGTAACCTAATAAACCAAAGCTTTATTCAGTCAATGCCCTAATAAAGCCTCATGCATGTATTCCAACGTTCTAAAAGCATTGTGACGTCATACACATTGCAATGGTTTTGCCGTGGCGTCTTAGTTTCAACTGCAGAGTTGTTCCTTAATCGGTTGAAAATAGCTCGTTTTGGAGGTCTGATGTAAAAATATATTGCAGGATAAACAAAATACATGGATACTGTCTTGAAATATAAGCGATATTTGGGCGAGGGTCGAAAACGTGATAGAGGGCTCGGCAAGCCTCGCCCTCTATCACGTTTACTTACCCTCGCCCAAATATCGCTTATATTTCAAGACAGTAGCCTTGTATTTTATATATGTACACTGTACTAGTAATCTTCAGTTTTTATTTGTTTCTTGTCGACAGTCCCCCCTAAGATAGTAGGAGACACCCAGAGAAGTATGCAGGCTGTTCTAGGAGATGATGTTTACCTTCCCTGTAATATGGAAGGAAGCCCTGAACCCACCATCATGTGGCAGAAGGGAACCTCCATTCTAACTGGGGGTCCAGGTATGTGGTGATATTTATACAGCAAATTGTTTAAAGAACATGGATCAATTGCTTTAAGCTCTACATTTTGTCAGCTGAAATTATTTTGTGTCTTCAGATCACTACATAATGGCAAATGGGACCCTTTTATTGAGGAGGACGGATGAGAGGGATACAGGAATGTATATCTGTATAGGACGTAACAACGCAGGAACAGCCATGGCACAAATCTACCTCAGGATGTTTAGTCAGTGCTTTGTTAATTGTTTCCTCTAGTCATTTTGCAATCTCATAGTTCACTAGGGAAGAAAAAGCTTAATTAATGTAGAAATACGGAAACATAAAGAACAGGCGTTGGCTTTGTTTGCAATTTCTTTATCTTTTTGTCTCACAGAGGATCCTGTTACATATATTACCACGTGTTAAAGCTTAACCTTTTCTGGTTATGGTGAATAGGTTCAAATACAAAGAATTTAAAAGTGACCAATTTTCACGTAAGCTTTCTTTTATAGAATAAGCTTTGAATTGAATTTTTTTGCCTTTGTTAAAGTTCCTCCCAAGATCACAGGTGTGACGCAGACCCAGTACTCCATACAGCAGGGTCGTAACATCGTGTTACCCTGCCGAGCTGATGGAAGACCAAGACCTCAGATCTCATGGGAGAAAGATGGAGAGAAACTCTCTGGTAGCTACCATTACAGGTTATTACGATCTGGTTGGCTACTGATCCCTTACTCAAGGTAAGAATTTAACCATAGATAATGGAGTCTCCTGGAGTATGATGGCTTAGCTACTACAATCATTTATTTAATTTTTAGCTCAGGGGATTCAAATAATTTTATACAATGGGGCACACTTATTTCAAGGGAAGGTAATTAAGAAATGATGAAAATTTGGTGATTTCTTTTTAAATCTGTTTTTCAAGAACCACTTGGTCAGGAAAATTAGAAGTTATATGAAAGCTTCCTTGATGAGTGTAAATTCAAATTTGTTCAAGTTGTGGCCCCTGGCAGGTAGGATAGGGCCACAAGTAAGTCTTTTATTATTTAAAAGTGGTCAAAATTTAACATGGGAATATATATGAATTAAAGAATTCTATTATAATAAAGCTTCTGCAGCAGGTTCACAAAAAGTCAAATTTGTCAGGAAGAAAACAGTTACTTAGATGAACATGTTCCCTTCTTAGTTAAGTGTAAAGTTGTAGTACATATTTTCCCTTAAATAAGGTGGTATTAGATCTTAGCCCTGTCTGCTGCCAAGTTACATGTTATGTCAACATTGAGGACTATAGAAACTCTACAGGTCTTTGGCTCGACCTTTAGTTTATCTTTTTTAGACCAGAAGACACTGGAACCTACAGATGTGTAGCCACAAACATAGCAGGCATTGATGATGTCAGCATCACCCTTACTGTACACGGTACACATTGTCACTTACAGAACTAATGTTTTAAAATTTCTAAATTTTAAAGTATACAGAAATATCTTACGGAAAACTTTTAGAAACTCTATTTTCTGTATTACTATAACATCTGAAAACATGACTTAAGTTTGAAGGCTCCTTGTATAAATCCTTATAAGCTGATGATAGATTGTTTCTATGGAGATGATACGTAATTTTGATCCCTTTCCTTTGTCTAGTACCACCACGGATTGAGGAGGGACATCGTCTACTGACGGCCACGGTGGGATCTACAGCCAGGTTACCGTGTAACACAACCGGTGAACCACGACCAAGCATTACGTGGTTAAAGGACGGTCGACTTGTCAGGTCAGGTGGTAAATACGTGATTGAGGACTCTGGAACACTTGTCATCAACTCACTGGATGTAAGTATTCCCCAGGGCAGGAGGAAATTTTATTGGTTTATATTTGAAATTAAATAATGGTTAAAATGCGTAAAGAAAGAATGGTTGGGGCTTGGAATTCACTTTGACATTACAGGGTATTCAAGATATCCATGTTTGAGATAACGAAGTTCAACTGTATATGTTTTATCTGCTTATTGTATTATCATTATAATAATGATAATATTATAATTGTATTATCCTCCATTGTTTGCACATAAATTTGAAATGCCAAACAAGTTCATGATTACTGAAAATATCTCCCTTGATATTTTATGATTGCAAAAGTACAGGATATATCCACTTTTAACTGATCTCTGTTATTTATCATTATTAAACATTGATATAATTAGGAAGGAACATTGTGTCAAGTCACTTAACTTTTTCAGAAAGATGACACTGCAAGTTACACCTGTACAGCCATTAATGTAGCTGGGAGGGACTCGATGGATAGAGTCCTCAGGGTTCAAGGTAGGTCAAGATTCTCAATGTTCAAGGGTCAACTAGAGACTCAATGAATGAGGTCCTCTGGGTTCTAAAGTAGGTCAAGGTCCTTTAGGTTCAATGTAAGTCAACTTAAGACTCTAAACAAGGAAAGGGTTCAAGTTTAAATGAAAGATTCCATGAGTAAGAGCCCCAGGGATCAAAGTAAAAGTGGGCCAGAAGCTCATTAAAAAGGGCCTCAGTATTCAAGGTCAGTCTGATTAATTTTGATTCAAAATTGTCAACCAAGATTTCCTTGGACATGCAGAGAGTGTAGATAGATTCCTCAGATACTGTATACATCTGTTGGTGGATCTATCAGCCCTCTCCTAGGGGTTCATGGTTAGCCAGGGGCTATGTGTGTAGGTTGCATTGACAGAGGATGAACATTTTTTCACTGGACTCCCTGGCAAGAGACCGAGCGTACGAAAGTGTATTAGTATTGATAAGAAATGCCAAAAGATTTTTTTTTCAGCTAATGTGGCTTTTATTATTTCACTCTATGTGTAATTTATTAGTTCAGATCATACATGGCTGTACACAAAATATCACATTTTTTTTACCCTAATCAGGGGATCATGGTCTGCAGGACACCAAAATTCACAGGAAAGGAAAATTTGTCCCCATTTTCAGAAAATTAAGCAATATTAATTAAAGAAATTATATAGGCCTGCTTATTTTAATAAATATTGTTTACATTCCGATATCAAGCCCATGTGGTAGAAAACATGACAAAGAGAAAATGACATGAATCAGAGCCAACTCTTCATGAAAATGACACAAAATCAATCCATGACATACACTCAAACCTGTATTAAGAGACCTTTCAATGGAGAAAGGAAAAAAGGTCACATATGACAGGTGGTCTCTAAGTACAGGTTGCTTATTTTCCGCAGTCACCAGTGATCAAGTGTACAATGCTGAAAGTATTATACAATTAAAGTATGTGGAATTTATATTTTTATCATGTATTGTATATTCTCACTTGTATCATGTATTGTATATTTTTGATTTTCAATAAGTACTGCTCAACTGTAAATGCTTGCATATTGTAGGGTATATTATTGGGGAACAATAGTAATATTCGGTAATAAAATTTGCGCTTGATCCACCCATGAGTAATTTTGAAAATTGGAAAATTTTGAACATCTGAAAATATTAAGATTTCTTTACACATGATGAAAACTGTGGAAAATTTTTTAATAATCTTTTTTTTTTCTTTTTACATGATAGCCTAGTATACATGTAAGACTTGCTATATTATTATTAAATGGTATAAACATGTGTATGTAGATGTTAGAGCCCAAAAAACGTAGCATGTTCGACCGAAATCGAAGTAGGAATCGGAAATTATTAAGTCGTTAAATCAAGGTAAAATTGCCTGAAATCACTAAAAATGGTCGCAAAAATCATGGTCACTGGTCGCATCAGACAGGTAGTTGTTTAATACAGGTATAATATATAGGGAAAAGTCTAGGGAGGGATTTTTACGGTCACATATGCGAGTGAGACGCTTAATACAGTGGGTCACTATGGCAGTTTTGACTGTATTTATTCTGACTGACTGGAGACAGATACTCGCTTGGTACACTGTACTTTGGACAGTCTACAAAATTCAACATTGCTCACCAGGGGATTGTTGTGGAATGAAATTCTAAAAGCAGCAAAAGTTGCTTGCCATGAGTAATAACACTGTATGCTTTTGTTGATCTGAAATTTAGTTATAAAATCAAAATATTTGTTGTTGATATTTTGTGCAGTATATTGTACAATATTTTAATGAGCAATATCCAGTATTTTCACCAAATTCCAATATTTTCAAGACTCATGTACAGTGCTTGGGTCTGAAACTTTTTACTTGTATGTCAGATCTAAAATGTTGTTTTGTCAGATCCACCCCAGATAACCGTGGCCCCCAGGAGTCAGGAAGTCATACAGAACAGCAGAATTGTGTTGTCATGTGCTGCCACAGGAATTCCAGTTCCCACAATAACATGGACTCTAAATGGAAAACCAGTCCCAGGTAAACAACCTAATTATACATATTCTCATGTTTATATAGTATACTGAAGCAACATCTATATTTTTAGCTCACCTCAACGAAGTTGGGGGAGCTTATGTAATACCCTCGGGTTGGCGTCCCGGGTTAAGGTTTTTGGAGCAGTTTTCTTTTCAAGTACTTCTATGGCCTATATTAGTCAGAGATGCATGGAGGATGCTTCTAGTGTGTTTTATTGCACCAGTCAAGGTTTCAGATGCTGCAATTTCAGCTAAAGAATGACCAGGTTAATGTTTTTGGAGCAGGTTAAAGTTTTTGGAGCAGGTTAAAGTTTTTGGAGCAGGTCTCATTTCCAAGTAACTATAAACCCTATATTGACCAAACTTGCTTGGATGATACATCTAAGGATGCACAATACTGGACTTGCTTCGGATGCTGGATCTGACCTATATTTTCTGGATGAGTGACCAGGTTAAGGTTTTTGGAGCAGATCTCATTTCCAAGTAATTATAAGCCCTATATTGACCAAACTTGCATGGATGATACATCTAAGAATGTACACTACTTGACTTGCTTTGGATGCTGGATCTGACCTATATTTTCCGGATGAGTAACCAGGTTAAAGTTTTTGGAGCAGATCTCATTTCCAAGTAACTATAAGCCCTATATTGATTAAACTTGCATGGATGATACATCTAAGGATGCACACTACTGGACTTGCTTCGGATGCTGAATCTGACCTACATTTTCCGGATGAGTGACCAGGTTAAAGTTTTTGGAGCAGATCTCATTTCCAAGTAACTATAAACCCTATATTGACTAAACTTGCATGGATGATACATCTAAGGATGCACACTACTGGACTTGCTTCGGATGCTGGATTTGACTTACATTTTCTGGATGAGTGACCAGGTTAAAGTTTTTGGAGCAGATGTCATTTCCAAGTAACTAAAAGGCCTATCTGAACCAAACTTGCATGGATGATGCATCAAGGGACGAACAATCTCAAAACTTGCTTCGGATGCTGGATTTGACTTACATTTTCTGGATGAGTGACTAGTCTTAAGTTTTCAGATAAGTCTATTCCCAAGTAACTGCAAGCCCTATCAGACCAAAATTGCATAAATGTTGCATCTAGGGATGCACACTCCTAGATTATTAGTTTAGTGTGGGACTTTGCCTTACTTAAAGACAACATTCGTTGAGGTGAGCTCTGTAATCTCTGATTACCTATGTTTTAAGTTTTGTCATTAAAAAGCTTCACCAAGTATAAATGGGCGGAGTTTCCTGTATATCTACCATGCCCTCAGACAGGATGCTGGGATGTATACATGTATCGCTGAGAACCCAGCGGGGATTGCTACAGCCTCAGCTCCAGTCCTTATGAAAGGTAAATACGCTCATAAGATAATGGAATAGGTCATTCATATCTGATCATATGTTTGTATTGGAATGTTATACAGACTTGCAATTTTTTAATGTGGTATAAATTAAAAACAAGATATTCAAAATCAATATTTTTACTTTAGTCTTTTCTCAGTTTATGGTCTTTATGCCAGAAAATATTGAATTTACTATTAATAGATTTTAAATATTGTCCCAGTATTTTTAACTTTAGACAAGATTTTAAGTGCATTTTGATTTTCAGTGCCACCCCAGGTGTCTGTACCAGACAGTGAAGCCACGGTCAGTATAGCTGACCAGGTGATGCTTACCTGCTCTGTGGGAGGGGATCCCAATCCTGACATCAGGTGGACGAAGAATGGCCGACCGGTAGAACTCAGTGACCGAATTGTACAGCTACGCAATGGATCTCTGGTCATCTATGACTCAACAGTGTGTATTCTGATACAGTAACTCATTGATTTAATACTAGAATTACAACTCGGCTATTAACCCTGTTATTTACAACTCTGCATATTGATGTATTGAAGTCTTAAGACAAGTTTGCATTTTTAATTGGTTGATATATAAGAATTATAAGGCATTTCTTACTACATGTATATATCAAAGTTCATGTCAAAAAAATTTGTGCTGAGGAATCAATTAGATTTCCTAGGGGTTCATTTAAATCTTACCCACTTTCCACTTGTAAATACTGATAATCTTGGGTCAATTTGTTTTTACAGAGTTCAGATGCTGGAGAATACAAATGTGTGGCCTCTAATGATGCAGGAACATCAGAGGGTGTTGCCATGTTAACTGTCCAAGGTGAAGGTCAAACCTGTTCTAAGAGTATATAGTGACCAAATAGTATAGCAAATATAAAAAAAAATACAAGAAATTCAGAAAATCTTTTTAAGAGGAACAGATTACAGTTTATATACAACCTATTATATGAAGAATGAATTGTGTAATATTGTAGAACCCCCAAGTTTTAAGATAGAGCCCACCAACATGAGGATAAACCTGGGTGACACAGTGGTGCTGGATTGTGTGGCAGAAGGGGAGCCTACTCCTGATATCTCCTGGTTACGAGGCTGGAAAGACATCGTCCAAGGGGAGAGAATCTCCATCCTACCTAACAACTCACTCAGGTAACAACTAAGTTCTGTAGATTCCCAAATATACGCAATTGATTAATTATTGCATAATTTTGCAAGAACACCACTCGCAAAATTACTTTTATTTTTATGGTGCTGAAATGCATGTAAAATATCTAGATTGAACATCTACTCGCGAATTATTGTTCTCGTGATTTGAAGTCTAAGGGCCATTTCCGATATACATGTGTAAATACTTGCATAAAATTAGGAATCCCCAGTATAACTTACTCAGGTAACTAATCAGTCAGGTGACACCTCAGTAACAACATAGTATAACTTACTGAGGTAAGTAATCAGTCAGGTGACACCTCAGTAACAACTTAATGATAACTTACTCTTAATGTATGATAATCAGTGTGATTTAAGCTATTTCTATTAGAGGTTTGAACTTTCAGAGTTTATTTTCGGTACATTGATTTCACTACAAAACATGAGAAATGATGTAAAGGTATTTTTTAATTGTTTCTCTTGCGTCCTTTAGGATTATTGCCGCCCAGCTATTAGATGCTGGCCTCTATAGATGTAAGGCAGCCAATAGACTGGGAATCACTATTGTGGAGGCTAACATGACAATTGTGGGTATGTGTCACTTGAATAAAAAGACAAAGCTAAATATCAGGTGTGATTTTATGACGTGCAGTGTCTATAACTGTATTTCTTTTGTCTAATAAGCTTTTAATTGCATTAAAAAGTAAGTCAAAATAAACAAACAAAAAAACTTGTATGCCTGTCAGTGTTATCCTGATAATTGTTGGGTTATGAATTTAAAGGGTTTCTTTATACCTGATTTGCAGTACATGGTCGGTTTTCTCAGTGGACGTCCTGGGGGTTGTGTAGCAGTACATGTGGAGTGGGGCTACAGTTCAGAACCCGGGAGTGTGACAGTCCCCCTCCCCAAAATGGAGGGAGACAATGTATAGGATCCTCCCTGGACTCCAAAACCTGTGTGTCAGGACACTGCCCTGGTAAACAGTGGATTTTGTAGAGTTGCATTTTACATAACACTTGGGCATTGTGCCAATAAGAACCTATTTATGACTCCAGTAGATCCTTATATTGATAAAAAGAATCTTGGATTTAAGGAAGCAAAAGTTTAAGTCACAGTGACTTCCCTATAATCTAGTTTTACTGGATATTATTGTACATTTGTGTAAATAAGTCAATTAGTCTGATTGGTTGAGAGACATTTGATAAAATTAAGTTTCCTTCTGCAAACAGAAACCATGCTTTCCTTGATGAGAATTTTCACCCCTAAAAAACTTAATTCAACCTCAGCAGCACCTTGGTTGACTGGTTTTCTTGAGTGAAAATTTTCAATGAATGTAACCCTCAGCTACATGAAATGTTTATATAATCTTCAGATTTAACATGATGGTGAATAAGATAAGATGATTCAAATGCATCATGATTGACCTTGTCCCAGTCTTTGTAAATGAAAACATTTACGTATATGTGTAGAAAATGACCTTTTCTTGCTATTAATGTATCTTCTTTTTGCACACTAAGTTAAATCTTGAGAGTATTTTTCCAAAAGAGCTGTATCACCTTGGTTTTAACATTTAACCTTGAAGTTTAAAATATAAATTTTCTGATGAGGACCACTTATTCTGATCATTTACTACTTTCACACGTAGATAAATGAAGATAATTTAACATGTATTTGATACACAGTACAGTTAAGGTGCGCAATGGAAATATCATCATTTTTATGCCCCCGGATCGAAAGATCCCGGGGGTATATTGTTTTTGTCCTGTCTGTCTGTTTATCTGTTTGTCTGTTTATCTGTTTGTCTGTCTGTCTGTTGTCAACTTTAACCTTGCCCATAACTTTTGATTGGTTGGAGCTATGACTTTCATATTTCACATGTGTATTCCTTGTGACAAGACCTTTCTTTGGGTACCATCATATTTGACCTTTTGACCTTGACCTTGGAGTTTGACCCACTTTTGCAAAATTTTATGAGACTTTAACCTTGGCCATAACTTCTGAACAGTTGGTGCTTGGGATTTCAGACTTCACATGTGTATTCTTTTTGACAAGACCTTCCTTTGGATACCAACAACTTTGACCTTTTGACCTTGACCTTGGAGTTTGACCTACTTTTGAAAAACTTTAACCTTGGCCATAACTTTTGAACAGTTGGTGCTTGGGGTTTCAAACTTCACATGTGTATTCCTTGTGACAAGACCTTCCTCTGGATATCAACCTCTCTGACCCTTTGACCTTGACCTAGGAGTTTGACCTACTTTTGAAAAACTTTAACCTTGGCCATAACTTTTTAACGGTTAGAGCTAGGGCTTTCATACTTCACATATGTAATCCTTGTGACAAGACCTTCCTTTGGATACCAACCACTTTGACCTTTTGACCTTGACCTAGGAGTTTGACCTACTTTTGAAAAACTTTAACCTTGGCCATAACTTTTGAATGGTTGATGCTAGGGCTTTCATACTTCACATATGTAATCCTTGTGACATCACCTTCCTTTGAATACCAACCACTTTGACCCTTTGACCTTGACCTAGGAGTTTGACCTACTTTTGAAAACTTTAACCTTGGCCATAACTTTTGAATGGTTGGTGCTAGGGCTTTCATACTTTACATATGTAATCCTTGTGACAAGACCTTCCTTTGGATTCCAACAAGTTTGACCTTGACCTTGATGTTTTACTTACTTTAAAAAACTTTAACCTTTGCCATAACTTTTGAACAGTTGCAGTTAGGGCTTTCAAATTTAACATTTTCTATCTTTTGGCCTGGATTTTGACTTGCAATTGAGAAACTTTAACCTTCACCATTAGCTGCCATACGGGGGCATCAGTGTTTCACAAACACCTCTTGTTTGTGATTAAAAATGTATTCATAATCAGGATGGCGATTATTTTTAGTACATTATTTATATCGGATAATTGTAATTATGGTTAATAACTACATATTGAGGATGATTAGATTTTATATTTAGACTTGTCACGTGATGCGGCAGTCATGTGATTTTAGTACATTTACTTGCAGTATTGAGGTCACCTATAAATTTCACTAGTGCAAAGGCATAACCAAGTTAAAATTCTAAGTTTAGTTTATAAATATTTTCAACACGCATTGTAGTTTTTGAAAAGTGCTCCGATCCGATCTAGATTCTGCTATTTCATTGTTAAAATCGTATTTGTATGACCGAATGCTGTATTTTTTGCTGGTCAACGGCATTAAATATAGATATAATTAAATTATTTTCAAGATTTCATCAGGATCGCAGCACTTTTCGGATACCTTAATACTTCTAGAGTTGATTTGTAAAAGCTTACTATGATCCACTGAGTGTATGCCCTTGCACTAGATCGATTTATTAAGACCCTCACATTACCCTCCAATGTACTTGCATACAAATACATTGTATACGGCAGTATCAATTAAATAGGAAATATATGAAAAATGTATTAATAAAATCCTAAAGAAGACATTGAATCCAAGTTAATGGCCTATGAAATATCTGTAAATAGTATTTTATTTAATTATAGAATACATTTTTTTGTTGAGAAATTATTACTTGATCCGCCTCTCACTGCATACAAACTGCTTCAAGTTTTACGAAATGACGTCACATCGATAAGTGCATTGCGATCAGTGACTTGTTTATACCTTGTTATTTGGGATTTAAGTAATGCATGTTTTAGTAAGTTTTGATGAAGTTTGATGGTCTCCTACAGTTTAAAATAGCCAATCACCTCATTTTGTGGTATTTCTTCTGACCTCTTAGATAAGTACAGTCAAACTTCGTTATCTCGAACTCGATGGAATCAAGAAAAAACTTTGAGATATCTGAGGGTTCAAGATATCGAGGGTAAAATACTTTAAAAAATATGTGGTTAGAACTTCCCAATCACTTCGACATATCCATGGTATTAGAGATACCGAAGTTCAACTGTACTTCAGCATTACATGTTCTGAACATCTTATGGAGTTGATTTTGACCTCGGACTTTATTTACCATGGTTATTTCTGCTGTTCGACCTGTTCAGATAAATAAATAAAGTAATGGAAATATTTGCTGTCTTCAGTTGATGGGGACTGGGGTAACTGGTTGCCATGGCAGCCCTGCAGTGTGACATGTGGAGAAGGGGAGAGAACTCGTGAGAGAGTGTGTAACAATCCAGCACCTCTACACGGTGGTCTCCCCTGTCAGGGACCATCTCTAGGCACAGACATCTGTAATGAGGGACCATGTCCAGGTAGGTCAATAGATTAATGATTTAAACTGTTACTTAAGAGATCCAGTTGAACATTTCTTAAAGGAATAAAAATTCTGAAGTCTCTCTAAGAAATATTTCCAATTAACTAATCTGGTTGGAAGGTTTCCCCCATTATAGTCATTTTGTCCTATTTGTTAAATATCTTAAGATAAAATAATTAAACTTTGAATTTATTGTCTGTTGACAGTTGATGGTAGTTGGAGTGGATGGAGATCTTGGGAGGAGTGTAGTGTCTCCTGTGGGGAGGGAGTCCATGAGAGAAGGCGGCTGTGTGACAACCCACCCCCTCAGTATGGAGGACACCATTGTCATGGAGATGGTGTCCAGCTAAAAACTTGTTCAGTACAGCAATGTGCAGGTACAAGACTAATTACTGATTAATAAATGGTAATTATTCGATTAAAAAAAACTGCTACAGTTTGAAATATTATTTTGCATGAAGGATTTTTTTATACCCCCACTAACAAAGATTGGTTTTTGGGATAGGGTATACTTTTTCTCAATTCTAGTTTAAGTTATCCTTTTGTTGAAGGTTGAATTCAAAGTAATAATGATCACCAGTTGATTTATCTCAATTAACTTGGATTCTTGTAAGAAGTTGGTTTTCATATGTGAATCTATTACATGTGTGACTTTAATGGTAATGATGAAATGTAGACTGTGTGACACTGATTTCAGTGGATGGTATGTGGGGACAGTGGAACCATTGGACCTCCTGCTCTCAGAGCTGTGGTGGAGGAGTAAGGTCAAGGTCACGGAGATGTGACAGCCCTGCCCCCATTTATGGAGGATCATCTTGTTCAGGCCAGGCCACCCAAAGAGATTACTGTAATCCTGAGCTCTGCCCAGGTAATCATGGCGTTTAGTAGTTTGTTCCATGACTATTTCTTTTAATTTTTTTTAATTTTATATGAAAATTTATTATACCCCCTGCAAACAAAAATTTGAGGGGAGTATATAGGAGTCACCTTGTCCATCTGTCTGTCCATCCATCCATCTGTCCATGCAATCTTGTCTGGGTTATAACTTTATGATTGAGAATCATTGAAATGTCATACCTTATACAAAGATTGTTTATGACCTGAAACTATGTCATTACCTTGACTTTCTAAGGTCATTCCAGCAAGTTCAAGGTCACTGGTGGAAAAAATGTAAAAGAGCAAGTGCCACTTAGGGCCTTTTTTGGCCCTGTGAATTTCTGAAAAATCGAAACTGCTCAGTTTTGGTTGAAAATGCAATATTTATCACTTGGAGCCTTGGCGATTGTGTATCTATTGAACATGACGTAATTTTCTCTCTAGGCAATGCATTATGACGTCATGAAATGCGTCATTTTTACCTTACCCTGTAAATTCCTTTAAAAATGGCCAAAAGTTGAAGTATTTTTTCCAATTATTATATAGAGTACAACCTCTGATATGCAATTACATATTGAAATTTCTGTTTCTGAAGATCATATAAAATGTTTAATTTTTGAATCGAGGGCTGTGCATCTATATTAATTCTTTGCTGAAGGAAAATTCAAGAACATTGCACTTTCACCAAGTCTGTTTTTCAATACCTGGATTCTCAAAAAGAAATTTTGCTTTAGGAAATGAGAGCACCAAGTCTCTACTTTATTTAGATATATGACATGGGACAGAGGGTGAAAGTCAATTTATTAGCTCACCTCAACGAAGTTTGGGGAGCTTATGTAATACCGTCGGCGTCGCTGTCGGCGTCAGTGTCGGCGTCCCAGGTTAAGGTTTTAGGAGCAGTTTACTTTTCAAGTACTTCTATGGCCTATATTAGTCAGAGATGCATGGAGGATGCTTCTAGTGTGTTTCATTGTACCAGTCAAGGTTTCAGATGCTGCAATTTCAGCTAAAGAATGACCAGGTTAATGTTTTTGGTACAAGTTAAAGTTTTTGGAGCAGGTTAAAGTTTTTGGAGCAGGTCTCATTTCCAAGTAACTATAAGCCCAATATTGACCAAACTTGCATGGATGATACATCTAAGGATGCACACAACTGAACTTGCTTCGGATGCTGGATCTGACCTACATTTTCCGGATGAGTGACTAGGTTAAGGTTTTTGGAGTAGATCTCATTTCCAAGTAACTATAAGCCCTATATTGACCAAACTTGCATGGATGATACATCTAAGGATGCACACTACTTGACTTGCTTCGGATGCTGGATCTGACTTATATTTTCCGGATGAGTGACCAGGTTAAAGTTTTTGGAGCAGATCTCATTTCCAAGTAACTATAAGGCCTATCTGAACCAAACTTGCATGGATGATGCATCAAGGGACGAACAATCTCAAAACTTGCTTCGGATGCTGGATTTGACTTGCATTTTCTGAATGAGTGTCTAGTTTTAAGTTTTCAGATAAGTCCATTCCCAAGTAACTGCAAGCCCTATCAGACCAAAATTGCATAAATGTTGCATCTAGGGATGCACACTCCTAGATTATTAGTTTAGTGTGGGACTTTGCCTTACTTAAAGGCAACATTCGTTGAGGTGAGCTCTGTAATCTCTGATTACCTATGTTTAATAAAAGGACAGGGCCATTTTATGCATAAAGTGAACCTAGCTCTTTGTTTCCAATCTATAACTTCCAAATGGAGAAACATTGGAAATTCCTACCTCACACAAATATTGCATATGACCTTGAGGTGTGTCATCATTTTGATCAAAGATCACTTGATCAAGTTCAAAGTCACTTTTAGGAAAATTTGTGATTCCTGTCATGACCATATTTTGCAATGGAGAATATTAGAGGCTCATACTTATCACAGATATTGCCTGTGACCCAAGGATATGTATTGACCTTGACTTAATGTAATTTAGGTAAGTTAAAGATCATTGGTAGAAAAAATGTATTGTGTTTGTGATGTTAATGTCTTTTAGAGAATCTTTGGAAACTCATACTTAGTATAAGGATTGTTTATGACCTTGAATTAAGGTCATTCTGGCAAAGTCAAGGTCACTGGCAGGAAAAGTACAAAATTAATGTATGGTCTATCCAAGACCATATTATGATTATTGATAGATTAATATTTACCAGATTTTAAAATTCTTAGATTCAATATTTTCACTTCTGACTGTAATTTTTCAGTTCATGGTAACTGGGCAGGATGGGAGAGTTGGGGGGCTTGTTCTGTGAGTTGTGGGGTGGGACTCCAGAAGAGGTTTAGGACATGTTCTAACCCGGCCCCCAGCATTAATGGTCGTCCCTGTATAGGATCTGGTGAGGATAATCAGCAGTGTAATGGACCACCATGTCCTGGTAAGTCCTCTACAAATAAAGCAGATAACCTCACTGAAGAAATGTGGACTTAGAAAACAAGGAACTTATTATTTAATTTAAGGTTCATAAACCCTCTTCTCAATCATATGAAATTTTGCTTTAACTTTTATGATTTTCTGAAGGAAATGTATTTTATAAGTCAAATACAAACACTTTTACCAGTTTGGGGGGCAAAGTGAAACCAAAAAGGTGTTTAAACTTGACAAATCTATAAAGGAGTAACAGAGATTTATGTCATTATGAGTTATCTCTCTTATCAGAGTATCAATGAACCTTAAGGTGAGCCTTCAGTTAACTCTCCTTCTGAACCTCTTATGTATAAAGCTGGAAATCTGCAGTGAAAAAAAGAGTCATTTTTGTCAAACTGTATGTAATATCTAATTTAAAAAAAATCATAAAAAGGACTAAGAAATGAATTTTCCTTAATATTTATTTTTTTTTTTTTTTATTGATGTTTGTACAGCTGTAGAGTGTTCAAAGAGAGAACATACTGAAAAAATCTACTACTAAAATGCTTAAATGTCAATATAAGGTTTACCCTTTATTTTCAGTGGATAGTGAGTGGGGTGTTTGGGGTGCTTGGTCTTCATGTTCTCAGACCTGTGGGGCGGGGTACAGGGAGCGTCGCCGTGTGTGTAGCACTCCCCGGAATGGAGGGCGATACTGTGTTGGAGATGACATCCAGAGAGACCTCTGTGCTCTGACTCCATGTTCCAGTAAGTTGTGTGAATATGGAAAGGAGAATTTTAATCCTAATTCTGGCTTTTATTTTTCATTTTCAAACCTGTGTATTGAGATCTAGAATTTTAATTCCAAGTTCATATTGTAACCTATGATCGCAAGTGTTACCTTGTAAAACAGGGTTTGCTATTGTATAATTCTGAAACAATGTGTAACTCTGAAAGAGTCACTGTATGAGTTTTTTGACTGGTATTTATAGACATGCCCACTAAGGCCTTTGGGACACTGGTAGGATATATCAATGGAGTAGACCTGACTGATTCTACCATTAATGCAGTAATGACACCAAGTGAAGATGGGCAGAACATCAAGGTGGAAGCTACCATCAAAGACTTACCTCCCCTTATGGGTAAGCTGTTATACCATCTATAAGGTGAGGTATAGAAAGGATTCTGCATTCTTAGGCAATGAGGAAAGGAGATTTCAATATAATTTTTTTAATTCTTCAAGAAGAAAATGTAACAAGGTGACTTAGGAATCCTTTCTGTTACAGGGAGGAATGTTCAGCATCTGGTGTCCGTACTGAGTCCTGTCTATTGGGTGACTGCATCAGAAAGGGGAGGGGCCAAAAACGGATTCTCCCTGACAGATGGGAAATTCTCCAAGGATGTCCAGGTAGAATATGCCACAGGTAAGGCATGATCTTGTTAAAACACTTTTACTGAAAATAAAATTGGTGTTTATTTTTAGATATGGTAGTTTGATTGACATAAAAGAACTAAATTAATTTCAAATTGCATCAATTAATTTTACATTTGATTCATTTACTAACATAACTGAATATACTTTGTTGACATTATGCTGATTTTTAAAAAAAAAAAATTAAGTTAAATGAATTTAGAAAAATTGATATAATAGATGTTAAGTTCGTGAGTTTCTAAGATAAGTTCAGTGCCACTGTTGTTCCGTTGTAGGAGAGATTGTAGAGATGACTCAGTATTCTAATGGTGTAGATGAGGATGGCGTATTACAGATAGATGTCATTGTTAGGGGGAAGGTTCCTGACTTGTCCCAGGGGTCAGGAATGGAACTGGCCCCTTACTACGAAAACTACATACAGACTGGACAAGGTGAAAACAAAAAAATAAAACAAATTGAGGTTCATGGATTTATAAATGTAGTTTCACAGAAAATTCTGATGGGGAAACACTGCATCATAAACCTTTTTTATCCACTTTTTTAAGCCAATCTGAGATTTATTCAAAATACTTATACAATGACAGATTAATCTTTTTTTACCCTTAGTATTAATCAAGGAAAATGATCACAACTGGAATGGAATTCTATTGATGAATTCTGTTTGATACAGAACTCAATAAAGATTTATTTTTTAGGAAATATTTTTGCAAGATCTTTCCGCACACTCAAGGTGGATGGTCACCTTTTGCCCTATACATGGAACCATTCCATTACATATGAGACAACAGAAATAATGCCCTTCCTGGTGGAGACGCTACGTACCAAGGACATTACAACGTCAGTCAACCCGACAGGTGACCAGGTCAAATTTACACTGCTTACCAACGTTTCTCCAGGTAGGTTTATGAAATGTATTTCATGGTACTTTGCTTACATATTGGGATTTATTGCTTAACCACTTTATAAAAGATGTCATTATTCTTATACAGTGCGGACTCGTTATTACGGTGACGGTTTTATAAGATAGAACGCTTATTACGTTGTAAATTCAAAGCACAAAACCATTTCTTAACAAATCTATACAAAATAGAACTGTTTATTACGATGTCCTTAAATACCGGGACTCGGTATTACGATGTAAAAATTCTGTCCAAAATTTTTTTTCACTCCGTGTTTATTCAGTGTTGATCGACGGTAGACACTTTAGGAGACGCTAAATAAACATTGAAACACCTGTGCTCTGACAGAGTGTTAACTTGCAGGGCCGTTAGGTGATTAGTGACGCTTGACTGCACACACCTTGACTGTTCTAGCGAGGTCAGCAGAATTGGAGACGTGTCAAAGCCATTGTTAAACAATTAAACTGTTTATTTATAAATGAAGTCTCTAGTTTATCTATCTCTGTTGTTTATTTTTTTTTTGTACTATGGTTAATAAGTAAAACTAAATTATTAAATAAAAGGTTACATTTAATCGTATGCATGTATTTTTAATACGTAATGTGTAATTTCATTTGCAGTTAAACTGCGGAATGGACAGCTTGGGTATCAAACATAATTTTGGCAAAATTTGAACTCCAATAACGTTTTAACAGCTTGGATAGTGGCTTGGACTACCTCACAGGTGTCAGCAGAAATACAAATCAATAATTGCTGAACTGCTAATTGAACTCTGTTCAGTAATTTAAAAATTCAAATTTATTTTGACATTTAGCTTGTGTGTTTTCAAATCCTGTCCATGAAATGCCTATAACACTGCCCACTTTCATCAGTTGTTCACTTCAGCTCTAAGCTCACTGAACACCCAAAACCGCCCATGATGTATTGTTGTTGTTTATGTAGTAACGATACGAAGACTGAAAATTTTACGAACGCATTATCTAAACAGAAACAAAAGTAAAAGTAAACGGAAATGGCGGCAGATAAATGAAGATTGCCGAAGTTTTTATAAAAAATGTGCACATTTCTTTTAAAATGAAGGAAATAGAAGAAATAGCATCATGAAGATATCTATTCAAGATAAGTTATTAATAAATTATATGTATATAGCGTTTTAATGAAGAATTTGAACAGAAGAAGGAAACAAAAGGAGAAAAATGCACCTCCTAATACAACAACAAGCTTTCAAAACGATGTTTTACTGGATTTTATTGGGAACTTTTATTACGTTGCCCTCGGTATTACGATATTTTACCGTGACAAAATGAACATCGTAATAACGAGTCCGCACTGTATATCAAAATGGTTAAGAGGTACAGTGGTGTTATTGGTTAAAAAGTATCTGAACAGACATCAGATGGAAGAAATATTGTGAAAACTTAAAGTTTAGTCAAATATATTGTAAAATAAAATGTTTGTGCTTGTTTATATAATATATGTATAATTAATGATTATTAATAAACAGGAACTCCCAGTAACCAGTGTCCCTCAGGGTTTCACCTAGATAACAGTGGACAGTTCTGTCTGGGTAAGAAAGAAGGGGGGGGGGGGTCCCCCTCTATCAAATTACAAAACAGTCCAGAAAAACCGCAAATTTAAAGTTTGCTATTGATTATTAATATTATCTGACAACAAATGATTATGAACAAATAATTTTTGTTTTTGAAGAAAAACCTTTTGTGAGTTTAGATTTTGGTGATGCTTGAAAGGGTATATATGATAATGTAGTTGTGTTGCCTAGATAACGATGAATGTTTCCCTGACAACCCCTGCTCCCATCAGTGTCATAACTCACCTGGGAAGTTTGCCTGCTCCTGTCCACAGGGATATGTTCTGGGTCCTGGCGGTAGGACATGCGAGGACGTGGATGAGTGTCGCCGGAACAATGGGGGATGTAGCAGGGAGAGGGAATGTCTGAACACAGTGGGATCCTACCATTGTGTGGTGGTCTGTAAGGCAGGATACAGGAGGAATGAGGACATGTTCTGTATAGGTCTGTGTCTGTAAGACATATACAATCCTGAGCTACATATAGATTTACAGAGAGAAAGAATGTAAATGGGATTGTTTTGATTTATAATAGTGGTATTTCTTAAGCTTCTTTATCTAATAAGTCACCCAAGTCACTATAATGACATGTCCAGGTCAATATGGTGTGACATGTCCATGTCAATATGGTGACATGTGCAGTTCAATATGGTGACATATCTGGATTGCTATGGTGACATTTACTTGCTTGAATTTTAAGGTTCCCTTTCCTCAAATCCATCACAATAAATTTTTTAAAAATTGTTTTAGCACCTGGTACATGCACAAGAAATATGTTTTCTATAAATATCTCACTTTAAAATGATGTAGTCATTGAATCAATGGATAAAGTATATAGCACACCTTTAAAAAATCAGGGGAAACTTCTGCTACATACATCATTTACTCTCAAGGTCAAGTTTTTAATTCATGTTTTCATAAGAAATGAGACTCATATGGACTAAATCATAGCCTAAAAAGTGGAGGGGGGATGTTCTATTACAATAGGAGCTAAGAAATAAGTCTTATTGGTAGAAGTTATTTAATGTAGAAGAGATCAGTTTAAAGTAATATTAATGAGAGCTCTCTATCAATTTCACAAAGTTTGAAGCTGTATATTCAAATTACATAATCAACTTCAACAGATTTTCAGATTAAATTGCTTCTTTATAACAGACATAGATGAATGCTCTGAAGATCCTCTGATCTGTGGTCAGCATTGTGAGAATACAGCAGGAAGTTATCAATGTTCCTGTTCTCAGGGGTTCAAGCTTAAGTCAAATGGCAGGTGTACAGGTAAATACGAAGTGTTCTCAGGGGTTCAAGCTCAAGTCAAATGGCAGGTGTACAGGTAAACAGGAAGTTATCAATGTTCCTGTTCTCAGGGGTTCAAGCTTAAGTCAAATGGCAGGTGTACAGGTAAATACGAAGTGTTCTCAGGGGTTCAAGCTCAAGTCAAATGGCAGGTGTACAGGTAAACAGAAAGTTATCAATGTTCCTGTTCTCAGGTGTTCAAGCTTAAGTCAAATGGCAGGTGTATAGGTAAATACGAAGTGTTCTCAGGGGTTCAAGCTTAAGTCAAATGGCAGGTGTACAGGTAAACAGGAAGTTATCAATGTTCCTGTTCTCAGGGGTTCAAGCTCAAGTCAAATGGCAGGTGTATAGGTAAATACGAAGTGTTCTCAGGGGTTCAAGCTTAAGTCAAATGGCAGGTGTACAGGTAAACAGAAAGTTATCAATGTTCCTGTTCTCAGGGGGTTCAAGCTCAAGTCAAATGGCAGGTGTACAGGTAAATACGAAGTGTTCTCAGGGGTTCAAGCTCAAGTCAAATGGCAGGTGTAGAGGTAAATAGGAAGTTATGAGTGTTCATGTTCTTAGGGGTTCAAGCTCAAGTTAAATGGCAGGTGTACAGGTAAATAGGAAGTAATGAGTGTTCATGTTCTCAGGGGGTTCAAGCTCAAGTCATTTGGCAGGTGTACAGGTAAATACGAAGTGTTCTCAGGGGTTCAAGCTCAAGTCAAATGGCAGGTGTAGAGGTAAATAGGAAGTTATGAGTGTTCATGTTCTCAGGGGTTCAAACTCAAGTCAAATGGCAGGTGTACAGGTAAACAGCTAGTTATGAGTGTTCATGTTCTCAGGGGTTCAAGCTCAAGTCAAATGGCAGGTGTACAGGTCACATATGATATTTTGACATTATACAAGCATCCAAGTATTACAATTTATCAAATAACCTTCAGATTTAGTAAAATCCATGTGTAAAGAAAGTTTTGAGTATCAGTTTTGAAATATTGAATTTATAGGTACATGTATACATACTATTATGACAAATGTGATTAGATGTTTTTGAGGCAGTTTCATGGTTATATTTGTGTAATGTTAATTAATATGATTTGTAATAGTAATCCCCACAGTAGAAATTTTTGATGTTATACAGATGTAAATGAATGTTTGGAGGGACTGTCTGCTTGTTCCCACATCTGCAGGAATCGGATCGGAAGTTATCTCTGTGCCTGTCCCTCAGGCTTCAGACTCGCCTCCAATGTCACTTGTCAAGGTGTGTGTCTGATGAATTGAGTTTTTTTTTATGGGAATTTCTGCTTAATTTTTTTTATCATTTCAATGCAGATTTTAAGAAACACTTTTTATATTTTTAGTATAGGTAAATATGTTGGTATAATATTAATCATTTTTTTTCACTTGCACAAATGCCAATTTAACTTAATCCTAGCAATTTGACAACAGTGAACTGTGTTAATAACCATCTCTAATCATCTCTGTAGCTAATTATTTCTGATCCACTCCACTCACAGAATTAGCCATGCTGGACTACTTAAACGAAATGTACATTCATGCACAGCACAGAAGCAAGAAAGTTTAAACAATGCTTTTTTTTTAAGTCAGAGTTGCAGCAATGAAAACAGTTGTCTAGCTAAGATGATCCTAATAAAAAAAACATGAGAAAAAATGAAAAACCAAATGTCCTTTGGGATTCTTTTTTAGATATTGATGAATGTAAGGAAAGAAGCCATAGATGTACAGGGGAACAGGAATGTCAGAATACTGAGGGCAGTTACCAGTGTACCCAGAAATGTAGCGAAGGATACCAGGAGATTAATGGACGATGTGTTGGTAAGGGCATTATGTAAATAGAGATAGTTACCAGTGTACCCAGAAATGTAGTGAAGGACACCAGGAGATTAATGGACGATGTGTGGGTAAGGGCATTATATAAATAGAGATAGTTACCAGTGTACCCAGAAATTAGTGAGGGATACCAGGAGATTAATGGACGCTGTGTGGATAAGGGCATTATATAAAATAATAGAGATAGTTACCAGTGTACCCAGAAATGTAGCGAAGGATACCAGGAGATTAATGGACGATGTGTGGGTAAGGGCATTATATAAATAGAGATAGTTACCAGTGTACCCAGAGATGTAGTGAGGGATACCAGGAGATTAATGGACACTGTGTGGGTTAGGGTATTATATAAATAGAGATAGTTACCAGTGTACCCAGAAATGTAGTGAGGGATACCAGAAGATTAATGGATGTGTGGGTAAGGGCATTATATAAATAGAGATGGTTACCAGTGTACCCAGAAATGTAGTGAGGGATACCAGGAGATTAATGGAGGGTGTCTGGGTAAGGGCATTACATAAATAGAGATAGTTACCAGTGTACCCAGAAATGTAGTTAGGGATACCAGGAGATTAATGGACGCTGAGTTGGTAAGGGCATTATATAAATAGAGATAGTTACCAGTGTACCAAGAGATGTAGTGAGGGATACCAGGAGATTAATGGACGGTGTGTGAGTAAGGGCATTATATAAATAGAGATAGATACCAGTGTACCCAGAGATGTAGTGAAGGATACCAGGAGATTAATGGACGGTGTGTGAGTAAGGGCACTATATAAATAGAGATAGTTACCAGTGTACCCAGAAATGTAGTGAGGGATACCAGGAGATTAATGGAGGGTGTCTGGGTAAGGGCATTATATAAATAGAGATAGTTACCAGTGTACCCAGAAATGTAGTTAGGGATACCAGGAGATTAATGGACGGTGTGTTGGTAAGGGCATTATATAAATAGAGATAGTTACCAGTGTACCCAGAGATGTAGTGAGGGATACCAGAAGATTAATGGACGCTGTGTGGTTAAGTGCATTACATGTATATAAATAGAGATAGTTACCAGTGTACCCAGAGATGTAGTGAGGGATACCAGGAGATTAGTGGACGGTGTGTGGGTAAGGGCATTATATAAATAGAGATAGTTACCAGTGTACCCAGAAATGTAGTGAGGGATACCAGGAGATTAATGGACGCTGTGTGGTTAAGTGCATTATATAAATAGAGATAGTTACCAGTGTACCCAGAGATGTAGTGAGGGATACCAGGAGATTAGTGGACGGTGTGTGGGTAAGGGCATTATATAAATAGAGATAGTTACCAGTGTACCCAGAAATGTAGTGAGGGATACCAAGAGATTAATGGACGCTGTGTGGTTAAGTGCATTATATAAATAGAGATAGTTACCAGTGTACCCAGAAATGTAGTGAGGGATACCAGGAGATTAATGGATGTGTGGGTAAGGGCATTATATAAATAGAGATAGTTACCAGTGTACCCAGAAATGTAGTGAGGGATACCAGGAGATTAATGGATGCTGTGTGGTTAAGTGCATTATATAAATAGAGATAGTTACCAGTGTACCCAGAAATGTAGTGAGGGGTACCAGGAGATTAATGGACGGTGTGTGGGTAAGTTACCAATGTGTTAGAAAATGTGTAGTGAGTAAACAGTACGAGGGATGAATAAACAGAGTAAGTGTGGACATCAAACAAAGTAAGGTTAATTTGGTGAGGGGTGCAAGAAGCTAACTCTGTGGCTAATTTTTTTTGTACAAGGGAAGTTAATGGGTTTTTTTTTTGTTTTGTTTTGTTTTTTTTTTGTTGTTATTGTTTTTTTTTAAACAAAAAAACTATTTTAAAACTGAAATTAACAATGAAAGGAAAGCAAAATATCCATAGTGGTATTTATATTGTGTGATAAAGAAGTAAAATGATGTTACGGATATTCTGTGAACAAAGTCTCACGGCAACAAATGAACACAGTTTTGTTTATTTACAGATATAGACGAATGCTTCCTGAATACTCATGGATGTTACTCCAATCAACTGTGTGTAAATTCCCCTGGAGGGTACACTTGTCAGTGTGAGAAAGGATACAGGTCTACAGGAATTGGACAGCCTTGTCTAGGTTAGTCATAACTAAACATGATAACTAGTTAGTTATAAGACTAGTTAACTTATCCATCTGATCACTAAATTCCCCTGGAGGGTACACTTGTCAGTGGGACAAAGGGTACAGATCTACAGGAATTGGACAGCCTTGTCTAGGTTAGTCATAACTAAACATGATAACTAGTTAGTTATAAGACTAGTTAACTTATCCATCTGATCAGTAAATTTCCCTGGAGGATACACTTGTCAGTGTGAGAAAGGGTACAGGTCTACAGGAATTGGACAGCCTTGTCTAGGTTAGTGATAACTAAACATGATAACTAGATAACTAGTTAGTTATAAGACTAGTTAACTTATCCATCTGATCAGTAAATTCCCCTGGAAGGTACACTTGTCAGTGTGAGAAAGGGTACATGTCTACAGGAATTGGTCAGCCTTGTCTAGGTTAGTGATAACTAAACATGATAACTAATTAACTAGATAACTAGTTAGTTATAAGACTAGTTAACTTATCCATCTGATCAGTAAATTCCCCTGGAGGGTACACTTGTCAGTGTGAGAAAGGGTACAGGTCTACAGGAATTGGACAGTCTTGTCTAGGTAAGTCATAACTAAACATGATAACTAGTTAACTAGATAACTAGTTAGTTATAAGACTAGTTAACTTATCCATCTGATTAGTAAATTCCCCTGGAAGGTACAATTGTCAGTGTGAGAAAGGGTACAGATCTACAGGCATCGGACAGCCTTGTCTAGGTCAGTGATAACTAAACATGATAACTAGTTAGTTATCATCACAAGCATTTGGCAACCTTCTTGGGAGGAAAAGTGGTGAATAAAACCCTAACAGGTCCAATCTATTTATGTTAGTATTTGACAGCTAACATGTGAAGGAGTGCTTAAAAATTGAATGACAATTTTTTTCAGATATTGATGAATGTGCAGAAAATCCAAGTATATGTGTTGACCATTGTCGAAACACCCAGGGCAGTTTTGTGTGTATTTGCCCTCCAGGACAAATCTTACTGGCAGATAAACGGTCATGTGCTGGTACATACATTTCACAATTTCAGAATTTCACACACTTTTCTATAGAATTTTCTTTAAAAACTAAATTGATATTTTGAAAGTAATTAGTTTCCAATAACTTCAACAAAAGAAAATTAAAAGAGAATTATGCTTGTTGTAGGGCTAGAGTATTTGGAATCCGATCCTATTGAGACTTTGCCTAAACGTAGCCATAGCTACCAGAATTCAAAACCTTTTGGACAAAATGGTGGGCCTCAGCAAGGCTGCGCTCATTCCAGCAAATGTTTAAGACGAAGTAAAAGATCCCAATGTCTGTCTGGGTTCAGATTCAATTCAACTTCTAAAACTTGTGTAGGTATGTACCAGCACACAACTGCAGAATCTCACACAAAAACTATTTTTCTAAGAAATGAATAAATTGGCCATACCAATTCCTGTGAAATAAAAGATTTCAGACACACCCAGTGTTTCTGATGAATTAAAGTACAAGTCCAGCATCCTTATCACAGTAAAACATGTCTGCAACAGACATGTATGGAGAATACATGTTTGTATTGGAAGTCATTTTAGTGAGAAAAATTAACAAATTATTGACTCAAGTTAAAACATCTGATACAACAATTTCAGGTTTCTCTGCTGATATGCTAGATCAATGTTTTATGTGATACTTGATGAAGTTTAAGATAAAAAAAAAAAGAAGGTGCTATAATATGAAAGCTATGTTTTTTTTTTCTTTTTATAACCAATATGAGACATTTTCCATTGTCACAGATATCAATGAATGCAGGGAGGATCCAGGTATCTGTCAACACAACTGTAATAACACTGTAGGAGGATATCAGTGTGTCTGTCCCCCGGGCTATAAATTAGGCAGAAATGGCAGGAATTGTGTGGGTAAGGCACCTACATATATAATAACCCCCCCCCCCCCCAAAAAAAAAGAAAATGGAAAGAAAGAAAATCAAATTAATCATCTCAGTAAGAAACTGTGTCATCCATGAGCTGCAGGTGTAAGACAAAACAAAAACAAGATGTATTTGTGAAACACTGATGCCCCTGTGTGGCAGCTCAAGGCCAAGGTTAAAGTTTCTCAGATGTAGGTCAAACTCCAAGGTCATGGTCAGGTGTTCAAAAATGTTGGTACCCAAAGAAAGGTCTAATATCACAAGAAGTACATGAAATATATAAAGTCCTAGTGTCAACCATTCAGATAATATGGCGAATGTTAAAGCTTTTTTCACAAGAAGGTCTTACTCCAAGGTCAAGGTCATGAAGTCAAAAATATTGGTACCCAAAGGAAAGTCTTGTCAGTTGTCACAAAGAATATAGTATATTAAACTAAAGAATTTAATACTTCTACAGGGAAAGTCAATTTATTGTGGAAATTGAAGAGAATTATGTATGTTTACAGATATCAATGAATGTATCACCTCCAATATTGACTGTGGACCAGAGAGAATGTGCTTCAACAAGAGAGGGGATGTCAGCTGTATAGATATTCCCTGTCCTGATAACTACACACGGGATCCACTTACAAAGTAAGTCAATCATATAAACTATACATGTGATCCACTTACAAAGAAAGTCACATATATAAACTAAACACAGGACCCACTTACAAAGTAAGTCACTTATATAAACTACAAATGGGATCCATTTACAAATAAGTTATCTTTAAAGTACAATCAGGATCAATTGACAAGATAAGTCACTCATCCAAAGTAACTTCAGAGAGAGCCCACTTAGAAAGTAAGTCGAATCATCTTAAAAATAAACACACAATCCTTAAACAAAGTTACTCAAATTAAAACAGGATCCACATAGAAAGTGATGTATCTAAAATGAAATGGAAGAGGAGAAAAATGGGATAGACCGGACTGGGATTTGAACCTGGGACCCCTAAAACATTAGTCAAGTGTTCTACCAACTGAGCTATCTGTCTATTGGTGATCGAACTCACCTGACAGCCACAAAAACAACTAAATAAAGACTTTTACTTACTCTGCTAATGCACATTAAGAGATTTACTAACTTAAAGTGTTGTATGCAAAGTCAATTTTGCCCCATTTTATTTTTGCCCTTTCACACTTGCAAACAATTTTGCCCTGTTTTGATAAGTTGTGTTTTAAGAAAATGCCATCTTTTGTGAATTCATCCTGTTTTAAATTTGTCTGTGTGCAACAGGGGTGAAAAGGGCAAAAAAAATGGGGGTGAAAATTTCCCTTTATAGAATAAGTGATTTTGATTTATTAAAATTACCTTCATGAAAGATTTACTTACAAAGCAAGTCAAATCTAAAATAAGTATTCACAATGTCCTTCACCAATAGAAAAGTTAGATAACACACACAGGTCTAGTTACAAAGTACTAAGTCACCTAAAATAACTTCACATAGGAGCATCTTACAAAGAAGTCACTTAGATAACTACATGTAGAAACTTGGTTTACATATACAGTCATAATAAATAACTAAACAACTACTGTGGTCCACTTTGTCAAGAGTTGTGTACCTTGTTTTCAGATACTGTGTATTGGAGTGTGTGGATTCCTCTCTATGTCCAGAGGGCGCTGAGTATGCTGATGTCATTGAGTTCAGAACTCTAGCTCTTCCTAGTGGAATTTTACCTCAGCAGGATTTGATAAGACTCACAGTGCTGAATCAAAATAATGTTAAAATGACTAAAAATGACTTCATTATCCTGGAGAATGACCCTAAAGTGGATTTCCAGTTAAGGCTATCAGAGGGGACAGGAATTCTGTACACAGAACAACCGCTAGAGGAGTTAGAGACATATAAGATCAAAGTGAGAGCAAAATCTTATAATGCCATAACAGGAGTCTTACAGTATCAAACTACATTTATGATTCATATATCAATTTCAGCATACCCATATTGATTAAAGACTACTTACCTGTTTGATTTTATATCATTTTTGATGATTTCATTTTGATAATGAATGATTTTTAAATACAACATGTTTTTTTTTTGGGGGGGGGGGGGGGGGGAAGGGGGGTATTCATTGAGTGTAAATGATATTTGTCTTGAGTTCTCTACCATATATGTATGTGTACATAGAATTTAGTTACTAATGTTTGTATAAATGCATTTTTGATTTTTCCTTGTGCCATACTTTGTACATCTACTGATAGATATTAGTTATCATGTAAATAGCTTGAGAACTATTGAAACACGTATAACCAGTATTTTATTTGGAATATGAACCATGTTACCGATTTATGTAATTGTTATATTTGATTGAACTGTGTAGACACTTATGACATTATTCATAAAGTCATTTTAAACATACAGCTTTTATATACAGTTATAGACCCTGTTCTAGTTCTTGTATGGTTTTAGAAATTCATACTGAAAACAGCAGGGTGTTTATTGCAGGGTTTGCTTACCCTTCAGAGTTTGGTACATACTATTATAAATATACCATGTAGATGTGTTTGAAAAATGTTTCATTTGGAGATTTTTCTTCCACTTCAAATTAAATTTATTTCTTTCATCCAAATTGTACAGTTAGGGTAACTTTAAGTAGAGTTTAGAGCACATAGTCAATAAACTGTTCATGTGCTATATTCTAGATATATCATATTTTAAAAGACTGAGTACATGAAAGCATGTTAATTCAAAGGTTATTAAAATGCATTACAAATGTGATCATTTTATGGAAGAAACAGTGATTTGTAATAAATTCTCACACACTTTGGTGTACATATTAAAGTTTGTTAGTTATTTGATGTCTATTTTGTAGAATTTTTTAGCTCACCTGAGCTGAAAGCTCAAGTGAGCTTTTCTGATCACCCGTTGTCCGTTGTCCGTCCTTCTGTAAACTTTTCACATTTTCAACTTCTTCTCAAGAACCACTGGGCAAATTTTAACCAAACTTGGTACAAAGCATCCTTGAGTGAAGGGGAGTGTAAATTGTTAAAAAGAAGGGCCAAGCCCCCTTCAAAGGGGAAATAATCAAAAAAAGACAAAAATAGGGTGGGGTCATTAAAAAATCTTCTTCTCAAGATCCACTGGGCCAGAAAAGCTGAAACTTATGTGGAAGCATCCTGGGATAGTGTAGATTCTAAATTGTACAAATCATGACCCCCCAGGGGTAGGGCGGGGCCACAATAGGGAATCCAAGTTTTACATTGAAATATATAAGAAAAATCTTTAAAAATCTTCTTTTCAAGAACCACTGGGCCAGAAAAGCTGAAACTTACGTGGAAGCATCCTGGGGTAGTGTAGATTCTAAATTGTTCAAATCATGACCCCCGGGGATAGGGCGGGGCCATAATAGGTATTACAAGGGGGGAAATCTGGTAAAGAACAGCATGGCCAAAGTTACTCAGGTGAGCGATGTGGCCCATGGGCCTCTTGTTTCTGGAAGGTAGAATAAACTCAATGTCTGAAACCACCAAAAAAAAAAATATTCTGGAAAAATTATTAATTCTGACTAAAAGAATGCAAAAACATTCGCGGGTAGGGAACAAAAAAGAATGTTAGTATAGTTTGTTATCTTCAGTTGAGACTTTGGTATGTATATATATATATATATATATATATATATATATATATATATATATATATATATATATATATATATATATATATATATATATATATATATATATATATCCCTGCACTTATTTCACTTATTTCTCTTGCGTAAGAAAAGCCATCTTTCTGGAAAAAGTTCTGGCGATTATTTTAATTGTTTTGTGATTTTATAGGGCCTCACAGAAAATTCGCTGACTTTTTTGAACGTGGCATATGTAAATAATCAAATGAACTTAACTGGGACGACCTTCGAAAGATCTAATTAACTTATATTTTATGTTTCATTCTATATCATGGAGTTAGATGGATTGTTGTAAATTTATCATAATCAGTTAAAGCATATCCTGGTCCCCTGGCAGAGAAATCCCTCCCAAAACTTGAATTTGATATCAAACGGCCCTTCTAATCGGTAACACTCGCGTGACATACTATAAAGTATTGCATGATTTTTCTGCATATATCATATTTAGTTTACATTTGCAAAATCATTTCACTACAGTGAGTTAAAGACCGCAAAAAAAAAAAATGTTTACGATAATTTTGAAATTATTCACTGTTGGCCTTTAAGTGTGGTTGTAGAGGGGTAACACAGTAAAGGGAAGCACATTGGTAGAATACGAACATAAATTATCATACATGTAGCTGCTAATAAGTGGAGGGGAGAGGGTAGAACGGGAGAGTACCAATAACATTTCTGGCAAATCATGTGCTTAGAACATCAGTTACAGGCCCGTAAAAGTAGGGAGGATGCTCCCCACTTTTTTCTGACTATAGTATTTTGCTATAGTAAATCTGGTTGCCCTCCTCTCCCCCCTCCCCTCCCCCACTTTCAGATGTTGTAAGGCCAAGCACTGGCGAATTCCAGTCAGGATTTGGACAGTAAATTAGCTCTTTTTTTTAATTGCTTGTCAGATAATTTTGGGAATTTGGCCATCCCACTTCTGAGCATTTTTTTTTTTTTATTTATTAATTAATTTATTTATCTATATGTTTATTTATTTTGCTTGTCAGTATTTATTTATTTATTTTGCTTGTCAGATAATTTTGAAAACTTGGTCAGTTTAGTTTTTTTTCTTTGCTTGTCGGATTTTTTTTGGGAAGTTGCCCCTACCCCCTTTTAAAACCGTTGTTACGGGCCTGAGTTATTTCTGCAGAGTGTGTTGTATCCCCACTCCACCCTCCTCCCGACAACCCCACTTTTAAATAAGATGCTGAAATGTGAATTTTTATTCTGTTAGAAAGGCCTGGAGAAATGGTAATGTGCAATGATAAAGCATAGTTATCATGACACTTTCTTAAGAAATTGGATGGAATGTGTTACATCTATTTATGAACCTGTTACATCTATTTATGAACCTGTTTCTTTCAAAAACAGTTAATTGTCATGAAAATATGTTTATTTCATTAAAAAGTCATTTATGACCATTACATTTCAATTTGGTTTCAACTACATTTTTTTCTGCCCTTTTGAACGAGTTTTAAGTATTGCAGGAAAAGCGTTGCAGGTTGATAAAACGTTTGCAAATATGATGATGAAATGCGAACTATGGCATACATGTAATGTTTAAATAGTTCATTTCATTAGCAAAGTAATTGCAATTTGAGTCATTACATTTCAATGTAATTGACCACAGGTCTGTTAACGGCACTAACTGTCCTTGAGCAGTATACTATGATCTTAATTGTAACAGCATCTACTGCGAAACAGGACCTTGGTTTATTTTAAATAGGTCTCTTTCGATGGTCCGGTGTCCACGTCCAGCAGTGGGATACGAATAGTGTAAGCAAGATTTTATGTCCTCTTATAAGTAAAATTATTATTTTCTATGCATACTTTTAATTTGACTGAAAACAGACAAAACGTTTTGAATAGTCTATACTTTTATTCCTTTGCAGCTGTTTGCCTTATTAGCTTTACTATATAAGGACACGGTGAAAACAAATGCGCAGTTGATACTTCAGCCAACGGGGAAGAAATGTATATTATTAACTCATGGTTAAAGAAATGTGTCAAAAACTTTCTTAGTTTTGGAGAACAATGATTGATAGCGTATTTTTTTTTTTACCATTCATTATTAAAGTAAACAAAATCAAGAATCCTTTCAAGTTTTTTTAGTGTGTAATTTCATGCAGGCATTTTATTCAAATTTTATAAAAAGTTATATTTAAATGAATCCTGGATGAGTGATAAATGTAAAATATTCTAAAGTATTTGTTCTGAAGAAAGGAGATAGCACTTGAATAAAAATAGCTGGACAAATTGGCGTTATTTGTAAAAAAAAAAAAAAAAATAATAATAATAATGGGTCGTATTTTAATTGGACAGTATAAAATATTATACATATTTATAGTGTATCGTTACGCCCTCGAACATTTGACAACCTGCCACCTAGATATGAAGACAACACTTCTCTTTCTTTGTTCTCTGTTTTGTTTACCACGGAGGGTTTTGGTGTTTGTTCCTTTTTATAGCAGAGGTATGCTTATGATTTCATTATTTCTCTTGAATCAGATGCACAAATGACTATTTTCAAATAATTTTTCTGTTAATAATTTTCTGTGCCATATCAAAGATTATTATATCAAAAGTTTTAAAATTGCATGCAAAAACATTTTTATAAAAATTCAAATTGTATACTTCTGCTCAATAAACTCGCAAAACTTTGTATATTGTCATAATCAAATATATATATAAATATAATTGTTTATTTATTCACTTATTTATTTATTAGGGATGGTAAAACTGGGTAAATTTTTGTAACCGGTTAGTCGTAAATTTTTCCGGACGGAATAACTGGTTAATCGAACAAATACGACTTATTTGTAATGTTCTAATTAATTATTGCATTCATCTAAGTTATATCTATACAAAACAATTTTTTGCTTCTGAATTAAAGTTATGAACGTTTATTTACAAATTATTGCTATCAAAGTCAAACCATACAATTATGGACATTTTCTGCACTTTAATTGTGATAAGACTATTTCATCAACTGCTGGTTATGACATTGCAACCTATTCACCAAAAAAGTCTCTCTAACGGCGCAGAATGATGTTTCGAGGTCTCAGATACTTTTCTTCGTTGTGTAAATTTCACGATATTGTCAAGTCACCACTAAAAAAGACTCACTTAGTGACAAAAAACTATGTTTTCTGATCGTGAGTAGATTTTTTGGTCTTACGTTTGTTTACTCTTGGTAAAAAGAAAATTGTAGCACTTATTCTCTAAAATGAAGTTGCATATGATACTGACTTGAAGTGATTTGTTTAAACATTACTGATATCAAATACAGTAGCACTTTCTGTTACCTGGTCTGTATAGTCCTCATCATTTAACAATATAGCTGGTAAAATAGGACTGATCGAGCACTTAACATTGTAATATTGATGTTGGCAATTAAAAAAAAGACGGTATTTAATGAATTCTATAGGATTTTTTTCGTATTCACAATATTTCATAATGATCAGATCGGACAAGTGTGTCTAGAGATTGACTTGTCCGATCTCAAAATAAGCAGGACAAACGTTAATGTTGAACCCTACAACTAAACTACTAAACGTTTATACATGTTTAATTAAATGTTAGTTTATATGAAATAATTCTAGCTGGACCTCTTCGTACGGTTTGTCTGGTGTTGTCTGGTAAAGTGTGATTTACACAAAATATATGGAGATAACGAACAGTATTCAAGCTCAAATGAAATAAAACAATTGAACAAATTATTGCTAATTTATTACTTCAAACTATTAAATAGTACAATGTTGTATTCTCTTTAAAAGAGCGTAACTATAAATTATGAAAAGAAAAAAATTGAAAAATAATTGAGCAATAAAATAATAAAAAGGGGGGGGGGGTTCAAAACAGAGTTAGGAAGGAAAAGTATTAGGAGCTCTTATAAATTATCAAAACTTTTTTAATCTGACAGTAGGAATAATAAACAGTAATATAGGCAAAAAAAAAAAAAAAAAAATGAAGATAAAAATAACTAGGGTAATTGTATAATAAATATGAAGTAATCACTATTTCATTAGAGAGAATAGTCTTTCTCAAAATCAGGAATTATATTTAGTTCATGTTTAGCCCTACATGTAGTTAGAGATGGGTGCTATCCATATGTGAATTTATTTGTTATTGTATTCTCAAAGTCTTAAGTTTCAATTTTTAAGAAAATATGAGTTTAGATATATCTGTACTCTTCCTATTCGCTAATGAATTCATCCTTTAAACAGTACATTAAAATTGTACATGTATGCTTGTGCTTTGTATCAAAATTAATATTCACTATTGTCTTCCTTCCCATTCTCAATATATAAATTTCCAAATTACATACCCCATTGCTTAAAATCCACAACATCTCATAACATATCTTGTTTTGTGCCTTTAATTTACCTGTGCAAGCACAGGTTGTGAATCAAATGAAATCTAAAGTCATCAGAGCTAAACATTTTGGGCAATTGAAGAAAAATAATACAATTATATTTACATCCACTGAATATTATCTCCCTTATTTCTTAAGGTGAAATATCCCTCTGCTCTAAATTTCACAATTTTTTTTTAAATTCCCAACATTGATTTTCATCCACATCAATAACATTAGATTCAAATAGAAAATAGTTTGAAGTATGAAGCGTTGCTTGCTTTTTCAGAAATGAATATTATGTCTAATCATGATAGGAAGAAAATTTGATATGGTGAATAGAAGAATCAATAATTTTTTTATCTCAACTTGAAATTAAAAATATGAGGTATATATGAAAATAATATTTACTGTCATACATGTACCTATATAATTCATGTAAGAAAACATAATGAAGCGTTGCTTTTTAAATCAGAATATCACATTGTTGTCTGTGCTTGTTAAAAAAAATGCATCTATTTACAAGAGTTATCTTTCCATCTACAGGAGTTTTCTTTCTTCAAAATATTTTTTAAGAAAAAAAATTTAAATAATTGATTATAAAATTCTGCATCTAAAATTCCTGCAACAGTTAAAAGAATTATATGTTAAGAGATGGAAATATCTCAATTTAATAGTTTATAGTAAAAATGTTTCAGATACATTTTAAACTATTATAAGTAATTAATGAAAATATTGGCAAAAGAAAATAGAAATCAGTATTTGAAACATAGTTCAGTTTTGAATAAATTGAGTATATAATGGTCCTTATTATTAAAATCTGGTACATGTAAGACAATTCATTGGATTGCTTCGAATAATTTCCTTGGAAAGTTATCTCTCTTAGCAGAGGGACATTACACCTAAGGAAAACCATTGCCGTTTATCAGTCAGCAAACAACGCTTAGCATATCGATAACCTCTACAGATTTTTTGAACAATGGCTGTTCCATCAATGAAACGTACAATGACGTACATATCAACAATACAATATTTCATCTACTAAATCCTATCGATAAATGATTGTTTGTACAGATATAAATATAAACAATAAAATGTCTTTTTCTTTGTGATTATGGGAATTAACGTTGCGGCTTTTGTAGAAAAAAATTACATAACCCGCTTACGCGGGTTATGCATTTTTTCTGCAACAGCTGAAACATTAATTCCCATACTAACAACCAAAGAGAGCATTTTATTGTTTAAATTAAGCGGATTTTAGGTTATTGTAAAGTAGAAATCGTATGCCCATTCTCAATGAAATTTCAAAACATTGAATACTGAGAAGTGCTCTGGCATAAAAGGGGGGAGGGCATGTGGATAAGTTAATTGTTATAAATTTTGAGTTCATAATCTTGCTGAACAGCAGACGCCGTGGATCAAGAGTTAAAAACGAGTTGAATCGTCAAAAGTCTTAGCAATGTATAAGAAATGTTTCAGATTTATCAGCAAATTAACTTTGGATTCACCATCTTTTTTTCAGGTAATGATTGGTACCAACCACCCTCGGATTGGTCGACAGGTAGGAATGTATAAAGAATGTATTTTCATTACGACATAATGGAAAGGAGAACACTTATTTTATAAGATTAATTAGGAAAGATGGCAATGAATGTACGATGTTTAGCAACTTTTATTTTCACATTGCTTTTGGTATTTGGAACACCACTAGTACTCAACATTTAGCTTCTGAAGTGAATATATTTTTTTTTACTTCTCAAAATGGAAATGTACAACAAAAGAAAAAAACAAAGAAAAGAAAAAAAGAGCCCATTGCTATATATTTCGGAGGGACTGTAAAGTGCTGTCTTGTATTGAACTGAGGAGAAAAATCAATTTTACAACATCGTGAATAAAAATTATTTTCACTGGAATTAAATTTTAAATCAAAAATACAAAATTCTATAAATTATTACAGGTAGTTTATGGCCAACATCCATAGGCTCCGAGTGGTCACCCTCTTCTTCTACAAGCATGGGAGGTAAGACATTTTGATTAGAAGAAAGAATATTCGTATATATCTATAAATGAAGAGCAACTATATCCATACGATCCATAGTAGTAGATCTAGAGCTGCATGCCTCGGTTTATAAGGACTCATCCAAAAGACCCGTCATTTTCACTTCTAATGGCGGTCGGTCGGCGAAGGAACAGTTACTACCTATGTTTACGTCTTAGGTTTGACGCGGAGAATCGAACTCAGTCCTCTCGATCACAAAGCGAATGCCCTACCACTAGGCTACCGTGACAGCTGCATACACAAGAAATTTTACGTTCAGTTTTCTGAGACCTCTATCCTGAGTTTCAGTTAGAATGGTTTGAGATTCGCTATTGAGAACAATCAGAAAGAGGTCTTTTGCACGTTTTTTTTTTTTGGGGGGGGGGGGGGTTGTTGTCTAACGTCCCTCTCGAGAATTTTTCAATCATATGAAGACCACTTGCCGATAGAGGGCTGCAAATTTAGAACTATACTCGGCACTCAAGGCCATTGAGCAGTGAGGGATCTTTTTCGTGCCAGCACCACTGCTACACAGGACCTCAGTTTTAACGGTCTCATCCGAAGGACCGGTGTCCACTTCCCGCAGTGTGATTCGAACCCGCGACGCAAGACAGCATCAAAATAAAATTGAAGTGATGGAAATTAAACATTTTAGGCAATTAAAGAAAAATCAAAACAATCATTAAACAATTATTTAAGTTATTAGGAAGGAGGTTTTTTCATTTTAAAGAAGATATTACATACCCATTCTTCAATTAAAATTTCCAGACAATGAGTTTTTAAAATTCTCATACCAACTGAAAATGCTATGGCATAAAAGTAGGAAAAGGGCATGGATAAGTAAATTGTTATCAATTTCGAGTTGATAATCTTGCTGGACAGCAGATGCCTTAGATCATGATTTAGAATACAAGTTGAATCGTCAAAAGTATCAGCGAAGTATATGAAATGTTTCAGATTTCTTAGCAAATTAACTTTGGATTCATGATAAGGATTTTGTTTTTCAGGAAATTTCTGGAACTCACAATCATCGGATCGGTCAATAGGTAAGGCTGAATAAAGAATGCATTTTCATTACGACATACAGGAAAGTAAAAGTTTTTTATTTAATTAGCTTAATTAAGACAGAAGGCAAGAAACGATACACGCTCAAGTTTGCCGGGATATGATTCATTTTTCCCCTAACCTTGTACTTTGTGTAGCAATTTGTATTTTCACATTGCTATAAGTACTTGAAACATCACTTGTGATTCGCAATAAAGATTTTCTTTTTCAGGTAATTTCTGGAACTCACAATCTTCGGATGGGTCGATAGGTAGGACTGTATAAAGGATCCATTTTCATTACGACATAGAAGAAAGTAAAACTTTTATTTAATTAGCTTAATTAAGGCAGAAGGCAAGAGATGATATTCTACACGCTTAAGTTTGCTGAGTCCCCCTAACCTTGCAGTTTGTGTATAGCAATTTCTATTTTCACATTGCTGTAAGTACTTGAAACATCACTTGTAATCAAAATTTAACTTTTGACGCGTTTATATATGAGTATTTCTTACTTCTAAAAAAAAACCCTTTGCTATATATAAATAAGGGGATATAATAACCTGCAGCAGTCATGTATTGAAGAACTGAGGTGAAATCGATTTTGTAACATCATTAATAAAATTATACGTGTTTCATTTGGAGTTTAAAATCAAAAATACAAAATCCTATAAATTATTACAGGTAGTTTATTGCCAACATCCAGTGGCTCCGAGTGGCCACCCTCTTCTTCTACAGGCATGGGAGGTAAGAAGTTTTAATTAGGAAAAGAATATTCTATATATCCATAAATATAGAGCAACTATGTCCATAAGATCCATGATAGTAAATCTACAGCAAATGTATCCATAACAAATAGGTTTGGTTTGGTACATATACACTACTAAAACACTAACCTGTTCTGCTACATAGTAATTATATTTCGTTATTTACTGCTCATAAATATTCATAATATTCATTACATATTTACTGACATGCTCTGTTTTGACTTAACGCATCGAAATGATTTATTTTTAAAGTTAATTTTAAAGAACTATTTTTTCCCTTACATTACATCTTTGTAATTAATACAGACATTACCGGTATTGCTTTAAATTCATGACAAATTCATGACGATACCTTAAAAAGATGTAGATATTGACCCGCACAAAAAATCCAATGTAGAGCTTAGGAATCGGAATCATTTATATATAAAGCATGTATCATAACTCACTAAACAAAGGAAAATGTCAAATATAAGTATCGCAAATGTTGTTAATAATTATTGTATGTAGTTGAGCGCCGCACAAAACCTTCTGTGCGTGCAAAAGCATGAACTGCAGTAATTGATTGAATGTATTTTGTTTTACATCCTATTGGTGAATTTTTAACTCATATTTACAGACTTCACCATGTACCAGTGAAAAGCTTTAAAATAGACCTAAATCGACTCTCAAGGACATTGAACAGTGAGGGTTCATTATCGTGCCAACACATACGTGACACGGGACCGCGGTTTATTAGGCCTCATAAGAAAGGCCCGTGACTTTCACTTCTAATGCCGGGCGCTCGGCGAAGGTACTGTCAATACCTATGTTTGCGTCTAAGGTCTGCCGCGGCGCGGCGAACGAGAATCGAACCCAGTTCTCCCGATCAAGAAGCGAATGCCCTACCACTAGGCTGCCGTGACAGGTGCATACACTAAAAGTTCTAAGTTTAGTTTTCTGAAGTCCATATCCTGAGTTTCAGTTAGAAGGGTCTGAGATTCGCGTTCGAGAACAATCAGAAAGAGGTCTTACACGAAGTATGTTTTTTTTTTGGTTGTTTAACGTTCCTCTCGAGAATTTTTCAATGGAAACGCCACCACTTGCCGGTGGAGGATTGCAAATATAGACATATACTCGGCACTCAAGGCCATTGAGCAGTGAGGGATCTTTTTCATGCCAGCACCTACTGCGACACTGGACCTCGGTTTGTACGGTCTCATCCGAAGGACTGGGGATTGTACACACAAGTACTTTGAAGTTGACATTAAAAAAGATGCTTGAGTTTCTGATTGACAATATCTATGTGGTGTTTGGAGACCAGGTCTTCCAACAATCTATTGGAATTCCCATGGGTACCAATTGCGCCCCGTTATTAGCAGAGCTTTTTTTGTATTCATATGAAGCAGAATTTGTCCAAAATCTTATACGTGAAAAGAAGAAATCACTTGCTGTGGCCTTCAACTCGACATTTAGATACATCGACGACGTATTGTCAATTAACAATGGTTATTTCCATTCTTATGTCGACACGATATATCCCGGTGAGCTTGAGATAAAAGATACCATCATACCACAGAGTCTGACACATCTGTTTCATATTTGGATATTTTACTTGAAAAAGACGTTAATGGTAATCTAACAACCAAGCTTTATGATAAACGTGATGACTTTAACTTTTCAATCGTCACCTTCCCTTACTTATGCAGCAATATACCTTCATCACCTGCATACGGGGTTACTATCTCTCAGTTGATTCGATATGAGGTAAATTATTGACAAATAAGTTGATGAAACAAGAATACCAGCTGTCTCGTTTAAAGTCATCATTTCGTAAGTTCTATGGTCGATACAATGACCTTGTCAGCAAATATAATTCATCATTGAGTCAAATGCTGACTGACGTTATTCATACTAATTGTTAGGCCATTATTTACACACTGAATTGTCGACGGATTTTTCCGTTATTTCCCGATCATGACGAGGAGCACACGGCTGGTGTGACCGGTCGGCAGGGGATGCTCACTACTCCATGGCACCTGATCCCACCTCTGATATTTTGGAGGTCCGTGTTTGCTATGCTCCTATTTTGTAATGTTAAATGGACTTTTGAGCTTGAATACTATTCGTTATCTCCATATATTTCACTGGTCTCCACATTCCACAGTAAAATTCGAAACTGCGACGTAAGGATCAACTTCTTACATCGGGACTCTTGAGCAAAAGCTCTAACCACTGCATCACGCGGATGACTTCACACGAAGTAAGCACAGTTCTGCTCCCCAGAGTGATAGTAAACAATAGTGTTCCACCCTTCATTCTGACAGTCAGAGAGAACATCAAAATAAAATTAAAGTGATGGGAATTAAACATTTTAGGCAATTAAAGACAAATAGAACAATAATTAAACAATTATATTTGAGTTATTAGGAAGGATTTTACTTTGATTTTTTTCATTTTAAAGTAGAAATTACAAACCCATTCTCCATTTAAAATTTCCAGACAATGAGTTTTTAGAATTCTCATACCAACTGAAAATGCTGTTGAATAAAAGAAGGAAAAGGGTGTGGATAAGTAAATTGTTATAAATTTCGAGTTGTTAATCTTGCTGGACAGCAGATGCTTTTGATCATGATTTAGGATACGAGTTGAATCGTCAAAAGTCTCAGCAATGTATATGAAATGTTTCAGATTTCTTAGCAAATTAACTTTGGATTCATGATAAGGATTTTGTTTTTCAGGTAATTTCTTGGACTCACCATCTTCGGATCGGTCGACAGGTAGGTGTATTTTCATTACTCAATAAAAATTTGATTAGCTTAACTAAGACAGAAGGCAAGAAACGATATTATATTTCAGAAAATATCATAAGATATAACATTGCAATGCCTTCAAATTTAGCTCAAAAATCAGCTGTTTAAAGTGACCACCCCTATAAAAGTTTCTTTGACTCGTCCATTTACAGGTGAATAACACACCTGAGTGACCACTAAACAATGCTTTCAATTTTAGCTCTCTATGTGAGTGGACGTAAGTTTTATCGCTCCACGTTTCACATGTTTTAGTAGGCATTGCAGACGTTTAGAATGGCGCAAAGTCAGCTTTTCTCCCCAGCTGCCTTAGGGAGAAGGACTCCGTCTTCAGATAGACTGCAGGTTTATGTTTCGGAAAACGAGCAAATTTCCGACGATGCAGAAAGTGATAATGAGCAAACGCCAATTCAGGGCAATAAAGACAAAAACACGCCAATACGGGGCACAAGAGATACGCCAATACGGGGCACTCATAATAAAACGCCGATTCAGGGCACTAATGAAGAACCTCACTCTGATGAGGATACGGGAAGGGAGTGGAGAAACGAACGAGTTAATGCATGCAGTTCCAAAACTGAAAGTAGAAAAAGAAAGCATGAGAAGAGCGATAGCGATTCAGGAGAATCAAGTTCAGATGACAGCAGTAGTTCATATGATTCTGAGTCAGATTCAGATATGTTCAATCCTTCACAAGTTTTGAAGATGAAGGGAGGTGAGAAGTTACCAAAGAAAATAACAAAATATATTGAAAAATATGCTAACAATGGTAAAACCAAAGCTACTCGACAAGAAATAACAAAGAACTGTAAAACACCAAACACAAATAGACTAAAATCAAAAGAAACTGACAGGTTCATTAAAAAGCTCTTTAGGAAAAGATTCAATCAGGCCATGTCTAACAAAAAAGAGAAAATTTTAATAAATACACAAAATCGCATTCTTGATGCTACTGACCCATTAGCCATACTGTGGCATGAAGCTGAGAAGGTCAGAAAAGCTAATAAAGGCATAGACCCCAATGATGTTATAAATATTGTACAGAGAGCATTAGTGTTGATTGGAAATGCTCATTATGTGTATTCCCCACGATAAATTAAAATCCAGCTTTTTGATATCATTGACAGCTGCTTTTTCAATAAAAAAGGAACTCGTAAATATACTTACATTGTCATTGGTCATTTGCAAAATTATTTTGTTAAAAAACATTCTGATTGTTCACACAAGTACTCTCAAGTTGACATTAAAAAGATGCTTGAGTTTCTGATTGACAATATATATGTGGTTTTTGGAGACCAGGTCTTCCAACAATCTATTGGAATTCCCATGGGTACCAATTGCGCCCCGTTATTAGCAGACCTTTTTTTGTATTCGTATGAAGCAGAATTTGTCCAAAATCTTGTACGTGAAAAGAAGAAAACACTTGCTGTGACCTTCAACTCGACATTTAGATACATCGACGACGTATTGTCAATTAACAATGGCTATTTCCATTCTTATGTCGATACGATATATCCTTGTGAACTTGAGATAAAAGATACCACAGAGTCTGACACATCTGTTTCATATTTGGATATTTTACTTGAAAAAGACGTTAATGGTAATCTAACAACCAAGCTTTATGATAAACGTGATGACTTTAACTTTTCAATCGTCAACTTCCCTTACTTATGCAGCAATATACCTTCATCATCTGCATACGGGGTTACTATCTCTCAGTTGATTCGATACGCAAGAGCATGCTCTACGTATGTACAATTTCTAAAACGAGGTAAATTATTGACAAATAAGTTGATGAAACAAGAATGTCTCGTTTAAAGTCATCATTTCGTAAGTTCTATGGTCGATACAATGACCTTGTCAGCAAATACAATTTATCATTGAGTCAAATGCTGACTGACGTTTTTCACACTAATTGTTAGGCCATTATTTACACACTGAATTGTCGACGGATTTTTCCGTTATTTCCCGATCATGACAAGGAGCACACGGCGGGTGTGACCGGTCGGCAGGGGATGCTCACTCCTCCATGGCACCTGATCCCACCTCTGATGTTTGGAGGTCCGTGTTTGCTCTGCTCCTATTTTGTATTGATTAATGGACTTTTGAGCTTGAATACTGTTCGTTATCTCCATATATTTCATTATACACGCAAGACTTTACTTGGCAAACTTGTACCAGATCTAGAGTGTGTTGACCTAATTGAAGATAGTCCTGGAAAGAAAGCATTAAGAAAATCAAAAGACAAACTATTTGGCAACACATTCAGAAAACTGTTAGCAAAAGACAGCAAAGATAATCAAGAGATTTCAGATCTTCTTCCACAAAAGAAACGATTCAAGTCTGACAAGAACTCTTATTTCTATGAGAACAATAATGAGAGAAGGAACTCTTTCAGAAATGGTGCAGGTCGACCCCAGCAGTTTTTTCGGACAGGGCCCTCAAACAACAGATACCAGTTTGGGGGCCACAGTAACAGAGGACAACAGAGCCAGAGAGGCAGGAGTTCAACAAAGTTTCCTCTCTCCAGAAAGACAGAAAATCAGTAGAAATGAAGGTAAGACCAATTAGTTCAGAATTAAAATTTCCTGTTTTGACGGAAGATCTCAAGGACATCCCTGGGGGGGGGGGGGAGGTTGAAATATTTCCATCAAAACTGGGAAAATCTGTCAAAAGATTGCTGGGTTCTAGAGACAGTGTTAGGTTTAAAACTAGAATTCTCTCAAAATCCCCCTGTCCAAGTGAATCTTCCTCATTTCCAGGGATTTTCCAGGGAAAAGAATGCATTGATAAATCAAGAAATTCTCAACATGTTAGAAAAGAGAGCAATTTTACAAGTGGAATACACAATGGACGGGTTCATAAGCCCCATATTTTTTGTAGAGAAAAAGGGAGGGGGGCAAAGACCTGTAATAAACCTGAAAGAATTAAATGGTTACATGATTTACAGACATTTCAAAATGGAGGGAATCAACCTAGTTCGAGATATGATTCAAAAGGGGGACTGGCTAATAAAAATAGACTTGAAAGATGCCTATTTCACCATCCCAATTATAAAAGAAGATCAAAAGTATCTCAGATTTATTTGGGAAGGGAAAGTTTATCAATTCCTTTGTCTTCCATTTGGGATAACAGTAGCCCCTTGGGTCTTCACCAAATTAATGAAAGTTCCCATGAGTTACCTTCGAAGGTTTGGGGTGAGATTAGTGATATTCCTGGACGATATTCTGATCATGAATCAGACAAAGGAAGGGGCATTGATAGATGGCAAGAGAGCAGTCAATCTGCTAGAAAGTTTAGGGTTTTTGATAAATTTCAAGAAATCAAACCTAGTCCCTTCCCAAGTTCTAGAATATCTGGGATTCATGATAGACTCTAATATAATGACACTCTCCTTACCATCAGAGAAGACAAAGAAGATAAGAACAATTTGTCAAGAGGTTATCAGTTCAAATCCTGTTTCAGTAAGGAAATTGTCAGAAGTGATAGGAAATCTCACAGCAAGCATACAAGCAGTATACCCAGCCCCACTGCATTATCGCCATCTACAAATGGCAAAGAACCAAATTTTAAGTCTATATCAAGATTACAATGCACAAGTCTTCTTAACTCTAGAAGCCCAGAGAGATCTACTTTGGTGGATTCACCATTTAAACGACACAAATGGGAAGAGTATTGTAATGAACCAACCATCAGTAGTTATTCAGACAGATGCAAGCAATCTAGGTTGGGGGGCAACTTGCAAAAATGTCAGAATAGGGGGTGCATGGTTACAAAGCGAGATTCATTATCACATAAATGTTCTAGAGCTTTTAGCAATAACACATGCAGTAAAGGCTATTCTGAAACAAGAATCAAACATGGTTGTTCTTATTCAAACAGACAACAAGACAGCTATGACTTACATCAACAAAATGGGGGGGACAGTATCCAAGGTGTGCAATCAGTTAGCATTAGATCTCTGGGAATGGTGTCTGAAGAAGAGTATCTCAATGAGAGCAGAATTCATTCCGGGAAGGGAAAATGTCATAGCAGACTGGGAGACCAGACATCACAAGGACTCAAGCAGTTGGGGGTTAGATCCATACATATTTCAGATTCTAATGAACAAAACAACAGATTGCAAGGTAGATCTGTTTGCAGACAGAACGAATGCCAAACTAGACAAATTCATCAGTTGGATGCCAGATCCAGAAGCAGTGGCACACAATGCACTGTTGCATCCCTGGGTGGGAATAAAGGGGCATGCACTTCCCCCGTTTTGTCTCATTTCTCAATGTCTGAGCAAGATTCAGAGGGAAAAAGCAACAATTCTCCTGGTAACCCCAGCATGGCCAGCCCAACCATGGTATGCGACAATTCTGAAGATGTGCATTCAGGATCCCATTCTCCTCCCAATAATTCCCAATCTCCTTATGTCAGACAAGGGGGAACCTGACCCACTAGTGAGGAAAAACTCACTCCAGTTAGTCGGATGGGTTGTCTCAGGAGATCCATGCAAACAATGCATTTATCACAAGAGACTGAAGACCTCATCTGTAACTCATGGGGAAAGGGCACAACATCTTCTTACAATTCAGCTTGGAAAAAGTGGGTTAGCTATGTGTCAGAAGGGAAGGGAGATTGATCCATTTTCAGCCCCTATAGGCTTTGTATTAGATTTTTTAAGCCATTTGTACTATGAGGGGTTTCAATATAGAACAATTAATGTTCACAGAGCTGCTATTTCCTCTGTGATGCCTCATGTCAATAATTTACCCATTGGTCAGCATTCCATGGTAAAACTTCTAATGAGAGGTATTTTAAGAGGAAATCCCCCCTTACCGAGATACAAAGAGACATGGGATGTGGATAAGGTTTTAAATTATTTTATTTCTCTCCCAAGTAATGAGGAACTGTCTCTCAAACTCTTGTCAAAAAAGTTGGCTATGCTTTTAGCTATTGCTGCCCAAAAAAGAGTTTCAGAAATAGCAAGATTAGATAAGGGTTTCATGCAAGTTATACCATCAGGTGTCAAATTCCTTTTGCCAGGGTTGTCAAAGACACAAAGAGATTGCCATTCAAAAGAAGTGTTTTATGCACGTTTTCCAGATAACAAAAAATTTTGTGTAGTTGAATGTTTACTTGAGTATTTACAGAGAACAAAGACATTTAGGAATGTTAATGAGCAATCAGGTGATCCATTATTACGGTCAGTTATTTAGCCACATAAAGGTTTAACAGCTAATACAGTTTCAAATTGGATAAGAGATGTTATGGCCATGGCAGGTATTGATACCACTAAATTTAAGCCTCATTCAGCTCGCAGTGCATCAACCAGTAAGGCCTTTAAAAAAGGTACATCCGTAAATGAAGTCTTAGAAATGGCAGACTGGTCACATGCTGGAACATTTTACAAATTTTATTGTAGGGCTACATGTATTGATAAATCTGATGGATTTTCCAAAGCAGTTTTGACTTTAGGTTAGTTTGAGCTTTGAACCTGCAATGTTATATCTTATGATGTTTTCTGAAATATAATTGAAGATTTTATGAGGGCTTATTGCCCGAAATGAAATATTGATTATATGAAGAAAACTCATAAGATATAACATTGCAATCCCACCACAACCCACCCATAATCAGACTTTATAGGAATTCGAGAGCAATTTTATATTTGGCTTTTATTCATGCATTTTTTGTTTACTGAGTTACACTGGTATAATTATAATTCAAATATATTTCAGAGTGAAGAAATCCTGTGAGAGCTGCATGAAAATTGAATGAAGTTGGGAGATATATAAAGACTGTCTGGGAAAAATGTTATATTATAATTATTAAAGTATTGAAATAAGTAATATTGTGTTAGGTTATATATCACAGTTGCAAAATTGAAAGCATTGTTTAGTGGTCACTCAGGTGTGTTATTCACCTGTAAATGGACGAGTCAAAAAAACTTTTATAGGGGTGGTCACTTTAAACAGCTGATTTTTGAGCTAAATTTGAAGGCATTGCAATGTTATATCTTATGAGTTTTCTTCATATAATCAATATTTCATTTCGGGCAATAAGCCCTCATAAAATCTTCAATTCTACACGCTCAAGTTTGCCGGGATATGATTCATTTTTCCCCTAACCTTGTACTTTGTGTAGCAATTTGTATTTTCACATTGCTATAAGTACTTGAAACATCACTTGTGATTCGCAATAAAGATTTTCTTTTTCAGGTAATTTCTGGAACTCACAATCTTCGGATGGGTCGATAGGTAGGACTGTATAAAGGATCTATTTTCATTACGACATAGAAGAAAGTAAAACTTTTATTTAATTAGCTTAATTAAGGCAGAAGGCAAGAGATGATATTCTACACGCTCAAGTTTGCTGAGATATGATATATTTAGATTTATAGATATATTTAAAAATATAAGAAAATGTCAAATATAGTATCGCTTATTATTAATTGTATGTACTGGAGCGCGGCATTATACCCTCTGCATTGTGCAAAAGCATGAACTTTAGTAATTGATTTAATGTATTTTGTATTACATCCTATTGGAGAAATTTTAACTCATATCTAGAGATGTTACCATATACCGGACAAGGGCTTTAAAGTGAGGCCCAAATCGGCATCTAGGGTCATTGAACAGCGAGGGTTCTTTTTCCTGCCTCGGTTAATAAGGTCTCGTTCGAGAGACCCGTGACTTTCACTTCTAATGCCGGACACTTGGTGAAGGAACAGTCACTTACCTATGTTTATGTCTTAGGTTTGACGTGACGCGAACGAGAATCGAACCCGTGTCTCCCGAACACGAAGCGAACGCTCTACCTCCAAGATTATCGTGACAGGTGATTGAACTAGAAGTTTCAAATTCAGTTTCCTATTGTCTTTATCCTCCTGAGTTTCAGTTAGATGGGTTTGAGATTGAACAATCAGAAAGAGGTCTTCAACACGAAGTTCTGCTTCAAGACTGATGTCGAAAGAGTAAACAAGTGTTCCACCCTTCATTTTGACATCCAGAGAGTACACTAAAATAAAATAATGGGAGTCATTGGAGTTAAATATTTTAAGCTACTAAAATTATTGAACAATTAATTAAGTTACTATGCAGGATTCTGTTGTGATTTTTTTTTCGTTTTAAAGTTGAAACTGTAAACCTATTCTCCAGTGTAAGTTTCTAAACATTGAATTCCCAGAATTCCTATACCAACTTAGAAATGCTCTAACATATATAAAAGGAGGAAAGGGGTGTGGATAAGTCAATTGTTATTAATTTCGAGCTAATAATTCTGCTGGATAGCAGATGCCTTAAATCATGAGTTAGAAATGTCAAAGCCTCAGCAATGTATATGCAATGTTTCAGATTTCTTAGGAAATTAACTTTTGATTCACGATAAGGATTTTGTTTTTCAGGTAATGTCTTGGACTCATCATTCTCGGATTGTTCGCAAGGTACGACTGTATAAAGACTGCAGTCTCTATAATGTTTATATTTCCCTTCTTCATTTAAGAATACAAGATCATTTACTATATTAAGGAAGTGTTTTTAGAAATATTTAGTAACGTGTTGTCAAGCAAAATAGACCTTATGCAGGATATTTTTGAAGGTTTGTACTATGAAATCTAACGTCACGAATCAAATTTTTTTTTTATGTGAAGTTTAAAATAAAAGAGAAATCATATAAATTATTTTAGGCTTTTTCAATAAAAATAGAACTCTTAAATATACTTACCTTGTCAAAATTATTTTTTAAAAAACATTCTGATTGTACACACAAATACTCCGAAGTTGATATTTAAAAGATGCTTGATATTCTCATTGACAATATCTATGTAGTTTTTGGAGATCAGATCTTCCAACAATCTGCCCGAATTCCCATGGATAACAATTGCACCCCTTTATTAGCAGACATTTTCATATTTATTTTAAGCAGAATTTATTCAAAAACTTATACATGAGAAGAAGAAAACATTTGTTGTGGCCTTCAACTTGTCATTTAGATATATCGACGACGCATTATAAATTAACAACAGAATCATCCATTCATATGTCTTCTCGATGAAATTTGGAGATAACGAACAGTTTTCAAGCTCAAAGTCCACTAAAACAATACAAAGCTTTTTGATAAATGTGATGACGTCAAACTTCCTAGCATCAACTTCCCTTATTTATGTAGCAATATACCCTTATCACCTGCATATGGAGTTAATGTCTCCCAGCGAATTCGATGCGCAAGAGCATGCTGTACGTAAGAACAATTTTTAAAATCAAGCTATTGAAAAACAAGTTGATGAAACAATAATGTCACCAGTCTCGTTAGAAGCCAAAATTTCGCAAATTCTATGGCTGACCTTTTCAGCAAATATAATCTATCATTTAGTTGAATGCTGAATGCCTTTTTTCATACTAATTGTTAGGCCATTATTTACACAATGAATTGTCTACGGATTTTCCGTTTGCCCAACCATGACAAAGAACACATGACAGGTGGGACTTGTCGACAGGGATGCTTACTCCTCCATGGCACCTGATCCCACTTTTGATAATTTTAGAGGACCTTGTTTGCTCTGTCTTCCTTTTTTCATTTGTTTTCTTTTGCTTGTTTGTTTTGGAGAAAAAAATATTTTAAGAAAACTATTTATGCAATTTATTGACAATATTATTTCGTTTTTTTTTAGCCCATGGATTCTTGGGGGAAGAGTCCCGGTCACTGCACAGTGAAGTGTGTGATCACTGTCATATGCTGGAGAGAAAATACGGTCACGGATGTGGAGACAGATGTAACAAATTTCAAACATGTATGTATACCAGGATATACATGCTCATGTAAATGTATCTAATCCGATTTCTACTATACGCAGCTCTGTTAAGGCTGCATAAAGTGGGCGGGGCCTAATTTATACGGGAAATGTCTACAGTGACATCACACAAATATAGCAATTCCTCAAAACAACAGAAAATGAAATAATTTGCAGTTTTAAACTGCATAAGAGTGATGAACTACATCAAAACTTACCACTGCATTCATTTTTGTCGCTAGTTAAATTCCACATAGCAAGATATAAACAAGTCACTAATCGCAATGCACTTGTTGACATGACGTCATCATGGTAAAATTTGACGCATTTTATGTGCAGTGAGAGGCGGATCAAGTTATTTTTCCACAGTGAAAAACGCATTTTATTATTAAACAGAATATTATTTGCAAATCTTAGGTAGACCATTTTTACAAATCTGAAACCTTTGTTTAGTGCCATTATTTAAAAACTATCGAGAGAATGTATTGAATTAATTCTACCGTGTTTTTATGTACAGGGCGTGCATGTTTCACTCCGAGGTGCCTCATTAAATCGCCTTTTCGCAAGGGCATACACTTAATAGATCTTGACCATTTTTTGAATATGCATAACGGAAACATTCCTTAACTTGAAAAGTGCTGCTGCTTTCCTGAAATCGAAAGCATTACTAAATAAATAAATAAAATACATGGTAAAGGTCACACATATTTCGACTGTAGCCAAATAACTTGAAATTTAAACTAATAAAATGCGAATTCTATTTAAAGCAGCAGCACTTTTCATAAACTACAAGTTATGTAGATACAATTTATTACTGATTTTTTTTAATTATAACTAGGGTATGCCCTTGCGATATTGAAAGTTGTTTATGACCTACATACAGTACACATTACATGCATTTATCACGTGACTGTCAAATAACGTGACCAAACCAAATTCTGTACCGAGCGGGGTATACAATGTTATTTCAATTAATATAAAAAGTCATGTGATAATATAGAAGCTTTACAAAAATTAATTCAGTTTAAAATGGTATGTATTTATGCACGTTTATATTCCGTTGATTTATTCGTAGTACGCCTTAACAGTTCTGCATAGTAACTTGCTCTTTTTTAAAAATACTTAAAATTATTTACCTTTTCTTTACAATGCATCTGAAAGATATGCTTTCAAAGCTCAATGTCCAAAGTAGACAATTTATTTTGAAAATAAAGACCTAACAGTATGCATAAAAACGTCACTCAACATTCAAATTACTTATTGTATTTGCTGACAAGATCATTGTATCGGCAATAGATTTTGCGAAATGTTGACCTTAAACAAGACTGTTGATATTCTTGTTTTATCAACTTGTTTATCATAGCTTGCCTCGTTTTAGTCGTTTAGAAATTGTTTGTGGAGCATGCTCTTGCGTATAGAATCAACTTGAGACATAAACTCCGTATGCAGATAATAATGGCATAAAGCTACATGAATACATAAATAAGGGAAGTTGACGCTAGAAAAGATGAAGTCCTCACATTTACCATAAAGTTTTGTTGTTAGGTTACCATTAACTTTTATACTTTTTTATACTTCTTCAATAAAAATTGAACTCGGAAATTTGCATATTTTGTGATTGGTTATAAATATACTCTCATTCTACAAATAAGTATTCTGATGTTGATATTAAAAAGATGAGGAAGTTCCTCAGTGACAATATCTGTGTCGCCTTTGTAAACCAGGTCTTCCAACAATCGGTTGGAATTCCGATGGGCACTAACTTTGCTCTTTTATTAGCCGACCTGCTTCTATATTCTTATAAAGCAGAATTTATTCAAAAGCTTCGACATGAAAAGAAGACGTCTCTTGCTGTGACCTTCAACTCAACATTTAGATAATAGTATATCAATTAACAATAGTTATTTCCATTCATATATCGACTCGATATATCACAGTAAGTTTTGTGATTCAAAGTTTTCGAAAAGTTCTTTAAGGTTTTTGAGAATCCACATTTGTTTTGCTCCACTTCTCAGATATGCTGTAGCACAGTAAGTCTGAAGTTTATTCTTAATAGGTGTTAATATTTTTGTTAGGAGTAAAGATAGGGGCGTGGTAGAGCAGTTGCTGGACCCGGCAAAATTGACTCGAAAGTTTTGTCTGAACAATACTGGCGTAGTGTTTACAGAAATGGCAAACGTCTTCGTGAAATCAATTATAAATTATTGAATGATATTTTATGTTGTAACTACTTTTTACAAAAATATAAATTATTAATTAATGCAGAATGCGAATACTGTAAAATTGATATTGAACATAAAAGATATCCTATTTTTCAAATTCAAAATACGTTATTATTATACCGTTATTTCATATTTAGCATATAAACTATATTGATTTATAATTGTACGTAAAATACAAAATACTTTAAAAAAGAAGATCAATGTTAGAACAATTTAAAAATTCGATATACAAGAAAATGGATTTTATGCCGAACATTTCAAAAAGAAATATGTTGTAAGAAACAGTTAAATGTCTTTCAAATTTATTATAAAAATGCTTATGTTTTTTATAGGTAATACGTTGCTGATTTTAACTGGTTAACTGGTCATTGTAAATGGGTATTGTTTAGAATTTTGTAATGAAAGAAAAAAAAATCTATGGTCGATACTATGATCCTCGTTTGCAAAAGAAATCTGCCGTTAGGTCGAATGTCAATTGATGTCTTTTGTATCTTTCATCAGGGAACGTTTTTAAGTTTTTCGGTGAGTTATTGATGTGTAAATCACAGATCTGTCACTTCAGCATATTTCATGAAGCACGCTAGCGCTTCATGAAAAAAAATTATGTCTTCGTGCAAGTCTGTGTGAATTACACGCGAATAATTCACTACAAAACCAAAACATTCCTTATATTTATATTTTACATATTAAATAGCAGCAAAAAAATACACTTAATGTTTGAATTTCTCGCTGCCCTATATTGTTACATTTTCTGATCGTCTCTTTAGCTCTTTGAGATGCCACTTAAGCGCGAGTTTCTCCATATCTCCTATATTTCTACAGCGCGAATACACACAAAAATGGCGCTTAATACAGTTTCATAGCTGTCATATGTAAACATTATAAACTTTTAAGTCCAATAGTTTCATACTGAACAGGCGGATTTAGATTTCTCCGTTTAAATACCTGATCATGACAATCAACACATGGTGGGTGTGAGCAGTTGATAGGAGATGCTTACTCCTCCATGGCACCTGATCCCATCTCTGATGATTTAGGGGTCCGTGTTTTCTCTGCTCAGAATTTGTTGTACCGGACTATAGAGAATGATTTATGTTTGTAATCTTCTTATTTCATTAATAATTATGTACAGAACAAGATATTTTTCTCCAATATTTAATTTTTTTTACAGGTCGGGAGCTTCAAAAATGCAGTAGCAGATTGACAGGTAAGGGGTAATAATAACTTCATAATTAATTAATTAATTAATATTATTGATTAAATAATTAATATATATTTTATATAAAGTGAAATTTAGTGATTCTGTTTAATTTTTGGGACGAAGCAATCTTTAAAAATATGTTAAAATTGTATCAATAGGAGTTAACTGTGTGTGAAAATGAACTGAAAAAGAATATATAATCTAAGGGCTTCACAACTACTTCATTTTTTTTAAACTTATATAAAGACATCTTAAATAAAAGGAAACAAAAGAAAATCGTGTTTGTCTTCATATTTGGCTTGGTTGTATTAACTTCTAGGCGTGGACTTAAAAAATTATTTCCATATTTAAACAACAATACTAGGATCATGATAAACCTGAATTATTTCTTTGAATTACATCATTATGTTTACATAGTTAAAACGAGGAACTTTAAATAAATTTTTACTGTTATTAGATATATAAGAAAGCTGACCAGCCTTCTGTTGATCTCATAATTATGTTGTATTATGTTAACATTTTATCCATGCAGCCTTAATACCATTAAAAAAACAAAGTGGATCCCATAGTCTCTAGAGTATGTCTTTCTGTAGTCAAGGCATTTTGAGCCAATGAAATACATGACAGAGAAATTCCTTATGAGAAACTTTCGATCGACAACAGTGTTCCTGAAACTGTTAATGATGTGAAGAATGATGTCATCCTAATATATATATATATATATATAGAGAGAGAGAGAGAGAGAGAGAGAGAGTTTTCATAATACATATATAATACATGTATTTATAATAATAATTATCTTCTGATTTCTAAATTGTTTTAAAATTGTGATATTAGCAATTGAAGTGATTCCAATAGGATAATATTGGAAACACCATCATCTGGTACCTTGCACAATTGCCTGGTAAGGTACCTCAATTTTTGGTGAAGAATCTTGTTTAGTAGCAATAATTCAATGAAAAATTCTGCGGAAAATTATATATCATTGGAGAGCGTGTCGTCTGATCTTAAGAAAATCAAATCAACATATTTCTCATTGCAGGAAGTCATTGGCACAGACATCACGATTTCCCTGACCATTTAGTGTGTTCGTTTTGCAAATGCGTTGCCAGACGAGATGGACATCCAGAGCCTGAACGTGTTTGTTCTTTGTACTGTACTAAAAAATTTTTGAATAGAGGGAGATTGTTAACTCTTTAGAGCATTAAAAAAAGAATATTACAAAACAGTTTGATTTTTTCATATGCTTTTTGAGGTTTTAACATCATATATTCAATGTATAAATTTTGTTTGTTATACCTTTAAAAATTAGTTCTTAAATAAATCTATGCTAAAAAGGTTTAACACTCCTAATGTTTTACTGAGCGGTCATAAAAAATCGATGTTTGACCGCAGAGTGAGATATTGGACCTGTGAACGAGATATTTTACCGCTTACGTCACACTGTGGGCGTGATTAGCTAAATCTTATTTGCATTCGTTGGTATGAAAGCCAGCAAACGATACATATATAACAAAAAATATAAATAAATAAATAAAAGGTATAACAAAACATTTATTGACTGTGTTCTTGAGCAAAATGCGTTTTGTCGATCCCTAACGGTCCCAGGTTCTTGGTTCCGAAAAAACGCATGTTGCCCTCGAACCCAGTCAATAAATGTATATTATTACATTTTCAGCGGTGAAATACTGTTGATTTATTGAATAAAAGTGATATTCTGTCCCAATTATTGTTGAAATCCATGTTTACAAAGTTTTCAATCTCATAATTGCTAAACTATGATGTTTCAACTGCTTAATTGTGACGTTACAGCCTATAACACTGTGCTACGAAAAGAAAGAGGCAAAGGGAAAATCAAAGAAAATGTAATAAACAGAAAATTTAATAATTTGTAGTTGGATATGAAATTAATTTTACTCATGAGACAAGATTTTTGATAATTCACTCGTGCTTCACACTCTTGAATATTTCAAAACATCCTGTCCCAATCGTGAAATAAATTCTGTATGCAACACCCAAACATTGAATATCCTCTATTTATCTTGTCGATATTTGATTCACTTAAAATTGACTTATGTTAGTCTCAAATATATTAATTTTTTAGAAAGTCATATTTTTTAATTATATATTTTAGGTAAGAGTTTTCTTTCCAGATTTTATCCATGTGTAAATACATGCTTTATACTCACACACTAAATAAAGTACGAAGCAGTTTTTTGAGTACAAAGACATGAATATATAACTTGGATTATTATTATATTTATCATTTAATTTTTTATCATTTAGTTTGAGAATTAAGAAAATTTTCTTTCAGAAATGCCTTATCTGTACTGTAACGTCAAATGGAATGTATACGTTTTTACGTAAGTCATATTGTGAACAATACGGGTTATACAGTGGAACTTGTTAATTCGACAGTACTTGGAGACAAAGTTTGTGTCGGAATAGACAGGATATCGGATTAAAATTTAAAAAAAAAAACATGGAAATTAGTAAAATGGGAATTAAATGAAATATGGGATTGTTGATATTCTTGTTTCATCAACTTGTTTGTCAGTATCTTGCCTCGTTTTAGATATTGTTCGTACGTGGAGCGTGATCTTGCCTATCGAATCAACTGGGAGATTTAAATCCCATATGCAAGTGATAAGGGTATATTGCTACATAAGTAATGGAAATTGACGATAGAGAAGTTGAAGTCATCACGTTTTTCATAAAGGTTTATTGTTGGGTCACCATTAACGTATTTTTTTTGTAAAATATCCACATAATAAACAGATGTGTCAAACTCTGTGCTATCTTTTATTTCAGGTTCACTGGTATATATCGAGTGGACAAATGAATATGAAAGTTAATAAAAAAAAAAAAAAGGGATTCTCAATGTAAAGTATTTGAAAGGTGTCGAATAAGGGAGTAGACAGATTTTATTTATTAAATTATATCTAAATATAAATATATGTTTTTATATCCATCATTGAAGTAAATGAAACTGGGATAAAATGAATAACTAACATTCAATCCAGATTTTGTATGTTTTATTGTAGTGTTTAATCTTCTTGGTCATTTATTTTATTTTGCACCAATGATAAGATTAATTGAAATTTAACTCTTCGATAGACTAAATGTAAGAGATGATATTGTTAAATGATTTTTAATAATTAATTGGAATAATGAGGACAACAATCCAGCCCTTATATAAATATATACATGTAAGTACATATAATTAAAAACGTCTGACATATGATGTGTTTTATACATAATACAAAATAAGACTTTCACATAAATTATTAATTGTATAAAGAATAAGTTTTTGTTGCATTCGCTGAGTAAAAATGTTCCCTCTAATATTTCTTTTTTACGATCTGTGTACTAAGTACTAGTAACTGTACGTGAGATTTTACCATGACATGATCCTGCAATATGTTTTACAGTTATGAATGCAAGAACAAGAACTTTGGATTCAAATCTTAACAAGGCAAAGTAATAATAAATTAAAATAAAACCAAACTTTTCCAAATTATCTATAATCCTTTCATACAACAATATTTGCCATAAACGCATTATAAATAAGCTTGTAATATTCATAGTTTCTGATAAACTAATTAAATTTAGAATAATCGATAACTCATGCAAAACTTTCAAGCTACATGAATTAAACAAATAAGAAAAAGTGGGTTTAAATACTTCCAAAAATATTTGAGAAACACGTCAATATTGAAAGATAATGGATAACTTATTTTTTCTACCAACACACAATTAACCTAACCTCCCATGAGGTGCAAAGGTCTGGTATAAAAATTATCTGTCTTTCTGTTGTATTAGTATATATGGTGTTCTAAATGCAAAAGAAATTATATGTTGTTTAATGAAAGGAATAATTTATAAAAATGAATACTTTAGGATATAAACTTGAAAACTTTATAACTTTAACGCACTCATTTTTTTCCCTTTCTAATTTCATTACATTATTTAGGGAAAAAAATGATTTAATGCTTTTATATTTACATAAATTATTTACAGCATTCATACAATCTCATAAAAATCATTCACTCCCTCAAACTGCCTAACATTCAAACATTCACTCAAAGTGGGTAAAGTGGGAAAAATGAAGAAATTGTGAAAGCCTCAATTAAACACTATCCTGATTGGAGAATAATGCCTAATCAAAAATATTTTCAAGCCGATAAATGTAAACTTATTCAAACGGCAAACTTCATAGAACACCCTCACACCCATCTAAATACTAGGGCATGAAAAACCAGAATAAAGAACAATCAAAATTCAATTCTAAAAGTCACGTGACCAGTCCAGAATGACCACTTTAGTTTATATAAAGAATTATAAACAGTAACACAGCTACAGGTAAATCCTAAAGAAGGATAACTTGTGCTTTACCTGTCAGACTTAATAATGAAATACATGGAGATAACGAACAGTATTCAAGCTCAAAAGTCCATTATACAATACAAAATAGGAGCAGAGCAAACACGGACCTCCAAACATCAGAGGTGGGATCAGGTGCCATGGAGGAGTGAGCATCCCCTGCCGACCGGTCACACCCGCCGTGTGCTCCTTGTCATGATCGGAAAATAACGGAGAAATCCGTCGACAATTCAGTGTGTAAATAATGCCTAACAAATGATAAAATAACAAAACACATACCTTTACAGTTTGAATGAAATAAATCTTTATTAACATATTTCAATTTAAACTTAAATATATTAAGTCAAAAACATTACTGAAAATATTTTTTTAAAAACATATCTTAATTAATTTAATCCTTGATAAATGAAAAAATGACGTAGGGTAGTACCAGAAATTTTTATTTCTGAACAAAGGAGAAAACAACTGAATAAAAAAAGTTGGGCAAATTAACGTAATTTGTAAAGAAATATATGTAATATTTTGATCGGACAGGATGAACCTTAATACATACGAGTATTTAACGTGCCTAGTCACGCCCTCTGACATTTTACAATCTCTCTATATGCAGACCACCCATCTTCGCTAGCCAAGGGTTTCTGATACGCTACTCTCCTCATAAGTTATGAGGAGAGTAGCGTATCAGAAACCTTTGGCTAGCGAAGATGCAGACCACCTTTCTCGTTGTTTTCTTATCCTCTCGGTTCCCCACGCACGGTTTTGCTGTTTATTCCTTTTCATAACATAGGTAGGCTTATTATTTCACACTTTTTATTATGTCAGAGGCACATATATTTTCAAATAATTTGTTCTTGATGATTTTCCACATGATATCAAACAATATAATATGAAATGCTTAAAAATTACATGCTAATATATATACATGTATTTATTAAAATTGAAATTGTGTGCTTGAGCTCTAAAACCTTGCTCATTTTTTAAATGCAAATCTTTTAAAAACTGAAAGCTGTAATATAAAAGGTAAAGATAACGAACAGTGATTGATCTAAAACAAAAAATCCACAAACGATAAAATATGTGTAGAGGGCATAAAACACGGAGCTCTGGAAATTCCAGAGGTGGGATCAGGTGCCTAGGAGGAGTAAGCACCCCCTGTTGACCAGTCACACCCGCCATGAGCCCTATATGTATTGATCAGGTAGACGGAACTATCCGTAGTCAATTCAGCACAAAAACAAAGGCATAACTTTTGTGTGAAAAAAGTCAGCCAAATACGAGTAAATCAGAAAAATATCTAAATATGAAACAGATATGGCAGAATCTATGGTGTCTTTTATATCAAGTTCACTGGGATATCTCGAGTCGACATACGAATGAAATTAACTACTGTTAGTTGATAAAACATCGTCGATATATCTGAATGTCGAATTAAAGGCCACAGCTAGTTTTATCCTCTTCTCATGTAGTTTTTGAATAAAAATTCTGTTTCATAGGAATATATAAACAGGTCAGGCAATACAGGAGCACAATTAGTGCCCATCGAAATTATTGTCAGAGAGGAACTCCATCATCCTTTTACTATCAACTTCAGAGTAGTTATTTATATAATCAGGGTGGTTTTTAACGAAGTAATTTTGCTGATGACCAATCAGTAGGATTCCTGTAAAAGGTTTCCTTTATTGTGAAAAAACATAGATCCACGCCTTGACCGATGTATCAGTATTTCCTACCCATTGATGGTATAAGGTCCCGTGGTCTGCTTAGAGAATCAGTTGCAGTTTGATACTGGCACTCTGACCACCGTTTACACGAGGCACCTCTGTTTAGAAGACCCACCACCAACCAGCG